AGTGAAAAGCCTTGCTACCATTTTAACATGGATGTAATGTGAGGAGCTTTTCTTTCTCTTTTACTCATCAGGTTGCTTTCCGAATGGAAATCAAACATATCAGGGTTGGGTTTTAACACACTGATACTTGTACTACTTGTACCGAAAAACTCAATGCTCCGTCAGTGAGGTTCGGTACAATAATAAACGTGGTTCTTCCACAAAGGGGAAGTAACTCTAAAAATGGATTCACACTTGTCCTACATGTAATCATTGTCGCATAGGTGTATATAAACGAGGAAATGCAAATGGCACCCACATCGACTTTAATAATTATCCAAATTTTTAGACGATACAAAATTTCTTGCGAAATGGCTGGCATAGTACAGGTTGATACTACTTGTAATTGGATTTATGGGCTCAGTTGACAGTGAGATAAAAATGGGGTTTAATAACCACTCCACACAAACTAGGTCATATTGGGATTAACATATGGTTCATTTTCAATTCATTATTAGCTAGCACGTAGGGGATTTTAGCAGCAGGAGGAAATCTGAGGACCCAGAGGAAACCCACAAGATTCAACAGGCGACCCTACTCTTTGTTATGTACTAGTTGGGATTGAAACAACGTCACTTGACTCAATGACAGACCTTATGATCTAAAGCATGCATGTGTTAAGACCACTTGACCACCCATACCCACCACCACCCCACCCATCAGCTGACAGAGTTTATAGTATTTGATCCATGTAGATGAGAGAGAGATGTGGTTTAACGTTCACCCGACACAAACTAGGTCATTTTGAAACTAACACATGGTTCAATCTTATTTCAGTAATTTGCTTTGCGCGTAGTGGTCTTAAGCAGTGGGAGGAATCCAGAGGACGCGGAGAAAACCCACGAGGTTGGACAGGCAATCCTACTCCTTGTCACGTACAACCAGGGAATCAAAACCCCGCCAATTGACTCAATGATACAGCGCGCACTTACAAACCATTCGGCCATCCATGTAGCTATACAAAACTATTTCTTACTTGATGCCTGATGCACAAGCTTCTGAAGCTAAATCTCCATGATCAGAGAAAACATGCTGTAATAGACTGTAGGTATATGGTTCTGAAAATATAAAAACTTCAAACATTTAAATATACAAGGAACAGGTCAAATTATTAAATAATCAAAACATATTTTAGTACCAGCGATCTACTTAAAGATGCAGTATGCTAGGTTCCCACAATTACGAGTCGAGCTACGATTGAAATCATGGTTTTAATCGTGGAGTAATCCCGGTGATCCTATCAGGTCTTATATATTAAGGTCAGTGAAACCATAGCAATCGTTTTCATCGTATCAAAACGTATCTGCACGTACCAGATCGTGGACTCAATAGGGACAATCCTATCATAACGCATCGTACGACAGTGGAAACCATGCATTATGTAAGATTAAGATAAAATGCTAGCCGTTCTTACTATAATAGCTCAAAAATAGATATAGAAAAATGAATATATTGAAAATTTCATTCAAATTATTTCGTCCTGAGTGAAGTTACAAGTGTTTGAAGATGTAGCCCAGATCGTTTACTACCGTTGCAACGGTACTTGACAACCAAGACTTAGTCTCAATTACCTATTATATTGTTAAATTTTTTAAAATCTCACGGTCTTTTTAATATGTAAATTATGTCCATCCTATAATCTTTTAGTTTATTTAAAGCTTGCCCCATGTGAATAAATGTCTAATTAATAAATGTCTAATTAATAATCCAAGAGAAAGATGTAGATCTTCTTAAATAAAGCATCTTTAACTTAGTAAAAATAATTAATGTTCACTCATCATCGCTTCATGTAGAGAGAGAGGGGGTTTAACGTCCACTCGAAACAAACTAGGTCATTTCAGAACTAACGTATGGTTCAATTTCAGTTCAATAATTCGCTTGCATGTACGAGGGGTGATTGATAAGTAGTAAGCTTCGATTGGAAAACCGTGCAACACAATGATACCACGTTTTGCACGTGCACTATTATGTTTCTCTGGCTCTGTCACAAACTTTCATCACATTCGGTTAAACTGTTTGGTTGTGACAGGTCATAACAATCAAGTAGGGTCTGTTGTTATCATAAAATGGACCATATCGAGGCGAGAGCTGTGATTAAGTATCTGCATAAAAAGGGTCTAACACCGAAAGCCATACATGATGATATGGTTGAGACATTAGGAGATGATGCTCCTTCATATGCCACAATTAAAAGATGGTCAGCTGAATTCCAGTGTGGCTGAGACAGCATTGAAGATGAACCACGCTCTGGTCGACCAAAAACTGTGTCAACACCTGAAATGGTACAAAAAATCCATGGTCTGATAATGAATGACCGGCGAGTTACTGAACGATTCATAGCTGGGGTAGTTGGTATTAGCCAGGAGAGAGTTCATTCTATTATCACTGAAACTTTGGAAATGACAAAGGTTTCAGCACGATGGGTGCCAAAGCTTTTGACGTCTGATCAAAAGCGTTCAAGACACATCATGTCAGAAGAGAATCTAGCTTTATTTGAAACCGATCCTGACCGCTTCCTAAAACAAATTGTTACTATGGATGAAACTTGGGTCCACCACTTTCAGCAAGAAACAAAAGAGCAGTCAAAACAGTGGAAACATGTGACGTCGCCGACCCCAAAGAAGGCAAGGACTGTTTCATCGGCAGGAAAGGTGTGATTTTCCACCAGGACAATGCGCCAGTGCACAAATCAGCTGTTGCCATGTCAGCAGTCCATGACTGTGGTTTTCAACTTCTTCAGCATCCACCCTACTCTCCTGATTTAGCTCCCTCAGACTTCTATCTGTTTCCTGCTCTGAAGAAATGTCTTTCCGGTAGGCATTTCCCGTCCGACGATGACGTCATTGCCGCTGTGGATGATTTTCTACACACCCAAGAAAAAGACTTCTACAGAACTGGAATAAAGGCTCTGCAACACCGATGGCAGAAGTGTATTACATTGAAGGGGGACTATGTTGAAAAATAAATGCATTTGATTTGAATTTCTTGTTTCTTTCTGTGTTAGACTCACTACTTATCAATCACCCCTCGTAGGGGTCTTTAGCAGTGGGAGGAAACTGGAGGATGCAGAGAAAATCCATGAGGTTAGACAGGTGACCCTACTCCTTCTTGTCACGTACCACCAGGGAATTGAAACCACACCAGGTGACTCAATGACGGACCTTATGATACAACACTCACGCGGTAACCATTCAGCCGCTCCCCCCACCCACACTGCTAACGAATAACTTGAGGAACTGAGGGGATGGGTTGAACCAAGGCTTTCACTTCAAAATTTGCACGAAAACTTTGCAGATTAAATTCATATTTCATGTTTGTTTTATTTATGGTAGGGTATTGTGAATTCACGTCTATACCATTTTGCTAGCATGACGTAAGAAATAGTACGGCTTATAATAATAATTATCTATTAATGAAATAATATTCCCGTTTTGGCTATTTAAATAGCTTTTATTATCGAAATTTCTTAAGACATCTGATTTTCATTTAGTCATTTTCTATTCACCTTGAATAGAAAATGGCTAATTCAAATCTTAGTTACTTAAACTTTCATCAATATCTAAGTCAACATTTTCTGACTCCGTCGTCCCCAATCAATGGGTCTTCAAGATCTATCCTCTGTGTATTATTTGGAAGTAAGTAGGCCGATTGAAATTTTGCGACGGTAAGTAGGCTAAACTAATTAATAATAATCGTACAAGAAGAAAAACTAATTGAAGGGTAAAAATGACATAGAAGTGGTTAATTGTCTTTTGGTTTGGATGTGCTGAAAAACCAACGTTCCATGTATAGACCAATGGTAGCATGTTAAAGATTCTATGGCAGTTAGGAATCAGGGTTAAATTTCTAACTGTATGACGTATGCCTGTCTTTTTATTATGGAGATATTTGATAGATCGATTGTTGTTATGCAGTCGATATTGTAACGACGATTCGTAAAAATAGGCCTCGTGCTATTGTTACGATGCCTTCCGGGCCCTCCATCGGGGAAGTTAAAAACTGAATAGTCGTTAAAATAGTCCTGTGGCTATTGTTACGACCATCGATTTCTATTACTCCTCTGAATAAATGGATTTCAACTTCACTACAGGCCCGGATCCAGGGGGCCGGTCAACCCCCCCCCCCCTCAGCCCACGCCACTAATGCAAACCAAGGTATGCCCCCCCCCCCCTAGACAAAATCCTGGATCCGGGCCTGGGTTGTTTTTACGGTCCGTCAATGTTTAAATCCATAATCTAGTGGCTTTGATTGAATTAAATTGTTCCGGCTGGATAAATTTATAGGAACTGAATCAACAGACCTATGATTATGACTACCACTGTTAGCCTATAGGCCAGTATGAATCTGAAGAAAAAAAAAACAAACGACTTTTTGTTGACTTGTCAAAAAATTCATTACTGAAACATCACCTTCTGCACGCCCAAGAGGAAAATGTCGTTCTGATTCACGTTCACGACTAGATGGCAACAGTGACCCAACATCTCGAGATTTTCTTCCATCGGCCATTTTCAATTTAACTCAAAATTACACAATAATAAATGTCATAGACATGATTCAGACATTTTTTCTTTTCTTTTTGGAAGCAGCCATGTTGTTTATATCGGGCAAAATTAATTTTAAGACTGCCCATTGGCTAAAAAATGTAGACAATAATAAATTAATTTATTTCATTAAAATCAAAATTTAAATTATCAAAAAATGATAAATAGTTTTAGGATTATCGAATTCGCTGGAAAATGTATGATTGCGATATTTTTAATTAATTGCGTTATTAGGTTCTTTTAGAAATCATCCGCCATATGATTAAATAAACAAACGCAAAGAAACTATATCAATTTATATTTTTATAGAAAAAATTCAACATCAAACACAATGTGGAAATATCAATACACGTCACGGCTGATCTATTATTTATGCGTTTGTAATCCCCGGAACTACTTCGGGCACTGTTATCAATCGATTGGAGATTACTACGCTACAGAGGGAGTAGCCATTTTGTGGAATCACCGAACCGGTGGAACTTTATCGTGTGATTATTCATTGAATATTTTGTTGCTGTTAATTTTCATACAATATGGATGAGAAATACGACTATATAGTATTAGGCACAGGCCTTAAGGTGCGTATATTTTGTTCATAACAATGTCTATTTGCCTGCCGAATTTATGGTAGGTTCAATATCTTTTATTTTTGCAGAAAAAGAATGCCGATGTGTCACAGTTGTAAACGCAGGAATGTGATAAATCGAACTGATGTCATCGATGCTGATTATAAATTAATCGCATACATATTTTTCTTCTTTCCAATTATGTGGGTATTTATTTATGTAGTTAATATGGGTGCAACTGACTTATCTTGTGATATGGGTGTCTCACACGATAATGAGGTAATCTTCCAAATTGGCACAGGAAGTGTCGTCGAAATGTGTTTTGTCTGGAGACTGAAATGTGAAATTTCATTCAGCTGGAACTCCGAACTGGCCACTGGGTGCAGGAATTAAAATGAGTGTCGAGTCTAAATAATTAATCTGCATGGCATGTTTGCTATTAGTTGTTCTTATAAGACTCAAGAGTTTTTCTGGATCCATAAATTGTGTTAATTATTTTAGAATAGCCTAAGACACATCCCTTTTCTCTTTTTTTTTTATACGCCCACATTTAAATGTGGTCGTATATTGTCGTCGCCCCCGTCCGTCTGTCCGGCGGTCCGTCCGTCCGGCGGTCCGTCCGGCGTCCACAATTGCTTGTGGACGCTTTAGAGGCTAAAGTTAATATCCGATTGACTTTAAATTTATACACAGTGTTTAAGGTCATGAGACGAGGAAGCCTATTGATTTTCAACAATTTCCGATAATTACTGCCAGAGAAATGGCCCTTGATCACTTCAAAAAATCTTGTGGGCGCTCTAGAGGCCAAAGTTAATATCCGATTGATCTTAAATTTATACACAGTGTTTAAGGTCATGAGACGAAGAAGCCTATTGATTTTCAACGATTTCCAATAATTACTGCCAGAGTTATGGCCCTTGATCACTTCAAAAATTCTTGTGGACGCTCTAGAGACTAAAGTTAATATCCGATTGATCTTAAATTTATACACAGTGTTTAAGGTCATGAGACGAGGAAGCCTATTGATTTTCGGCGATTTCAGATAATTACTGCCACAGTTATGGCCCTTGATCACTTCAAAAAATCTTGTGGACGCTCTAGAGGCCAAAGTTAATATCCGATTGATCTTAAATTTATACACAGTGTTTAAGGTCATAGGACAAAGAAGCCTGTAGTTAATATCCGATTGATCTTAAATTTATACACAGTGTTTAAGGTCAAGAGACGAAGAAGCCTATTGATTTTCAGTGATTTACGATAATTAATGCCAGAGTTATGGCCCTTGATCACTTCAAAAAATCTTGTGGACGCTCTAGAGGCCAAAGTTAATATCCGATAGACCTTAAATTTATACACAGTGTTTAGGATCATGAGACGAAGAATCCTATTGATTTTCAACGATTTCTGATAATTACTGCCAAAGTTATGGCCCTTGATCACTTTGCAAAATCTTGTGACGCTCTAAAAGCTAAAGTTATCATCCGATTTACTTCAGATTGATAAACAGAGTTTAAGATCTTGAGAGGAACAAGTATATTGATTTTCAATGAATTTTTATGACTTGGAACAGCTAAATCCATGATATTAAAAGTTTTGTATACAAAACGTTAGCATGGGTCAGAACTTTATAAAAACCAAAGAAATTCTAATGGTTTTCTGAGTTGTTGCTCTTGATCAGATTTTAGTGTATTATAAATGTTTTATTACCGAAAAAAGTAAAAATATGCGACAACTCTTGTTGACTGCCCGGACGATTTAGCTGCTGTGGGCGTATGTTTCGTTGCCTGGCAACCTATATTTAATATTTAAATTAGCTAAGTCCGTAACACAATATCATCCAAAATCTTCGACATTGAAAACACAAATTTTTTTGCAATTTAAATCAGCATTGGTGTGGTGATCTTACCTGGAAAATAAAGGCTTCTGATATCCAATATTTCAGACAAAGTAAACATTTTACCATCATTGGTACAATGTACACGAATCGTGTACCATAATGCGTTTCAGTGCAATTTGTAACAACTTACATGTACAAGGTGCTCAAAGAATGAGGCTAGACATATATTCCACATGTCATATCAAACGGTAATGCCATATTCTTATTTGTAGAGCATGCACAATAAATACTATCGATGTTGACTGGAATAACCAGACGCTAGAAACTGACTTTTGGTTGAGACTTCTGGCGTATATTGCCGAACATAACTGATGACAATTCACAGTAAAACAAAAACGATTGAATGTAAAACAGTTTATATAAATTCCTATTATATTATTATATGAGTTGCGGCCCATTTGTGACAATTTCTAGCTCCAAAATATTACCGATTTAGCTCCTTTAAATTTAAGAAATTCTTATAGATTTTTATTATAAGCCCAGACAACATCACAAAAAAGATAACACCCTTTCAAAATACATGTAATATTCAACAGATGGTTATAGGGTCTGTGCATTCAAGGCCACTATACCACCTGTTTTCACACCTTAAATCTAAGTGGGAACCATTAATTATCATATAACCAGTAATCAAGAAGCTACTTAATGAACCAATTATCAATCAATTATCAAATTTGTCATTAAGGGAGGAATGGAACTTAACTTATACCCAAAGGAACCAACTATGTTTATTGATTGTGTTTCACTACACCAGGCCTTGTCATTTGAAAATCTCAGGAGAGCATAAAATAAACTCCCTTGTTTTACCCTCTTCACTTTATAATATGGATGGAATCTTAAAATTATTGTATTGTTCTTTAGCTATTATGTAGCTGGGGATGTTTTGCTTATTTAATTGTTTTGTACATTTATATTTTATTACCTGGTAATAAAATTAATAGTGATATAAATTAATTTACTAAACTTTAATAAGAGCAATAAACTTAAATGATGGATAACAAAACATTAAAAAAAAAGTAACACTTGTAAAATTACCAAGTTTGACTGAAATGTTTTATTTTCATAAGTCGAGAAATTTATTTGGTCATCGATAGTATCACAGAGAAAATAATATGAAATAAACAATTTGATTCATAACCAATATAAGTATTACTCGTCAATGAACTGAGCGTGCGCTATATTTCCTTCTTTGTTCTTGCTATATCTCATATGTCTTGCACAAGGCAGAACGGAGGGCCTGACTATAGATGTATCAGGGTTGATGTACTATTTTTTTCAAAATTCAACACAGGCATCATGTAAGGCGTTGTCAAGTGGCATGGTTGCGATCCCATTTCCATCCAAGCTTATACATGACAAGTAGGGTTTTCTACTTTTCTGCACTGGCCAACATCATGGGTTTTTCTCCTGGTCCCCCCACCTACTAACTCAAAAGGGAATTGTTGAAATAAATTATACCATGTTAGTCCCCATTTCTCTCTCAGTGTCACAACCAACGAATAATTACATGTACATAATTATCAGTAATTGTGAATACTGCCATTCTAAACATTAAACATTTATCATTTGAAATATTCATGACAGGGAATGTAATTATATCATTCTACTTGATATTCATTGAACAGAAAAAAAACCCAGTAAAAATTTGATAAAAAAGCAGGTCTCCAGACTCAGAAAATATTTTTGTGTGTCAGTTGTGAACAACAGCTGATGAAAAAAATGAAATGGGTTTTTAATGTATCAACTGATGAAGTGGAATATTTTTGTCGAGAAACAAATAAAGTGTACAGTTGAGTTGGTTATAAGAAATTTGAAATGATCGTTAGAACTAGACTAATTCAAACACAAGGGCGGGGCCAAGTTTTTTACAATCATTTATTTCTCCCCATGTTGCTAAAATCAAATTTTAACAACTCTGACCGATGTTTCTTTGACTGATGTTTTTTTGACGTGTTTTTTTGATAAAATAAAAAATTAACATAATAAAGACTAGCACTGGGACATTGTATGTGGGTACTGATTAAATTGTTATGTCGTGGCAAGGAATTTCCATTCAAATAATGAGTGTTGGTGACAGACGAATTAACAGGTGCATTGATGCAAGTGTCAACATTAACCTGTACTTTCAATGTATACAATTTTATATGATATCAGCATTATTCATGACCACGTAACAAGTATGTGTAAATCTGGAAATAAACAACCCATCACTGATGATATTAGTCAGGCTATTGTTTGATATTATCAAAAATTGATATTTAATGTAGGCGTATACATGTATATGTAATAATAATCTTTTTTATATAGCTCTGAACATTCAGTCAGTCTGACTGTAGGCCTATATATATATATATACATGTATATACCTGTTAAATTTGTACCTATTTTTACATGTACATCAAAAATGTTAATAAGTTTAATAGATTTTTAAATAAATTTTTTAGTCAATGAATCATACATACATATAGTCAGTCATTTCAATGACCAGGTTTGGTGACAGATGTTGCTTGGTAGTCTCATTCTCTTGTAGTGTTATACATTCTTCATTCTTCTCTTATAACATATTTCCTTGTAACTCAATTGAATTTCAAATTTACGTCAGAACAACTATTATAGAAGTTACATGAACGTTTTCACGTATACATGTAGGCCTATACAATTAGGCCCAATGCACGAAACTGGAAGAAGAGCTAGCCCCGAGTTCAGAGTATTCACAGACTTAAGTTAAGAATTAACTCAACTTTCAGTCACTATGAGAAATTCTTTTGAATTTGATCCAGAAACACAAAACTGTGCACATAGTTTCCTATTGATGTACATATATTTGATACATTAAAACAGCAAATCTTTTATAAATTCTTAACTACTTAAAGTTACATTATGGGAGATTAGATAACGAGTTGGCAGTTATCACTATAATAGTTAAAAACTACATAATGTAAAGGCAACTTGCTGAAAATTTCAGTCAAATTGATCCACTATGAACCGAGAACTAAGCGGATGGAAGTTCCGCTTAGCCTCGATCATCATTACTGAAGTCGATAAGACAAAACTAATAGTCTTGATTATCCATTTAATTGTTAGTCACGAAGGAAAGTTTTGCAGCAAATCGGACTGTAATCCAACAAATATCGCAGGCAAGCCTTGACATCAAGAGCTGATTATGGTCTGGATAAGTTAATTAATGTCTAATTAATAGTTTTTATAACATTTCAGGCCTAAACAAAGACCTACCATAGGCTGATTTTGCTCTTGCATAACGTATGTTTAAGTCTGAGAATGCTTTGTGAAGTCGTGGGCCAGATGTTGCCTTATAAGAACAAATTGCACCATGGACACAATTTAAATATTTTGACATTAAAGATATTTCCCCATGTCCGTGTCCATGTCTAGCAAGGAGAAGTTAGTCAAGACATGTAAAAATTGACAGGTAAAACAACAATTGACAGTTGTGAGGCAAAATTTCCTTCTTAGCACACTGTATGTGTGTACATGTATGTCTTCATTAGCCCAGTCAGAGAAGAATAGCACACTGTTTGGAGTATTTATCTTTTTCATTATCCCAGTTTGAGCAGAATAGTAGGACATTGAACACCATTTCATTCATTTATAAAAGATATTTGCTTTACATTTTTTCAAGCAGAAATATGATCGCTGTCTATAATAAATGTTGATGTTTTTTCGTCAACAAATGAAGGACACCCATGTTATAATGATTAGTATGCAAGTTATCATATTGTGCACAGGGGATTACAGGTACATGTATCTCAGGATTTTGTTGTACATGTATCATATTATCAGTACTGTTCTTTTACCAACTCGGTCCCTGGCTAGCCTGTCCAACCTCATGGGTATTCCCAGGTCCTTGGGGTTAATCTCTCTCACTCTGTCCCCCCACCCCTCTCTCTCGCCTCCCCCTCACCCACCAACTTGTGGCTTTACTCATTAAAACTAAACCTAGGTTTAAACTATTTTCACTGGCTCAGGTGTTAAAATCCTATAAAACCAAATTTCATGTATCCAATGAAAATGCCTAATTTAAGTAGCGATATGTTAATAATAATACCCCTGGTATTAATTTCATTAGAGTTTGTGTTATATTTATTGTGTTTGTTTTCCTACAGGAACTGGTACCTGTATTAGGTTCATTAAGAGATACTGTATTAGAGTTTGTATTATATTTATTATGTGCTTGTATGTTTACAGGAACTGGTACATGTATTAGGTTGATGAGAGGTACTGTATTTATTATGTATTTGTATGTTTTCAGGAATGTATTTTAAGTGGAATGTTATCTGTTAGTGGGAAGAAGATTCTTCATATGGATAGAAATAAATATTATGGTGGAGAAAGTGCATCTATTACACCATTAGAAGATGTAAGATCATTACTATCATAATATCATATTGATATCATTATACTGATTAAAACACTTATATTCATATACTACTTCTGTACAGATATCGTTATCAAGCAAAAAATGTTAATAAATTCAGAAGTAGTATATCCATATAAGTGTTTTTAATTTGTGAAATCTACACCATTATAGAGGATATAAGTTCATTAAAATATGATATTAATGTAAATACAAATCAATGCTTTCCCTGTTGTTTCTATTAGAGAAGATGTAAGTTCATTACATTACTCTCTCTCTAAAATATAATACAGCTTTGATGCATCATTTTAATCAATAAGGGGTGGTTGGATGGCCGAATGGTTAGCCAGTGCGCGCTGTATCATAATAAGGTCTGCCATTGAGTCAAGTTGGTTTCGATTCCCCGGTTGTACGCGACAAGGAGTAGGGTTTGCCTGTCCAACCTCGTGGTTTTTTTTCAGGGTCCTCTGGTCTCCTCCCTATGCACAAGCAAGTTATTGAAATATAATTGAACCATATGTTAGTCCCGTAATGACCTAGTTTGTGTAAAGTGGACGTTAAACCCCATTTCTCTCTCTGTCACAATGCCGGAAAATTCCTAAGAACTTTCTCAGCCAAAACCTGACCCCTCCTAGACAGCGAGCTGCATCTTTCACACAGAGCCCATGTGGCTTCCACAATGTACATGTATGCAGATAGAGATATTAGCCTTATGCCCGTTTTAAATGTACGTGTTTTCACCGGCTATAAAATAAGTCCTGCAAATGTAAAGAGACTGTTTCCTTGTAACCGATGAAAAGTTTCTTTGAAGCACAAGGGAAAGAGATACATGGAAAAGAGTGTTTATGGTTATTTGGATAATGTATAGAGTCTCTAACTAATGTAAAAATGTTTTTTTGTAGTTTTATAGGTTAGATATGTTTAAAAGGGGGGAAACCGCAACAATTCCAGAAAAATTTGGACGTGGACGAGATTGGAATGTTGACCTTATACCTAAATTTTTAATGGCCGACGGTAAGTCTGTTTCTAAAATATATATTAGTTCCTTGTTCCTTGTGGACCCTCTAGAAGTTGTCATCTGGTTAACTTGTAACTAACTGTCAAGGTCTACTTCCTGAGCCACTGTAATAACACTTTCCTTACAGTTTAACACATTGCTAGTTGTAGAACCGTACATTACTGGTTATAGAACAGTACATTGCTGGTTATAGAACCGTACATTGCTGGTTATAGAACCATACATTGCTGGTTATAGAACCGTACATTGCTGATTATAGAACCGTACATTGCTGGTTATAGAACTGTACATTGCTGGTTATAGAACTGTACATTGCTGGTTATAGAACCGTACATTGCTGATTATAGAACCGTACATTGCTGATTATAGAAATGAATGAAATGAAATGGGGTTTAACGTCCTACTGTTTTGCTCCGAACTGGGCTAATGAAGACGGGCATACGCCATACAGTGTGCTATGAGGGAAATTTTGCCCGGACAGCGGCACTACGGCCTACTCTTATATCGAATTCCAACTGTCAAGGGATCTTTTACGTGCACGCCAATGTGTACACGGGACCTCGGTTTTTCGTCTCACCGGAATGACTAGGGCTGGCAATCGATCATGTTTTCAGTATCGATTATCGCCGACCATCCGCCGATCAATTATCGATAATATCGGCAAATTATTTTGACTTACAATTGATTTGAAAAATATAAGAATTTGTACATGAATAACGAATTATATGCGAGTTTATGTTTTGATATCATTCTGTATACATGTAGAATGTTTTTCATTTATTTGACATTTGACAATGAAATAATAGAATTCCATAGCAAAACCAAGGTGTAGAAAGAAACTCGATCAACTTCGTTTGGAAGACAGAACCGCCATCGCTCGCCATATCTTTGTCGCTTATGATCTGAATAATAATGAGTAAAATGTAGTTATTTCCCTTTGATCACATCAACCGGATTCTTCATATCGTTCGCCGTAACAGTTTATTGAATGTTACGTGAAATCATTGGCTCTCATCATGACATAAGCGGCCAACATTTCTCACCGGTGGCGTCTCACGTGAAAAAACAAAACGTGTGTGTTTTATTATGACTATTCTACAGTTCTAGGACCCAAGCACGCGTTGCAAAGAACACAGTGATAATGATTATTTTTACGGACTTCTTCTTGCAAGTGAAGTACCTATAATTGCGCGATAATCGATATTTTAAAACTTTATCGATAATTGATTTTCAAAACGCTTGCTGACGATTATCGGCAATATCGATTATTTCCGCCAGCCCTACGAATGACTAGACAGCTGTCCTTGTCAGGCCCTCCGTCCTGCATCACTGACAAGGGGGAACCACGCCGGAAAATCTGGATGAACTTTCTCGGCCAATGCAGGGATCGAACACCCGACCTCCAGGCTAGCGAGCCAGCGCCTTACCCACTTAGCCACCGTGATCCCCTGCTGATTATAGAACGGTACGTTGCTGATTATAGAACCGTACATTGCTGGTTATAGAACCGTACATTGCTGGTTATAGAACCGTACATTGCTGATTATAGAACAGTACATTGCTGGTTATAGAACCGTACATTGCTGTTTATAGAACCAAACATTGCTGATTATAGAACTGTACATTGCTGGTTATAGAACCGTACATTGTAATGAAATGTTGAATTAACTCGTACTGACCAATATATATTACATGTACAGGAATTGAACGTATATTAAATAAGAGGGTAGGGTAGTCGAAGGGTTAACATGTGCTCGTTTGGATCATAAGGTCTGTCATTGAGTCAACTGGTGTGGTTTCCATTCCCCAGTCGGACGTGACAAAGAGTAGGGTCATCTGTCCAACCTCGTGGGTTTTCTCCGGATCCTCTGGTTACTTCCCACTGCTAAAGACCCCTACGATCAAGCGAATTATTGAAATAAGATTGAACCATGTGTTAGTCCCGAAATGACCTATTGGGTGTTGAATATATATTAAATAAATGATGAAATGAATATATTTTTCAGGTCAACTTGTTAAAATGTTAATTTATACTGGGGTCACAAGATATCTTGAATTTAAGTCTGTAGAGGGTAGTTACGTATATAAAGGTGGAAAAATTTTCAAGGTACCAGCGGATGAGAAAGAGGCGTTGGCTTCATGTAAGTTATTTCTTTTATTATTCTGTGGGTAGGAGACTAGTCCAGTGGTGTAACGTGGATGGGAGGGAGAATAGTCCAGTGGTGTAACATGGATGGGAGTGAGAATGGTTCACTGGTGTAACGTGGTTGGGAGGGAGAATAGTCCAGTGGTGTAACATGGGTGGGAGGGACAATGGTTCACTGGTGTAACGTGGGTGGGAGAATAATGGTGTAGCTGGGTGGAAGGTAGAACAGTTCGGGGGTGTAACATGGGTGGGAGAAAAGTCCAGTGGTGTAACGTGGGTGGGAGAATAGTCCAGTGGTGTAACGTGGGTGGGAGCGACAATGGTTCAGTGGTGCAACGTGGGTGGGAGGGAGAATAGTCCAGTGGTGTAACATGGGTAGGAGACTAGTCCAGTGGTGTAACGTGGGTGGGAGGGAGAATAGTCCAGTAGTGTAACGTGGTAGGAATATAGTCAACATGGGTGAGGGAATTGGCCCATTAGTAGAACTTGTGAGTGGGAGAATGGCCCATTGGTCTTAACTCGTGTGGGGTAGTGGCCCATTGGTCTTAACGTGGGGTAATCAACTTATATCCCCCCAAAATATGGTATTTATTTGATTAATTGGTATTTTTATATTCTACAGCTTTAATGGGATTGTTTGAAAAGAGAAGATTTAGAAATTTCTTGATATTTGCCCAAGAATTTGAAGAAGATAATCCAGCAACATGGAAGGAAATAGATCCTAAGACATCTACAGCTTCTGACGTATATAAAAAATTTGGTGTTGATACGAATACAACAGATTTTACAGGTCATGCTATTGCTCTGTATCTAAACGATGAGTATGTTCATTTTATACTATATCTTTATACTATCCCCTCTGAACCGAGATATTAACATTTGAATTTTAGGCCTGACCTCGATCATCATTACTAAAGTCGGTACGATAAGAAACATAATCTCGATGATCCATTTCATGATTAATTCATCAATGAACTTTGAGCAGCAGATCGGTTTCAAATCCAGTGAAAAGCTGACACATAAGATAACATCTAGAGTTGATCAAGGTCTTTTCAGGTTAATAAATGTCTAATTAATAATTTAGATAACATTTCATGCAATAGGCAGATTTATCTCTTGTATAATGTATGGTTATATATATTGTATATTTTTTAGTTACATGAAGAAGCCTGGTAGTGCTGTAGAATTGTTAAAGAGATGTAAGTTATACAGTGGTTCCTTAGCTAGATATGGTAAATCACCATATTTATATCCTCTTTATGGTCTCGGGGAATTACCTCAAGGATTCGCAAGGTAAATATTTCAATAACCTGCAACAACAGTAACTGTAAAAACCATACATCAACCATAAAATTTCTTTCTTTATAAATAATCGGTAAATACAGACTCCAATGATAACACAGTTATCGGTCGATACAGGCTAACAAAAACACAGTTATCGTTAGATTAATTCTAACGATAACACCGATATCGGTTGATACAGGCTAACGATAACACAGTTGTCAGTCGATACAGGCTAACGATAACACAGTTATCAGTCGATACAGGCTAATGATAACACAGTTATCAGTCGATACAGGCTAATGATAACACAGTTATCAGTCGATACAGGCTAACGATAACACAGTTATCGGTCGATACAGGCTAACGATAACACAGTTATCGGTCGATACTGGCTAATGCCAACACAGTTATCAGTCGATACAGACTAACGATAACAAGTTATCAGTCGAGTAAGGCTAACGATAACACAGTTATCGGTCGATACAGATTATGTAAACGGACACCAAGAACAAATTACATGATATTGGGTGATTTAAGATGATTTTTACGAATTTTCAATCAAGGATTTGATATTGAATGAATGTGAAAGAAAATATTGATAAAAACACAAGATTAAATGATACCAGGATGAGAGTGTTGAGTTCTAATTAAATATGATTAATTTATGTAGATTGAGTTCCAATTAAATATGATTAATTTATGTAGATTGAGTTCCAATTAAATATGATTAATTTATGTAGATTGAGTTCCAATTAAATATGATTAATTTATGTAGATTGAGTTCCAATTAAATATGATTCATGTATCTGGATTGAGTTCCAATTAAATATGATTCATGTATCTGGATTGAGTGCTATCTATAAACCGAGATTGAGTTGTAATTAAATATAATTTGTCTATATAGATTGAGTGCTATCTATGGTGGTACATACATGTTAGATCGACCAGATGCTGAGATCGTATTTGAAGATGGTGTAGCTGTAGGTGTGAAAGCAGCCGGTGAAACAGCACATTGTACTGGTGTCGTCTGTGATCCCTCTTATTGTAAAGAAAAGGGCAAAAAAGTTGGTGAGGTGAGTGATTGTCCTGTTACATCAGGGAAGAGGGGTCGGTGAGGGTCCTGTTACATCGGGGGAAGGGTGGTCGGTGAGGTGAGTGATTGTCCTGTAACATTGGGTAAGGGTGGTCGGTGAGGTGAGTGATTGTCCTATTACATCGGGTAAGGGTGGTCGGTGAGGTGGGTGATTGTCCTGTAACATTGGGGAAGGGTGGTCGGTGAGGTGGATGATTGTCCTGTAACATCGGGTAAGGGTGGTCGGTGAGGTGGGTGATTGTCCTGTAACATTGGGGGAGAGTGGTCGGTGAGGTGAGTGATTGTCCTATTACATCGGGTAAGGGTGGTCGGTGAGGTGAGTGATTGTCCTGTAACATTGGGTAAGGGTGGTCGGTGAGGTGAGTGATTGTCCTGTAACATTGGGGAAGGGTGGTCGGTGAGGTGGGTGATTGTCCTGTAACATTGGGGGAGGGTGGTCGGTGAGGTGAGTGATTGTCCTATTACATCGGGTAAGGGTGGTCGGTGAGGTGGGTGATTGTCCTGTAACATTGGGGGAGGGTGGTCGGTGAGGTGGGTGATTGTCCTATTACATCGGGTAAGGGTGGTCGGTGAGGTGAGTGATTGTCTTGTAACATTGGGGAGGCTCAGTGAGGGTCCTGTTACATCGGGTAAGGGTGGTCGGTGAGGTGGGTGATTGTCCTGTTATATCGGGGGAGCAGGTCGGTGGCCGAGCTGTTTAACATGTGTGCATAAGATCATAAGATCCTATCATTGAGTCAAATGGCGTAGTTTTGATTCTCCGCTTGCAAGTGAAGGTGTTTTTATATTGTATATTTGTAATGATAAGAATTAGTATAATGCAATCAACTCAAAACCGTATTGTATGCTCACACTATTAACAGAACTTGCAGAAAAAAAAGATGGTCAATAAGAATAATTAAACAGGTTTTAACTTGTTAGAGTAATTTGCATAATGAATATTTATATTCCAGGTTGCTAGAGCTATTTGTATAATGAATATTTATATTCCAGGTTGTTAGAGCTATTTGTATAATGAATATTTATATTCCAGGTTGTTAGAGCTATTTGTATAATGAATATTTATATTTCAGGTTGTTAGAGCTATTTGCATAATGAATATTTATATTTCAGGTTGTTAGAGCTATTTGCATAATGAATATTTATATTTCAGGTTGTTAGAGCTATTTGCATAATGAATATTTATATTTCAGGTTGTTAGAGCTATTTGCATAATGAATCATCCTATTCCTAATACTAAAGATAATCAATCATGTCAAGTGATCATTCCACAGCATCAAGTCAACAGAAAGTCAGGTTGGTCTACTTTCACTTTCTTTATTTACTTCCTGTCAATCTCTCGGGATTCAACACACCAATCATGATTTACCATACAGCATAAACCATTCAAATTTATGTGGTAGAATGGTGTAGTGTGTGCTCGCTTTAGGTCATACGGTCTGACATTGTTTGCCCAATGTTGTGGATTTTCTCCTGCTTTGTGTCAAGCAGACCTTAAACACCCTTTCTATCTCTTGTTTTAAATTGGTGTCTGCGAATTCTAGTCTGGTGTTTCATCAGCAGTGGTGTCTTGCTATATTGTACATGTGTATTCCCAGTAGTGTGTGTCTGTGCTGTTAAATTATTTTTGTTTCGGGGTGTGGGGAGAAGGTCCTCTAAATGACATACTAAGACGGAAAGTGAAATATTTATGAGAGATATATAATTGTGTATTTTATATTTATGTGAGATGTATAATTGTGTATTTTATATTTATGTGAGATGTATAATTGTGTATTTTATATTTATGAGAGATATATAATTATGTATTTTATATTTATGAGAGTTATATAATTATGTATTTTATATTTATGAGATATGTATAATTATGTATTTTATATTTATGAGAGTTATATAATTATGTATTTTATATTTATGTGTGATATATAATTGTGTATTTTATATTTATGAGAGTTATATAATTATCTATTTTATATTTATTTGAGATATATAATTAGGTATTTTATATTTTTGAGATATATATAATTGTGTATTTTATATTTTTGAGATATATATAATTGTGTATTTTATATTTATGAGAGATGTATAATTGTGTATTTTATATTTATGAGAGATGTTTTATATTTGTAGATATCTATATCTGTGTGGTGTCACATGCTCATCAAGTTTGTTCTAAAGGCTATTATTTAGCTATAGTTAGTACTACAGTAGAAACAGACAACCCAGAAGAAGAATTAAAACCCGGTCTAGATTTATTGGGGAATTTAGAAGACAAGTAAGTTACCTTATGAATAGTCCGAGGAGTAGGGGTGTAGATCACAGCCTTTCTTTATTTATAAATCTATTAATTATATAGTTGGAAATCTTCAAAGCTGTCCTAGATTCAACTCATGATGCTACCAGTTCCGTTCTTCTGCAATTTTTTCAGACTTCAGTGAGATTGTGCAGCTGTTGTTGTTTTAAAGTTGAGTCAACTGGCGTGGTTTCCATTCCCCGATTGTACGTGACAAGGAGTAGGGTCGCCTGTCCAACCTCGTGGGTTTTCTCCGCGTCCCCTGGTTTCCTCCCATTGCTAAAGACCCCTAATTGCAAGGCAATTATTGAAACATGTTAGTCTCAAAATGACCTTGTTTGTGTCAGTGGAGGTTAAACTCCCTCTCTCCAGTCGTTGGGGATCTCTCTCTCTCTCTCTCTCTCTCTCTCTCTTTCCTGTCGTTGGGAACCAGAGCACTGTGGAATTGTCCCAGGTGTCTCTGCTGCCAGAATGATGTGTGAACAGAAATCAGGTGCTAAGATACTTTCAGAACCAGAGTTTGTTGCCCAGTATTCTCTTGTCATTGATGCAGGACAAGGGGGTCTGACGAGGAACATTGAGGTTCCTGAAGTCTCCTAACAGTTTGAATGTCCCTTGTAGTGCACGTCATGGCGTAGGCCTATCTTCAATAGCCCAGTTGGTGGTGTAAAAATGTCGATTTAAAATATGGTGTTAACATTAATGTTGTGAGAAGAATGGGAGGGTCATCTTCTCCCTCCATTATAATAAAGTCAGGTTAAAACATGATTGATATTTGGTATTGTTCATACTGATAGAAGATACCCTGTGGAGTAAATCTGTTTATAAATATTTTTACAGGTAACCTTGTTTTAATGTATCTATATTTTTACAGGTAACCTTGTTTTAATGTGTCTATTTACATGTATGTGTTGTATATTTACAGGTTTGTGTATGTCAGTGATCTAATAATGCCTACAGATGATGGTAAAGATAGCAAGGTATTTAGAAAAACTCTTTATATAGGTCTAGAGGAGGGTTGGATGGCCGAATGGTTAACACGTTGTATAGGTCTGTCATTGAGTCAAGTAGTGTGGTTTCAGTTCTCCACTTGTACGTGACAAGGAGTAGGGCCGTCTGTCCATTCTCATTAGTTTTTTCAGGGTTCTCCGGTTTCCTCCCACTGCTAAAGACCCCTACACGCAAGTGAATTATTGAAATAGAATCAAAACATATGTTAGTCCCGAAATGACCTAGTTTGTGTCCAGTGGACATTAAACCCTCTCTCTCTCTCTCTCTCTCTCTCTCTTTCTCTCTCTCTCTCTCTCTCATATCTACAATGAAATTTTCAATATATTCATTTTTCATTTTCTACTTTTTAATTATCATAGCAAAAAAAAGCCAGGTCGTTGTCTAAATCTTAAATAATAATATAATTATATTTTCATTTTCTATTTTTGAACTATTTCAGCTATATCATTTATGACATAACAATATAAATAATATTTTCAGGTATTTATGACCAAGTCATATGATGCAACAACTCATTTTGAAACAACCTGCGAGGATGTGTTGGATACGTTTCAGAGAATAATGGGTGAACCGTTTGATATGGGAAAAGTACAACATATGAAATTAGAATCGGAAGAATGCCAGTGATTGGTTGCGAGCGCACATGTGATCTATTCAAATCTTTAATATTATTCTATATAGCTTTCATCTCACCAAAATACATTTGAAAGTGTTAGGGTCCACGTCACAAGTTATCGCTGAGAGTATGTCCGTATTTTCACATAGAAATCATGCTGCAAGTATTTAACTTTTTTTGTATTTATGCATTTTACTACCACGTTCGTTCGTTCGTGTCAAATTATTTATTTCTATGTTCATTCAGCTTTTGGCGTTAAAATAAAATTAAAAAAATAAATTCCTACAAATTGTTGATAAAATGTATCCCGATCTTGTTTTTATATGAGGTATTTTATTGGGAGTTATTTGGTGGGGTGGGGTGGGGGAGGGGGAAACCTGTTTAATGATGGTGTCATTCAGTACTGGAATGAGAGAAACTATATATTTATTAGTAGAAATTTTAATCGGACTATAAGTCTGGATTTTAGCATCTAGTCTTTTTGTTGATGTATTCATTTTAGACGGGTACAACATGAAATAAATACTAGCAAGACATTTCTAGTGTTGAATTTCGTAACTTGTTTCTATATGAATTGCATCACGTAAATTTGTAATTTTTCTTGATATATCTTGATTTGTTAGAATCTAAATCATGCAGGTTAGTGTGATAGGTAATGCCCTTATGTAATCTGGTTTCCTGGGTATCAGGAGGGTTCGCTATCAGTGATCTGTGTCGTCACAGGCTTAGCCTACATCCCAAACAAAAGGGTATATTAATATTAAAAAAATATGGTCCAAAAATATCCGTAAACTATTTCTTGTAATATTGTGAACTAGGATAACTGTTGTAATATATTTCTGATTTCATGTGGTGTATCATAACTAATACAGTATAATAAATACCATTATGTAGATGTGTTTAATGAATACTATGATGAACATATAACAGTAACTATTGATAGACCCTTGAATAAAGACCATTATTTGCCCTTATTGACAATAAAAGACCATGTACCATTATTTTCTCCCTTTTGACCCTAGAATAAAAACAAAGATTTCTCATTCTGACCCTTGAATACACACCATGATTTTCTTCCTATTGACCCTTGAATACAGACCATGATTTTCTTCCTATTGACCCTTGAATACAGACCATGATTTTTTTCCTATTGACCCTTGAATACACACCATGATTTTCTCCCTTATTGACCCTTGAATAAAGAACATGATTTTCTTCCTATTGAGCCATTATAATAACCATGTACCATGATTATCAGGTTGACATGAATTTGATATTCGGACGATATTGTGACAAGATCCTAATTATTATTTAAACTTTAATTATTTTAAACAAATAAATTGATTTTTATTTTAAATAAATTGCCCGTCTTCTTCCCATTCATCAGCCATTGTTTTGTTGGTTAATTTTTTTTAAAATTAAAATTGTTGTTGTCGTTTATAAATGTTGGTATTAAATGTGATGCTATTCCGTAAAGCCATTTATATAAATAAATATATATGTATAAATATATACGATAACATTGGTCACTACATAATTGATTATGGTTTTTGTCAAATATATACTATGTCACAAATACGTCAGTATTGTCTTGTTTAACTGTATTAGTCGGAGGCTTGGATGGGATAAACGTTCCTCGTGATTGAGACAGTCATCTTGTTTACCTGTATTAGTCGGAGCCTTGGATGAGATAAACGTTCCTCATGAATTATGAATTTTTATGTGGAAAAGTTTATTAATTCATATCTATTTCTCGTTAATGTTTTCCGTTAGTAGGTGTAGACAAGTAGTATGTTAACCCTATTTCATGTCTTATTGGTTTATAGCCAGTGGGGGAGGGGGCTCTCGGGAGGTTTACAAGTGAAAGTATAACAACTCAAACCTCTGTGATTCTTATGCATTAAAGATATTTTATCCCACCGTGCACCCCATACATAATGACCTAGGTAACTGTTACACCATTAACCACCAAGTCCTCCTCTTCTCTCTATGTATATATATACATATTTAAGTTTTGTAGAAGTTATTATTTTTTATTTAGCACAACTGAAATACAATACTCGGACATTTGATAATTTTGATGATAATTTTTTTTTTTTTCTCCAGATACCATGTTGTATATGAATAATAATAGAACAATGAAATTATTGCACATTTTAGATTATGAAATAATTTTTGGGGAAATGTTAAGGGAAGCTACTCTAACCAGATAGCTTATTTCCAGCAAAGAATGTTGCTTGGATTTCATGTTTACTGAATGATACTTTCTAAATCCCTTGAACATGTAAAGGATTTCTAAAGGATTTGCTTATGGAACGAGGAAGTTTACCTTTTTTTCAAGGAAATTAATGAAAATGATGTGGACTGTACGATGTATATAATTCTTACATTATTTCATTGTCTTAATTACCATGATTAGAATGATACAAGATGTGACACGAAACGGAGGCCTTGCTCACAAAAACGTAAACTAGTCTTTTCATTGGCTTAGAGCTAAAAAATGTGCTAAGATTTTTTTTAACTTTCAGCCAATGAAAAAGTCTAAATCCTTAAAATACTTCTGTTTATGTGAATAAGGCCCTGGGCCTTTTTAATATTTACTTCACATGATTTTGTGTTACTTCGTTTACATTTGACTATGTCTGCTTGCTCAAGTTTAATCAATAAACGAGCAAGTTATGTGATCCCAAATCATTTTAAACCATGTATTAATATTAAATCATTCTGATTTTTTTCTAAGACACGATAAAATTACAAAATCATTTAGCGATCTTTCTTGATATTCTATCTTATTTTAAGTAATATGCTGACAAATTTATTCATGGTAAAGTCTGGTATGAGAAACGACAGTCGTTTGAGCTGCAATGGATTAACGTATAATTCTCCAACTTCTTTATGAACAAATACGTTCTGAGTCGAATATAATTCTCGTGGTTTCTAACAAATACGTTCTGGGGCCTGTTTCACGAAATTTTAACTAAGATAAATCCAAATTTTAGTAATTTGATTGGATAATATTAGATTGATTTTAGTGCTTAACCAATCAAAATTGAAGTATCTACTATAATTAGGATTTTATCTTTAGTTAAGATTTTGACAAACAGGGCCCAGAGCCGTAATATTTAACATATAGTTCTAGTGGTTTCATTATAACAAATACATTCTGAGCCGTAATCGTATAATTCTCATTATTTCTTTATAATAAATACAGTTTGACTTTCCTTCTTCGTATGTAGGAGGCTATGAATATTGTTTGAGGATATTCATCCATGTACATTGTTTTTTTTAAAGCCATTTCATTAACTTATGAATTTATCTGTATGTTGTCTTAGACTTTAGAAAACGGTCATTTTTTGAAACTCGTTTGCGGAGTTGGGTGGCCAAAGGGTCTAATACCTGCAGATTAGATCGTGAGGTCTGTCATTGAGTCAAGTAACATAGTTTTCGTTGTCCAGATTGTACTTGACATGGAGTAGGGTTGGCGACAAACCTTGTGGGTTTTTTCCCCACTGCTATTCAAAATCTCTGTATTTTGTGATGAACTGAAAAATAACCCAAATAAAATGAGTTTCCAAGAATGATTCGATGTACGACATGAAGAGGTATATTATTTATTTATCATTAAGGAGATGCATTATAATCGTGCTACCATTACAATATAGTAGTGCTTGTGATTTTGTGACGACAATCAAGAATTCGCGACTAGCTTGATGTTGTGTGTCTTCGTTAAATATTGGAACTAAAGATGTACAGAAGAATAGCGTTTATATGTAGTTTTAATAATATCATGTAAACACATCCATTCTTATGGCCACATTATTTGATTGGTATGCTGTAACTGTGCTTAATCTGTGACAAGTGAAAATAAATTGTCCATACTGCTTATCGTGTTTTCATTGATTTTTTTTCTGGGCGAGGTCCTGGGTTTGACTTGGGGATGGTCCTGGGTTTGACCGGGGGTGTAGGAAAGAATGCTGGTCAAGGTGCAGCATACTAAGGAACCCGTGGTGGTTAGAACCTGTCTAGGAAAGGTGGAGCTTATGTTTTGATTTTCTTTCTGAGCAAGGTCCCGGGTTCGATCCTGGTGTTTACTGAGAGTTTCTCTGGATTTTCTGGTGTAAGAAAGAACCCGTGGTGGTTAGGGCCTGTCTAGGAAAGGTAGCGCTTTGATATCTTACTATTTCAAGAACACCTGGTATGGGAAGGAGCTTACTCTTACTAGGACACCTGATTTCCCATGATAACCCTACTTTTTGTAGAACACCCGATATCACATGGGGAGAAGCTTACTCTTTCCATAATACCTGATATCACACAATAAGCTTACTCTTTCCAGGACACCTGATATCACATGGGGAGAAGCTTACTCTTTCCAGGACACCAAATATCCCATGATAAGCTTACTCTTTCTAGAACACCCGATATCAGACGATAAGCTTACTCTTTCCATAATACAGTACCTGATCACACGAGTAGGAGCTTACTCATATGGTTTGGAAGAGCCCCCAGAACAGTTGAAAGAGAAATGGGGTTTAACATCCACTTGACACAAACTAGGTCATTTCGGGACTAACATGGTTTACTTTTATTTCAATAATTCACTTGCGCGTAGGGGTCTTCAGCAGTGGGAGGACCCAGAGAAAACCCACAAGGTTGGACAGGCGACCCTACTTCTTGTCATGTACAACTGGGGAGTCGAAACCATGCCAGTTGACTCAATGACAGGCCTTATGATACAGCGTGCACATGCTAAGCTAACCATTCAGCCATCAAACCCCCAGAACAGTTGAAGCTTCAGGGCATCCAAAACTGGCGTCCATGTAGATCAATGAACAACTTTTATTAAAGAAATATTTTTATTTATTTTGATATAAAAATACTGATAAAAGCATGGAAAGAATATTTTACAAAACAAAAATGTGCTCATCAACTAACAATTCATATATAAATTTTTAAAACAAGTCTATAATTAAAGGCCTAATCCCTTGCAAACTACAATATTGTAAACATTTAGGAATCTCTAATAGGAATGTCAGTCTAAACAGGATTCAATTCCATACAGCACATACTAAGTTATGACAAGACGCTCCCATCATACATTGGTAACGAGAAACCTGATGGGCCTAGTTTAAATCTGATCGAATTCAAGTCGAGAGATTATCTTGCATTGATAATTGGATTTTGTTTTCTTAAAGGCTCAATACCACTCTTGTTGTAACTGAATAATATGTCCCAATCTTTATTCTGGTCAACAAATTGTACTATTTTACAGTATTCCAATTAATTGATGATACAAATTTCATCTTAACACACCTAATTTAAAAAATTGGAAAAATTCAACTAAATGATTTGAAAAGCCTAACGTAAGCCTTTTCAAATGTGACTTGGATTTAAAAATATTTTCGAACCCTCTGGACAAGTAAAATAGGATGTAATGGATAATTTACACAACAGGTAGGACACTTAAACATCTAGTACTTAGAATAAGGCTATTATTTATTTTCTGGAGCTGTCAAGCCAGCAAGAGTGTTATTGTCCCTTTAATATAACTCTGTGTAAGAGTTTATCATCTATTTTTGAATTATTATAACAAGAATGGCCAACTCTTTATTAAACTCTTAACTAATATAGCCCTGTGTAACAGTTTATCGGCATTTTATTGAAACCTGGTTTTCTTCGGGTCCTCTGGTTTCCTCCTACAGCTAAAGACCCCTATGCGCAAGCGAATTATTGTAATAAAATTGAACCATATGTTAGTCCCGAAATGACCTAGTTTGTGTCGAGTGGACGTTAAACCCCATTTCTCTCTCTCTTTTATTGAAACCTAAATGACGTAATCCTCTTAATGAGGTAGATAAGAGAGAGAAATGGGGTTTAACGTCCACTCAACACAAACTAGGTCGTTTCGGGACTAACACATGGTTTAATTTTAATTCAATAATTAGCTTGCACGTAGGGGTCTTTAGCTGTGCGAGGAAACCGGAGAAAACCCATGAGGTTGGACAAGGCGACCCTACTCCTTGTGATAATATAATGAATGATGCATTTTGTAAGATTTAGATAAAGTGTTGGTCGTTCTTGCTGTAATAGTTCAAAAATAGGAAATGAATATAACAATCTGATTAAAAAACAGATCTATATTTCGTTTCGATTTTTTTTATACTTTCCATGACCTATACTACATGAAGATCTGACCAGCTGTACGTCAGCGTTGACGTTTCTAGTGGTTTACCCATAGTTCAGTGCATCTCACGCCAAGAAGTCGCCATAACTAACAGATGGTTTCATTGGCTAATCCCTCAAGCAATCCAGAACGCGGGTTATTTAACATCTATTCCAGATCCTAGTGTAGTACAGACAATTAAAACGAAATTTTGAACTATAAAAAACGAAACGAAATAGGTTCTGTGTTTTAACCAGGTTTTGAATGTAATGAACATTTCAGTCAAATTACTTTATTCCTAGGAAAGTTATGAGTGTTTGAAGTTGTAACAAGATAGTCTTGATTGTCGAGTACCATTTCTACGATAACAAAGTCTCAATCATCCATTTTAGCGTTAAATTTTAAATGGCGAGAGGGTATTAAGTCATCTGATGACTTAGAGAGTTGATTATGGGCTTATCATGTGAATAAATATCTAAAATAATTTATATAAAATTTGAAGCAAGAAGCAAGAAGCAAGCCTTGCAACAGATTTAGCTCTAACATAATACATCTTTAATGTGGTCCCTTGGGCAATGTTTTGTAATAAACAGACTTAAATTACAGATGTGACCTCATCCTTTGATGTTGGCGTACCATTATTTCAAATAATGCTACAGGCAATGTGCCAAGCGTGCATTATTTATACTAAATGAAATATTGGTCCCGTGTGACTATTTCATTGCAAAGCATGTGCAAGTGTCTGTATTTTAAGTTGTTTAATGGTCTCAAGCTAAAGACATTGCGTTATATATTGAAACAACAGGTCGTGACTACATCCCTCGTGTTGTTTCAATATATAACTTAATGTCTCAACCATTAAACCATAGGCCCCTACATATCATTGGAAATTATTATCAGAAAACAAAATATTGTCACCAATTGACAAGGCCTTCGCACCTTATGAGCTGTCTTATCTATTTGATCACAAGACAAAAACAAAGACAATGATTTCTCGCTAGCCAGAAACAATTAACAATTTCATCAACATTAATAAACAGTGTTCAATAAAATATAAAATAAAAATTTAATAATACATAAATAATAAAATAATTCTTTCTCTTCATTAACAATAACAAACATTTATCAACAATTATATACATCGTGCTCCTTTTATCGATAACCCTGTCCAATAATACAATCATCTCCCTTGATTTAAGGGCTTGATGTGGTATTTAGCGCTATAGGATTCAGTTACAAACTTTTATCGATAACCCAGTCCAATAATAGCATCATCTCACTTGATTTAAAGCCTTGATGCGGCACTTATCGCTAAAGAAATCCTTTGATTTAAAGCCTTGATGCGGCACTTACCACTAAAGGCATTTAGCGCTGTAGGAATCTCTCGTAAACTACAATAGGAATCTTTAAGTTGAATCTATAATAGGTATATCTGTCTAAAAAAGATTCAGTTCCATTTTGTATTTATAAAGCTATGACGAAATGAAATTTCATCGATCTACGAATCTACGACCGTATTGTGTGCCTTTTGATTTATCAACTATATGAGTATTAGGTCTATGAAACTACGGCTGTATTGTGTGCCTTTCGATGTATTAACCATATGAGTATTACAGTTATGAATCTACGGCCGTATTGTGTGCCTTTCGATGTAATAATTATATGAGTATTGTATGTATGAATATACAGTCGTATTGTGTGCCTTTCGATGTATTAACCATACAAGTTTTAGGTGTATGAAACTCTGGACACCTATATAACACTTGTATAATATGAGTTTTTAAATAAATATCACATGCATATTTTATTTTCATTGAATATAGATAACCAGACAACAGAACATACATCCAGCAGCAGAGAAGTCATGTAAGTAGGGCCTAGTTATAAACATAACAAAACTAAAACAGTTATATGGGCTGGTTTATTATACACAAGCACGATGTTTCAATAAGTATTCTCTTATGGTGCTTGTGTCTAATAAACCAGTGATTGTTGTCCCATATAACTGAGTTAGGTTTGTTATGTTTCAAATCACAGAATTCCACTAAAAGATTAGTTTTAAACTAACCAATTTCAAAAAGATAAGATCATAACTGAAGCCTCTAAGGTGATAACAACATTTTAGAACAAAGGGGGAATAACTCTGGAAGCTTCAACGTTTTAGTAACAAAGGGGCATTGCAGCCTTAAAAGCTGTAACAATATTGTGTAACTAAGGGGCATAACTCTAGGGGTGATCGTTGAAAATCAATAGCGTAGACTTAAAGATATGTGAACGACACACAAATTAAAATGTGAACATACAAAAAATAATTTTAAAACATTTTGATTAGGAATGTAAAGCTCATCTCACAATCCGCCATATGTGCTATTACGGCCAGTCTATGGAGGAAATTTTAGTAAACGTGTGCGTGGGACTTGCATGTGTTTGGCATCGTAGAAGATTGCAGACCGGCTGTAGAGACTTTTGATCCTACACATACAAAATATTCAACCAGTTTCTTGCGGTTGGTCTGCGAGCTGCCAAACCTTACGACCCAGCATGTCAAAACACCCATGGCAGATTGTGAGCTTGGTTTAAGATGGAATAATATTTTCTATAAAACTGTGATTCTTTGATTCATAAAATATGGTTAAATAATTGCTGAGTTTTCACCCTAAATAAATATAACAATAACTACTGTACATAGAATAACAACAATTACTTAGCTTTTATTACAGCGGTGTTTTAACTAGGCTTCTCTAGTCTCCATCAATCATTCTGAGAGAGAGGGTTTAACTCCACTCCACACAAACTAGGTCATTTCAGTAACAACATATGGTTCAATTTTATTTGAATAATTCGTTTGCACATAGGAGTCTTTAGCAGTGGGAGGAAACCGGAGGACCTGGAGAAAACCAACGAGGTTGGACAGGTAACGATACACCACCAACGATTCAGACGGAAGAGAAACAGACATTAAATAAAGAATATAATAACAAAATGAACAACCAGGATGGGATAACATTCTGTATAAAATCTTTTGCAGATTTCTCGTTGTCTTCTACACTTTCAAAATACAGTCTTTGTATATTTGCGTTTCGATGTCGACTGTTGAATTGTAAGTCGTCTATTTCGATGTCTGCGTAATATATTTAAAAAAAAAAACCAAATAATATGGAATGAAGAGAAGTGGAATCAAGTTTACAAGCCCCATCACATATAATTTTAACCCTTAATTCGTCACGCTGAAAACTATCACACTATTGAAATCATGGCGTTTAACCAACAGGTCGACTATAGTATAAATCAAAAGGAATGATTAAAACATACAATATAATTGAGTAGGTCGAGAAATCCCTGACAATATTGTCAATATTGTCTAAGTTAAAACTCTAACAGGAATACACCATGTAATAATAAATTACCAATATTGTACTCTGATTGACAGATCTGACAAACTACAATATTGTCTAAGTTTAGTCTCTAAATAGGAATACCTTGTCTAATAATAAATCATCAGTAGTGGTTATATTTTAAATCATTATTCGATTACTGTACCAAACAATCAAAATGATCAATTTCTAAAAGATTGCCGACATTACGTCTCTTTTTCTAAACATAAGGCCATACAATATAAATATTCTCAGACAATCCTTACCAACAATCTGATGTGGGAGGAGCATTTTTATTTTTGTGAAAGGATCACTACCCTCAAGAACTATTGATATTGAGATGTAGCATCTTACTTTTCTGAACCAAAGCCGTTATTAAAGACGAGTTCCCAGAAAAGTATTTATCGGGTGGTTATTTCCAATAAAAGTATGGCAATTTTGGTAGATATGGAAAGTAGAGATATCCAATCTTACTAAAAAAATACTGGATTCCCCGAAAAACACTCATGGAGCGCATACAGGACAAAAATGTAAGGGTTCCCCTAATCAACAGCCCGGCGATTAAGAATTTCTGCACGCGTGATGTCAAAGGTCACACGCGAACATTGAGCACTTGATGTACAAGTTGATAAATTTTATGAAGAGTTAGACGTACAACACTTTCTGAGATAAAAATGATAATCCGAGAATTTAATTAGGATTCGATATTTGTAATAAATAGTAAGCGATTCAAGACAACATCGTCTCATGTATGCAATGAATTCTCCTCTGATTTCCAAGATGTGACGTAAACATGACCTGGTTTGATCGAATTTTAATAGCAGGGCATTCCTTCGCAATTTCAATGTTTGAGAAGGATTTGAAGCATAATTATGACAAATTAATTAGTTTGAATATGTTTTTAGTCCATATATACCATTAAATCACCCAGTTTGTACGCGGGAACCCATCTTTAAAGACGGCAAAGTTGTTTGAAAATGAAATAAAATGGAGTTTAATGTTTTATTTTTCTGCAAAAACTGGGCTAATAAAGACGATAAAATGAAGTGGGGTTTAACGTCTTACTAATGCAGACGGTAAAATTGGTTTGAAAATGAAATAGGGTTTAACGTCCTTCTCATCGAGACAGTAAAAGGACAAAACATTTCTACTGTATTCCAATATCAATAATACAAATAATACTGTGGGCCATAAAAAACAGAATATCTGATTAAAATACACATCTATATTTCATTTCGTTTTTTTTATACTTTCGATGGCCTCTACTACATGAAGATCTGACTGGTTGTACTGGAAGGTCGTGTCAGGGGTCATATGAGTGGCTTTTGACCCTATGACATCAGACATTTGATTAATCAATCAGTGTTGATGTTTCTAGTGGATTACCCACAGTTTCGTACTTCGCATGGCAAGAACTTGTAAGAGACTGTTTCATTGACCAATCACTCACATCAACCAGAACACAGGTTATATAACAACTCTTCCAGATCCTAGTGTAGTAGAGTCAAGTAAAACGAAATTTTGAACTATAAAAAAACGAAACAAAATAAGATCTGTGTTTTCATCAGAGCGCGTAATAAACTATGTGTTGTCCTTGGCTTTCATGTGAATATAGAAATTAACACTGGACGTCCAACTGTTTCTCAAAGCCTCGTTAAATTTAGCTTGGAAGTGTCGCCGAGCATCTGCTTCATTGAGGTTTGGCACAAGTGATTCTTTTAAATAGTCTACATCCTTGGTACACGTTAATTGTGGTATCCCAGACGATAACATCATCATAAACAACGAGAAGAGAAGATGACTCTTTTTACGTAAAATAAGATAAGCTTGTTCACAATAATCTCGAAATCTGAAATTACAATCAAAGAACAAATTATCATAAAACCCATAATACGACATGCTTGATCACAATATTCTTCAAATTTAGAATTAGAAAAAATCATCATAAAAGCCATGGTTCTCAATCGTGGAAGTAAGTTGTGAGCGGAGGACCCCGAGAAAACCTACGAGGTTGGAACGGCAACCCTACTCCTGCCAGAGAGAGAGATGGGGGTTTAACGTCCACTCAACACAAACTAGGTGATTTCCTGACTAACATAAGGTTCAATTTTATTTAAATAATTCGCTTGAGCATAGGGGTCTTTAGCAGTGGGAGGAAACCGAAGGACCGGAGATAACCAACGACGTTGTAACGTGCAACCGGGCAATCGAAACCCCCGTCAGTTGACTCGATGACAGACCTTTTGATACAACACACACATGCTAACCATTCAGCCCCCCCCCCCCCGAAGTTTTAGAAATGAAATGGGGTTTAACGTCCTACTGTTTTGCTACGAACTGGGCTAATGAAGACGGGCGTACGCCATACAGTGTGCTATGAGGGAAATTTTGCCCGGACAGCGGCAATATGGCTTACTCTTATATCGAATTCCGAACTTCAAGGGATCTTTTACGTGCACGCCAATGTGTAAACGGGACCTCAGCTTTTCATCTCATCCGAATGAATAGACAGCTGTCCTTGTCAAGCCCTCCGTCCTGTATCACTGACAAAGGGGAACCAAGCCGAGAAATCGGGATGAACTTTCTCAGCCAATGCAGGGATCGAACACCCGACCTCTAGGCTAGCGAGTGAAGTGTTAGAGATGTTCTTCCAGGTATCTTCCAGGTAACATCCAGGTAACTTACTTGTCAAAGCTGTTGGGACCACCATGTTTAATTACATGAACAAAATGAGTTGTCAGAACAAATGGCACACGTTCTCTTTTCACACCAAACTTTTTCTTGATATTTCCGAGGAAATGACCAAAATCAATGTGGAATAACTGAAACGATACAAATAAATTTATCTATAGTACATATTAACATCAACTGCATGGAATAAATTTCCAAAAAATATCTAATAATGTGATTCTGTTTCAGTTTTAATATTCAAAATGAAAACTTGGTTATTTAGTCACTATGATTAAGTATACAAAATGAGAACATTCCCTAGTGTATTGAATAGTTAGTAAATATAAATATCATTATTATAACTAAATCTCCCAATAATCTGCTATACACCCATATTGTAGTAATACAGGACTTCTTTATTTGGTCTACTGATCATATTTCACAAACATGATAGTATTTGTTGAGTATTCTAACAATGGAAAGGGGAGAGAGAGAGAGAAATGGGGATTAACGTCCACTCGACACAAACAAGGCCATTTCAGGACTAACATATGTTTGGGGTTTTTTTAAAATTATATTTCAATAATTCGCTTACATGTAGGGGTCTTTAGCAGTTGGAGGAAACCGGAGAAAACCCACAAGGTCGGACAGGCGACCCTACTCCTTGTCACGTACAACTGGGGTTTTGAAACCATGCCAGTTGACTCAATGACAGGCCTTATGATACCGCGCGCCCGTGCTAACCATTCGGCCATCCAACCGCCCACAATGTAAAGAACATAACCAGTGTTTATGCCAAATTATTACAGTTTTTATATATTAACTCATCACTCTATAGAAAGTATCAACCTTATAATTAGATCAAGATACAATATGATTACAATATCTGTCTGGCCATTAGTCATCCTCGGTTACCCAGTGTACTCATTCTGTTCTACTCTACTATACCCTGGGTTAATCTATGGGGGAGACACGTTTTCAAGTTATCCGCCCTTGGTGATTGTGCTATTTTTATCGACCAATCCCATAAATTGTTATTGGAGAAGGAAGTTGGCAAAGGGAAATAACTCTCATCGGACAATGTTAGGAGTTGACCTATTATAAATGCGTAATTATTAACAAACAATTATATATTATGTTAATGAAGACCAGATGTTCGTATAATAATGTACGGTCATTAGTTTTATTTAGAATCGTTCATTCGTTCCCAGAATTTTATGTCCACGTGATATTGTAGACAAGTTATTGTGAATCAAATTGCCAAGTATAAGTTCAATAATAATAAATATAACAGAATGACATATTTCAGACAAAAAACGAATAGTAATAATAATAATAACAAAAGTCAAACATATAGATGTTATACATATTTGAAATCAGCGAAACATACTACAGATTTGGATAATAGAATTAAAAATAAATAAATTAGAAATATATACATTATTTACATAAATCATTCAGTAAATGGACATGAATATGGTTATCTACCCTTATAAAAACGAAGGCCAAACAATTGGTTTGTAAACTGTTTTCTGATTGGTTCGTAGACTGTAGCTACATTCTAGGCCAGGGCAGATAATTTGAAATCGTGGAAACCATATGGATTAACCCAGAGTATAGTGGAGTAGAACGGAATGAGTACACTGGGTAACCGAGGATGGCCATTAGTTTGCACCAAGGTTTTTCGACTCCTTCATATCAGCCAGTGTAGACTAATGCTGTTTGAAACTAAGGAGGGTCATCCCTATCATTGTTATTATACACCTGATGCTTTCTATCTGGGATTCTAACTCAGTATTAAAACCGTTCCACTATTAAAACTAATTTATAATAGTTCTACAACTGGTGTTAATACAGGATTTCACGGTATAACACAGACTACCCTATAACCCCACACCTTGCTACAGTTGTTTGGCTACCCCCAGACCTTACTGTACCCAAGTGTAAACTGTACCTGTAACTGTACCTGAGTGTAAACTATGTAAAGGATATATTATTTACCTGTCCGGACTGTTTTAACATAATATTATCATTATGTCTATCACCGATACCTAATACATAGGTAGCCACACAATATCCTGCACACGACAACATAAACTCCTCAACAGCCTTATTTAAACTGTAATAAAATATAGTCATATTAACTAAACAGACTTATTTACACTATAATTAACTCAACAGACTTATTTATACTGTAATAAAATATAGTCATATTAACTCAACAGACTTATTTACACTATAATTTACTCAACAGACTTATTTAAACTGTAATAAAATATAGCCATATTAACTCAACAGACTTATTTACACTATAATTTACTCAACAGACTTATTTAAACTGTAATAAAATAAAGTCATATTAACTCAACAGACTTATATACATTGTAATTAACTCAACAGTCTTATTTAATAATCACATTAACTAACTCAGCAGCCTTATTTACACTGCAATTAACTCAACAGACTTATCTAAACTGTAATTAACTCAACAGCCTTATCTAAACTGTAATTAACTCAACTGCCTTATCTAAACTAAAATAAAATATAGTCACATTAATTTACACAGCAGTCTTATTAAAAAATATATTAACATATTTAATACCCCTCTCTGTGTCTATAATTAAAGGTATATTATATTTTATACCTGTCTCTGTGTCTATAATTAAAGGTATATACCTGTGTCTATAATTAAAGTTATATTATATTTCATACCTCTCTGGTGTTGTATTGTACATCTTTAACCATTCGTATAAAGCTCTCTTTTCAAACGCTCCTTTACCATACCATACCTGTATATTGGCTATCGTATTTGATGACGTCACCACTTCAATAACACCTTGTTCTAAACCAGTTGCTAGACAACCATACGGATTCATTCTAAATATAGGAGATAATATACAATCACAATACACAGGAACAATGTAATGAGAGAGAGAGAGAGGCTTTAACATACACTTAACACAAACTAAATCATTTTGGGACTAACATGTGGTTAAATTTTATTTCAATAAATTGCATGCATGTAGGTGTTGTTGGCAGTGGGATGAAACTAGAGGATATGGTAAGGTGACTCTACTTGTTATATACAGACCACATCACTTAACTCAATGGGGGGGTTGAATGGCCGAATGGTTAGAACGTGCATGCTGTACCATAAGGCGTGGTTTCGAATCCCCGTTGTATGTGACAAGGATTAGGGTCGCCTGTCCAACCTCGTGGGTTTTCTCCGGGTCCTCTGGTTTCCTCCCACTGCTAAATACCCCTATGCGCAAGCGAATTATTGAAATAAAATTGAACCATGTTAGTTCCTAAATGACCTAGTTTGTGTCGAATGGACGTTAAACCCCATCTTTCTTTTTCTCTCTCTCTTAACTCAATGGCACAGTTAACATCTCTTTAATAGTGTACTTTGGTTATTTTGACACTAACATATGGTCATTTCTGTGGCTATTAGCTGATAACCACCCCTCTCACCCATTTTATATCGATTCCTATAATTATTCTTCACACCCCTAGGACAGCTGTCTAGTCCTTCGGATGAGACGAAAAACTGAGGTCCAGTGTATATATTCGAATGCACGTAAAAGATCCTTGGCAGTTGGAATTCAATATAAGAGTAGGCAATAGTGCCACTGCCCGGGCAAAATTTCCCTCATAGCACACTGTATGGTGTATGTCCGTCTTCATTATCCCAGTATAGGAGCAGAACAGTAGGACGTTAAACCCCATTTCATTTCATTTCATTTCTTTAATATAGATTACCTTATAACACTGTAACCCGGGTATCATTTAATCTTGTGTATTTACCACTAATTTCTTTCAAATTCATTCAATATCACATCTTTGTTTAAAAATTTGTAAAAATTATTTAAAATCACCAAAAATCATCTAATTTGTACTTGTGTCTAGTTTACAACTGACTGATTAATTTTGATAACGAATGTCCAATTTACAAGTATTTAATTTCCTGACCACTGTTTAAATATTAATCATTATATATCAATAATCAATGGTAGTTTATTCTTTAACAATGATCCAAAAATTAAACGCTTGTAAATTGGACACTCATTATCAAAATTGAATGGTCAGCTATAAACTGGACACAAGTACAAATTAGATGAATTTGGTAATTTTAAACAATTCTTACAAATGTGAAAGAAATTAGTGCTAGATACACAAGATTAAATGATACTTGGGTTATGGTGTAGTTACCCCTTTCACCCTTATAATTACATGAGATCCAGCCCCTATAATTACCTGAGATCCAGCCCCTATAATTACCTGAGATCCAGCCCCTCTCACACTTATAATTACCTGAGATCAAGCCCCTATAATTACCTGAGATCCAGCCCCTATAATTACCTGAGATCCAGCCCCTCTTCCTGCCAGATTCCATCCATAATTTGTAACATTTGTAATGTCAACATATCCTGACGTAAATCTGAAATATAATTACCGATAGTCATGTTGTAATATACACCATAGTTAGTCAAAATATCTCGGGGGCAATAACTACCCAGAACTCTAACCCTTACAGCATTTATACCAAGTATGGGGTGAAGCTGTGGGCGAGTGAGTAAGATGTTTGCTCGTTAACCTGGACGTCTCGGGTTTGATCCAGGTGAAAGCCGAGTGAGTTCATCTGGATATCAGGCGTGGTTCCCGCTTGTCAGCGGTGCGGGACAACGTATAGTCATTCGGATGCTTGGTATGAAAAAACTAGTCCTGTATACACATTCGCTTGCGCGTAAAAGACCCGACAGGCGATCCTACTCCTTGTCACGTACAACCGGGGAATTGAAACCACGCCAGTTGACTCAATGACAGACCTTATGATACAACATGCACTAACCATTCGGCAACCCCCCTAAAAGTGGAATAAGTGACCTAAAAGTGAAATAAGTGACCTAAAAGTGAAATAAGTGACCTAAAAGTGGAATAAGTGATCTAAAAGTGGAATAAGTGACCTAAAAGTGAAATAAGTGACCTAAAAGTGGAATAAGTGATCTAAAAGTGAAATAAGTGACCTAAAAGTGGAATAAGTGACCTAAAAATGGAATAAAAGTGGAATAAGTGACCTAAAAGTGGAATAAGTGACCTAAAAGTGGAATAAGCGACCTAAAAGTGGAATAAATGACCTAAAAGTGGAATAAGTGACCTAAAAGTGTATTTATAATTGAGAGAAATATTGCAACTTACCATCTCCATCTTTAAATATAAGGTTGATGTTGGCTCCACATCGATCTTCATTTGACCAGATTAAATGTAACGGACGTTTTTTAGAGTTCTTAAAAGAACATTGATCAGTTCTAAAAATAAACAAATGAAATCAAATGAAAATGAAAATGAAAATGGTTTAACTTTAACGTCCTATTTTTCAAACATAGAAATGAATTTAAAGATAGGTTGCCAGGCAACGAAACATACGCCCACATCAGCTAAATCGTTCGGACAGTCAAGAGTTGTCGCATATTTTTACCTTTTTAGGTAATGAAACATTTATAATACATTCAAATCTGATTAAGAGTAACAACTCATTAAGTAATTATCAGAAAACCATTAGAATTTGTTTGGTTTTTATAAAGTTCTGCGCCATTGCTAACGTTTAGTATACGAAACATTTAATATCATGGATTTAGCTGTTCAAGTCATCAAAATTCATTGAAAATCAATATACTTGTTCGTCTCAAGACCTTAAACTCTGTGTATCAATCTGAAGTCAATCGGATGATAACTTTAGCCTCTAGAGCGTCACAAGATTTTTCAAAGTGATCAAGGGCCATAACTTTGACAGTAATTATCGGAAATCGTTTAAAATCAATATGACCTCAAACACTGTGTATAAATTTAAAGTCAATCGGATATAAAATTTAGCCTCTAGAGCATTTACAAGATTTTTTGAAGTGATCAAGGGCCATAACTCTGGCAGTAATTATCGAAAATCACAGAAAATGAATAGACTTCTTCATCTCATGACCTTAAACACTGTGTATAAATTTAAAGTCAATCGGATATTAACTTTGGCCTATAGAGTGTCCACAAGATTTTTTGAACTGATCAAGGACCATAACTCTGGCAGTAATGATCGAAAATCGCTGAAAATGAATAGACTTTTATGTCTCATGACTTTAAACACTGTGTATAAATTTAAAGTCAATCAGATATTAACTTTACCCTCTAGAACGACCACAAGATTTGTCAAAGTGATCAAGGGCCATAACTCTGGCAGTAATTATGACCTTAAACACTGTGTATAAATTTAAAGTCAATCGGATATTAACTTTGACCTCTAGATTTTTTGAAGTGATCAAGGGCCATAACTCTGGCAGTAATTATCGGAAATCGCTGAAAATCAATAGTCTTCTTCGTCTAATGACCTTAAACACTGTGTATAAATTTAAAGTCAATCGGATATTATCTTTGACCTCTAGATTTTTTTAAGTGATCAAGGGCCATAACTCTGGCAGTAATTATCGGAAATCGCTGAAAATCAACAGTCTTCTTCGTCTAATGACCTTAAACACTGTGTATAAATTTAAAGTCAATCAGATATTAACTTTGACCTCTAGAGAGTCCACAAGATTTTTTGAAGTGATCAAGGGCCATAACTCTGGCAGTAATTATCGGAAATCACTGAAAATCTATAGGCTTCTTCGTCTCATGACCTTAAACACTGTGTATAAATTTAAAGTCAATCGGATATTAACTTTAGCCTCTAGACTGTCCACAAGCAATTGTGGACGCCGGACCGACGGACGGACAGACGGAACGACAATATACGACCACATTTCAATGTGGGCATATAAAAATGAAATGAGGTTTAACATCTTACTGTTCTGCTCCAACTGGACTAATGAAGACAGACATACGCCATGAAGCAAATTTTGCCCGGACTTTGGCACTACGGCCTACTCTTATATCGAATTACAACTGCCAATCCAATCCAATCCAAACAACTAGACAGCTGTCCTTGTCAGAACCTCTGTCCTGCACCACTCATGATGAGGTAGATACACAAGATTGAATGATACATGTGGGCGTATAAAAATGAAATGAAATGTTTTTAACTTACAAGAGATCTTTGAGTTTATATATAGGTGTTAGAGGACTGTACAGGTTGGATAGACAATCTATATAAGTTTTCTGTCTTAAGATTTTCTTCATGTCCTCTTTCGCCCGATCTTTCTGTTTCTACAAAGGTAAATGGACATATGAATATTCTGGTTCTAAAATAATGACACATCAATTAAAGATAGATTATGGGAGATTAGATAAAGAGCTGACAGTCCTCACTATAATAGTTAAAAACTAGATAATGTAAAAGGAAAATGCTGAAAATTTCAAAATGCTCCACTCTGAACCGAGATATTAGCGATTGAATTTAAGGTCTAGCCTCGATCACCATTACTAAAGTTGGTACGATAAAAAACATAGTCTCGATTATCTATTTCTGGATTTAATCATCAATGAGCATTGAGCATCAGATTGGATTCAAATCCAGTGAAAATCTAACACATAAGATGGCATCGAGAGTTGATTACGGTCGTTTCATGTTAATTAATGTCTAATTAATAATTTATATAACATTGAAGGCCCAAAGAAAGACCTGCAATAGGCAGATTTAGCTCTTGCATTGTGTATGTTTAAAGATAGATTGCCAGGCAACAAAACATATGCCCACAGCTAAGTCGTCCAAAAAGTCCACAAGGCAGAATCTTTAGGCTGCTGTATATCATTGCTGAAATTCAATAGGATTCTTAATTTCACTAACTTAAATAATGCATATCAATTTCATACAGATCAAATAATAACGTTTGTAGGTTCACAAGGTTCTACAAAGTAAAACAAGGGTCATAACTCTAAAAGTAATTAACGGCAATTGCTGAAATTCAATAAGATTCTTAATCTCACAAATTTAAATAATGCATCTCAATTTCATACAGATCGGATAATAAGCTTTGTAGATTCACAAGGGTCTACAAAGTGAAACAAGGGCCGTAACTCTAAAAGTAATTTATGGAAATTGTTGAAATTCAATAAGATTCTTAATCTCACTAACTTAAATAATGCATATCAATTTCATACAGATCGAATAATAGCGTTTGTAGGTTCACAAGGTTCTACAAATGAAACAAGGGCCGTAACTCTAAAAGTAATTTATGGAAATTGTTGAAACTTACTTGTTCCTGTAGATTGTATTTGCTATTTTTTACTACCTCGTTTAATGCTTTCAATTTACTCAAACCTTCACTTTGTTTCAGTAGAATTAATAAATGATCTTTTCTGATTCGCAGATAAACTTCTAATATCAGTCGGAACCGCACCATAACTGTAGGATCGTGCATTTCAGATCTGTAAATGGAACCACACAGATGTTTTTTAACAATATTTTTATTTAGGATATCTGAATGAGATTGGAGAACAGGATTAGCCCATATAAAAATGCTCTCCCTAATCACAGAGAGAGAGAGAAATGGGGTTTAACGTCCACTCGACACAAACTAGGTCATTTCGGGACTAACATATGGTTTCATTTTATTTCAATAATTCGTTTGTGCGTAGGGGTATTTAGCAGTGGGAGGAAACCGGAGGACCCGGAGAAAACCCACGAAGTTGGACAGGCGACCCTAATCCTTGTCACATACAACGGGGATTCAAAACCACGCCTTATGATACAGCATGCACGTGCTAACCATTCGGCCATCCAACCCCCGTAATTATATAGAGTAATGATTTATATAAACAATGTTTGGAAATGATATCCAATACCATCCGAATACCAACCTAATACATCCCAACACTAACTAATACTACCCAATACTAACTAATACTACCAAACATCACTAACCAATCATTGTGAAAAACTGACAAAACACTTCAATAATATACTACATACCGAAAAATTCAGCAAATACCCGAAAAATACCGAAAAAGATAGGAAATGTATCGAAAAATACCGAAAAAACTACAGAGATGAGACCAAAAATCTATTTTTGATATTAAATTCCCCAAAATTTACTCAATACCGAAAAAACAACACTAATTACTCTAGGTGGACACTCTAGGTAGGTAATATGTCAGGCTAGTAGGCCACGCAGTGGGGTACTCTAGGTAGGTCATGTGTCAGGCTAGGCCACGCAGTGGGACACTCTAGGTAGGTCATGTGTCAGGCTAGGCCACGCAGTGGGACACTCTAGGTAGGTCATGTGTCAGGCTAGGCCATTCAGTGGGACACTCTAGGTAGGTCATGTGTCAGGCTAGGCCATTCAGTGGAACACTCTAGGTAGGTCATGTGTCGGGCTAGGCCATTCAGTGGGACACTCTAGGTAGGTCATGTGTCAGGCTAGGCCATTCAGTGGGATACTCTAGGTTGGTCATGTGTCAGGATAGGCCATTCAGTGGGACACTCTAGGTAGGTCATGTGTCAGGCTAGGCCATTCAGTGGGATACTCTAGGTTGGTCATGTGTCAGGATAGGCCATTCAGTGGGATACTCTAGGTTGGTCATGGATCACGCTAGGTCAAGATTAAGACTTGTGGGGCACTGAAGGTTGGTCATGGATCACACTAGGTCATGCATAAGACTTGTGGGGCACTGAAGGTTGGTCATGGGTCAGGCTAGGCCATTTATTAAAATTGTGGGTCATTATTTCAAGTATTTAGGGTTTTTTTTTGTAATTAGTGTTGTTTTTTTTAAGTATTTAGTGTTTTTTCAACATTTAGGGTTTCTCAGATTTTTTCTTTAATTAGTATCAAATTTTTTTTCTTCAGTATTTTTCGGTGTTTCTTTTGGTACCTTTCAGATTTTTTTCTGTATTTTTTCGGTATATAGTATTTGGCCCCTTATCGGCAGGTTTGTCTAATGGGATATGTTATTGTGTGGTGCAGTCTTCCCAGGATTTAATAGATTTTAAATATAACACTACTTACTTGAGATGCCAGAAGAGTTGTTGACCTATATGTTGATTTTTAACAGCTCGGGTTAACAAGAATTCCACAAGAGGACAATTGAGGTAGATTTCATATTTTACAGCTTGAACTAATTGTAGAAGATACTGGGACATTTCTGCATCTCTGTTTTATAAAAAAAGTTTCATCTTCATATACTTTACATAAATAAAAATATAAATATGTCTGAAAAAGGGTCATATCACCTGAAATGTTATGAAGAAATGAAATGAAATGGGGTTTAACGTCCCGCTGTTCTGCTCTGACTGGGCTAATGAAGACGGGCATACGCCATACATTGTGCTATGAGGGAAATTTTGCCCGGGCAGCGGCACTATGGCCTACTCTTATATCGAATTCCAACTGCCAGGGGATCTTTTACGTGCACGTCAATGTGTACACGGGTCTTCGGTCAAGGTCTAAGAAACAGTAAATTTGTCTGTTCAGGTATGCATAGGTAATAACTATATCACCTTTCTCTAATTTAATTACTTTGCGGGCTGTTGGATGGCTGAATGGTTAGCGTGCGCGCTGTATCATAAAGTCTGTCATTGAGTCAACTGGCGGGGTTTTGAATCCCCGGTTGTACGTGGCAAGGAGTAGGGTCGCCTGTCCAACCTTGTGGGTTTTCTCCAGGTTCTACGGTTTCCTCCCACCGCTAAAGACGCGCAATTATGTAAATAAAATTAAACCATATGTTAGTCCCGAAATGACCTAGTTTGTTTCGAGTGAACGTTAATTCCAATTTCTCTCTCTGTCTCTTTTTATCAGTCCCTCTGTCCTCCCCATTGACAAGGGGAACCACGTCAGGAAATATGTTGCTACAGGCTTTAGTAACAAAACTTATACCTACTCTAAATTAGCCTGAGCAACATAATTACATTCATTCATACACATTTTTATCAAACTCTTCCTTGTTACAAATTGCGCTGAAACGCATTTTGTCTTTAATATTGGATATCGGAAGTTTATCTTTTCCTGGTAAGATCACAACATCCATGTTGATTAATTGAAAAATAATTCGTGTTTTCAACAGTAGGACGTTAAACCCCATTTCATTTCATTTCTGCTTTTTGCAAGGGGCCACCTAAAGCGAGATAGAAATGGGGTTTAACGTCCACTCAGTTAGTAACAAAACTTGTACCTACTCTAAATTGGCATTAAGACAGCTGATGGCAAATTTTCGGACATTTCTATCAGGAAAATTAAAATCTAGAAGTTCAAGTGCATAATCTACTGGCAACATTTTCCAATTCTGTAACAAAGCTGTCATCTGAAAGATAACACAAAATATTTCATTTTCAATCATTTCTACTTTCTGGGGCCAGTTTCACGAAATTTTAACTAAGATAAAATCCAACTTTTAGTAATTTGATTGGATAATATAAGATTGATTTTAGTGCTTAGCCAATCAAAATTGAAGTATCTACTAAAATTTGGATTTTATCCTTAGTTAAAATTTCGAGAAACAGGGCCCTGGTCATCAAATCTATAGAGTTTATTGCTCGATGAAAGATCAATTTATCCTTTGGCCTGCATCATTGACAAGGGGATACCACGCCCGAAAATCCCAAGGAACGTTTTTTGGCCTACACCAGGGGACGACCCTGGACCTCCTGGTTGGTAAGTCTGCGTCTTGCTCACTTAGCCACTGCAGCTCCTATAGATGAGGTGATTTTGCGGTATGCAAGCCTCATTTCAAATATGTTCCCATTTCGGTCCTATCTTTACTACCTCGATACCTGGCTTCACCCGGGGCCCAAGATCTGTTTACTCTAACCTTTATTTCACACTTTCCCGCTGGCTTACATCATCCGTTACTATTATTAAACTTAATTACCATAATAAACAGAGTTACCTCCCATTAACCGTTAATTGTAGGAAAACAGTCTAACATTGATTTTTGGTTGTGTTAAACTAATAAATGATTTTGATGTTCATAAATCATGGCTTAAAAAATTCACAAGGTCATGCAGATATGTAGGGGTGGGGATACCAGATATGTAGGGGTGGGGCGCAGCGATGAAGCGTGATGGGTGAACATACATCTTTGATTTTGTTTATGTACAAGAGAAATTACACGACATCCTTTTCAAACACCTTTCTGCTTTTTGAGGGCAAGGGGGGTCTGAAAAGGACAACTGTCTAGTCGTTCGGATGGGACGAAAAACAGAGGTCCCGTGTACACATTGACGTGCACGTAAAAGATCCCTTGACAGTTGAAATTCGATATAAGAGTAGGAATTAGGGCAAAATTTCCCTCATAGCACACTGTATGGCGTATGACCGACTTCACTAGCCCTGTATAGGAGCAGAACAGTAGGACGTTAAACCCCATATCATTTCATTTCATTTCTGCTTTTTGCAAGGGGCCACCTAAAGAGAGATCGAAATGGGGTTTAACGTCCACTCAGCACAAATAAATAGTACATTAAACCCCTTTTCATTTCATTTTATTTGATTTCACTACTTACCTCAATCTGATCCTATTTCCTTTCGTTTTTTATAGTTCAAAATTTACTTATCTTTACTACCACTAGGATCTGGAAGAGTTGTTATCATAGACGTGTTTTGGATGATGTGAGGAATTAGCCAATGAAAAGGTCTGAAGTGCACGGAACTGTGGGTAATCCACTAGAAACATCAATGCTGATTGGTTAATCAAATGTCTGACGTCATAGGGTCAAAAGCCGCTCGTATAACCTCTGACACGACTTCCCAAAACAACTGGTGAGATCTTCATGTCGTGTAGGCCATGTTTTTTTTTAAGGAGATTGTACTCACCTTAGCTGTGTCGATGTGATTATTCCATTTAACGGAGTTGAGTAATCTTGGTAAAGAGTGTGGGTATTTATCACAACATTCGTAACGTAACAGCCACAATAAATCTTTATCTTGTTCAAATAACTGTGTTAAGGGATCTCGTTCTAGTATAAGTTTCAATTGTTCAATATGAGACTTGCTAACTTTCATCCCCTGTAAAATAAACACGCACAAACTACAATATAGCCCTTTATAAAACTTTTGTTGTTTTAATATATCAAATACATCAATAAGAAACTATGTGCAAAGTTGTTGTGTTTTTGGATCAAAGATATTTCTCATAAACAGGGATTGAAAGTTTAGTAAATTTTTAACTTAAGTCTGAGAATGCTTTGTGAACTTGTGGCCATGTCTTATATTTAACTAAAGGGAAATAACTCTGTTCAGTATTTACAAAGTTACATGTATGATAAATTAAAATTTCACCTATCTACCCTGCTTGAGCATAGTAAGATGCCACCATCTTTTATTGATAGCTGAGAAACCAGATAGGCCTACTTTAAATCCAATTCAACCCAAACTGGGAGATTAATCTAGCGTTGGTATTTTGATTTTGTTTTCTTTATTAAATGTGAAATAATAACTCTGAGTAGATAGGTACTATGGCCAACTCTTATATCGAATTCCAATTGCCAAGAGATATTTTATGTGCATGACAATGTGTACATGAGATTAATTTTTCGGCCCATCTGAACGACCAGCCACTGCCATGGAGATTCATGGAAAGGCAGAAACTTTATGTTGTAAGCTACTCAGTGATCAATCCCATCAAGCAGAATACACTTGCTATACTTTTAAAGAATAACCAGATAATCTATTAAAGATACATTATGGGAGATTAGATAAAGAGCTGGCAGTTCTCACTATATAATAGTTAAAAACTTAGATAATGTAAAGGGAATTTACTGAAAATTTCAGACACATTGAACCACTATGAACCAAGATTTTAGCAATTGAATTTTCGGCCTATACTCAATCACTATTACTAAAGTCGGTACGATAAAAAACATAGCCTCGATTATCCACTTTTTTGATTTAATCATCAATGAGCATTGAGCATCAGATCGGATTCAAATCCAGTGAAAATCTAACACATAAGATGGCATCGAGAGTTGATTAAGGTGTTTTCAGGTTAATTAATGTCTAATTAATAGTACAGGTAACATTTCATGCCTAAAGAAAGACCTGCGATAGGCAGATTTAACTCTTGTATAATGTATGTTTAAACTGTGTGCCATGGAGTCTAGTGCTGGGTATAACGACTGCCGTCTCGATACGACACGTATTGCGATTCAGGTACTACGATACAATTCATACCAAGGTCAATATTTACCAAGAAAACAACAGGATAAATGAATAATTGATATTTTTATGGCGAGAATTTTTAATCCTGCCGAAATCAAAGAACTAAAACTGGTTTATTTGACGATAATCACGATGGATCAAAGTAACGACCAAAACAATTTAAGGGTGTTTAGTTAAGAGTGACGGGTTGGTTACTGAAGCGACAAAAAAAAACCCATAAAAAAGAATCGTAAAAATGAATTGAGAGACTCTCGATTCAATACGTGTCTCGTGAGAAGGTGAATCGTGATACACTGATTCTAAGATATATCGTGCCAGCACTAATGGGGTCGGGGATTTTTGGAAGGATAGCACCTGAATACAAACAGAATGTATGACTGGTCTATGTGAAAGATAATACAGGTAATTCACCTTAGTGTAAATCAAACAGTACTTACCACAGATCCCGGTGTTCCATCAGCTTCCATATTTCTTGCTGCACATTCTAACACCTAGAATAAGAGAACATATTCTAAAACCTAGAATAACAGAACACATTCTAACACCTAGAATAACAGAACACATTTAAACGCCTAGAATAACAGAAAACATTCTACAGCTAGAATAACAGAACACATTTTAACACCTAGAATAACAGAAAACATTCTAACACCTAGAATAACAGAACACAATCTAACACCTAGAATAACAGAACACATTCTAACATCTAGAATAACAGAACACATTCTAACACCTAGAAAAACAGAACACATTCTAACACCTAGAATAACAGAACACATTCTAACACCTAGAATAACAGAACAAATTCTAAAACCATTTCAAAATATCAATAAATGCTATGATTAAAAAGAAATCAATGACTGATTAGTTTAGAGAGAAGTTACCTTTTCAAATCTAGGATATATAATTACCTTATCATATTTAGGATATATAATAGCAGCTTGAACACCATAATCAGGAAAACTAACAGATAATGTAGCAGAATCATGGCCGTATGGATTCGGTGATACAGTACCTGAAATAATCAAATATATCCATGTTGTAATAGAATAATCTAGCAATATAAACATCTAGGACATTTGCCAAAAGGACAAGTAGCAAACAGTACAACCATCGGCTGGACATTTGCCAGCGAGAAATATGTCTTCTAGTTGTCCTGCTGGCAGTTCTAACCGGCAATTCTCCTTCTGGCAGTTGTCCTTGCAGGCCTTTGTCCTTCTAGCAATGATCCTAGCCGACAATTGTCCTAGCAGGCAATTTTCCTAGCTGTCATTTGTTCTTCTAACAATCATTCTAGCAGACAATTGTCCTAGCTGCCATTTGTCCTAGCCGACAGTTGTCCTAGCTACCATTTGTCCTTGCTGCCATTTGTCTTTGCCGCCAGGTGTCCTTGCAGACAGTTGTCCTGATCCCCAACATAATAATATAGCAATATCTATAAACCTGAAATCATTTATTCATATGGTGGCTTCGACACGATAGATTTGTCAGTTACTAATTACGCAATGAACGAGTCGACTTCTGTCAAGACAAACCAGATCTTAAAACCCACTTACCTAAAACATAACAAATTTCTTCAAATGTCAAATCATCTTTGACAGACCACATGTCCATCTCTCTATCACCTCGAATTAATCGCGATCGGAAATCATACGCTGGAATATTTACCCACGCTACTGGAGTCATATCCTGTTAAAACAAAACAAAATTTTCAATAGTGTTTCAGCCTTCAGGTGAATGACACACCTGTTACCATATTCATTATGTAAATACTAAAATAGCTTTAAAAACGGTCGACCAGTAAAGTGTGTTGTCTAGTCCTTCGGACAGAATGTTAAATCTAGATCCACCTATGTACATATTTGTATGCATGTAAAAATAACTCTTGACAGTCAGAATTGGAAGATCAGAGCAGTTGGAAACTGCTGTTCTCTCAGAATTCTCGACCGAGTCGCAGTGATTCGAGTTTGAGTTGCCTCTCAAGTTGGTGACGTTCGTACTGAGTTGAGTCCTAAGCCTTCACAAAGCCTGGGTCCTGTTGAAGTCGGCAAGTGATCAAATGGGTCAGTAATTCATGACAAATAAAGTAAGTTAAAATGATGCCCCCTCCCCGCGACTCGACTCCTAATCTCTTTCAAGTCATGAGTTGTCACGACGACTGCCGAGTCTGAATCGAGTCACACTAAATATTTCAGGTTGAGTCACTGAGTCGGGTAACTGATGTGACTTAAGTCTGACTCGAGTAAGAGTCGCGGGACTCAAGTACCCACCTCTGTCAATTGGTGCATAAAACGAGGCTGTTAACATTGCACTGGTATCGTTTAAAACGGGGGTTTTTAGCGCTAGAAAGTATGCATATAGTTTACTTTCAAAAATCATTTGATAATTGATAAAAATCATTTGAAAATTACAAAAATGGTTTAGTTAGTACTACAGTTTAATTTAATGGTAAACCGTTTAATTTCTCCGAGAGAACGGCCTTTCATTTCATCCCAAGCAGACAATAATGAGAGAAGAAACGGTAAAGTATGAATTATTAACATTACAACCTCACCTTTCCTTTTCTACCTGAAGCGTAAAGAGCGAAACAGATACGTGATGCGTTGGGTAAATCAGCTACAGCTATATTAAACTTTAAATCTATTGTCATATTACAGCTACTGTTTAATACAGGTACTTCAGGTGTTTCACAGATAATACACAGTGGTTCTGAACCATGATATAAACCAACAAATAACTTCACCTGAAATATAATACAACATCATACACAGAGGTTTCGAACCATGATATAAACCAACAAATATCTTCACCTGTAATACAATACAATATCCGAACATGAAAATAACATAATTCTATCCAAGGTTCACACTGGCTTTCATTTTTTTCAGCCCAATTATTTGTATAAAAATGTTTGTATTGCAATATTCAAATGCTTCATTAATTAAAGTGAGAATTCCATATTTTTTAAGAAAGTCAAAACATAATTATTTCTATTTCTTTTGCTCAATAGGTTATCAACTCCCTACACTTAAAAATCATTGACACAGGAAATAACACAATTACCTCCCTTGTTTTCCTATTCCCCACGATGGAATAGCTATCTGCAAACGTTTGAGTTTGAAGTTGATATTTTTGCCAATTTCTCAACTGGCAATAGTGAATTATTCCCATGTAATGACCCAAGTTACATGTAATAAACCAAGTTACATGAAATAAACCAAGTTCCTTCCCATGTAATAAACTGAGCTGTCAAGTTCCCTCCCATGTAATAAACCAAGTTCACCCCCAACCCCGCGTAATAAACTGAGCTGCCAAGTTCCCTCCCATGTAATAAACTAAGCCGTCAAGTTCCCTCCCATGTAATAAACTTAGCTGACGAGTTCCCTCCAATGTAATAAACCGAGCTGCCAAGTTCCCTCCCATGTAATAAACCAAGTTCCCTCCCATGTAATAAACTGAGTCACCAAGTTCCCTCCCATGTAATAAACCAAGTTCACCCCCGCGTAATAAACAAAGTTCCCACCCATGTAATAAACAAAGTTCCCTCCCATGAAATAAACTGAGCCGCCAAGTTCCTACATACCTTGATATTATCTGGTAGCTGTATTTTATTGATACCTTTAACGGTCACGTAATATTTTTGCGGAATGTTCCATACGCTGATATCAGACCGATCGGGACGGAGTTGACGAGGTATCGTACTCATTCTACGGGGGGGTACTGGCGGAGGCGCATCTGAAGAGAAAACAGACAGCTCAATGAAAATATTCTAAAATACTTCTTCAAACAGTTTTGCACTGGGACAAAATAAGATATACAGTGCACTCTGTCACATACGACATCGTACGGGATCGTTACAATATATCGGATTACGCAGAGTGTCGGAATACCCAATTTTCTCAAAACCGGAAATGTTGTAACTTCAAAAACCGGAAGTATTATTATAATGTAGCTTCGAACATAGAACTTTGAATCACCAGAATGTTATTCCCTTTAAAAATGATAAACCTTTCTGTACATTCAAAATTTTATTACATTAATTTTTAATTCATTTAACATGCGTAGGCATTTTGAATAGGTCAAGTCTGTCGTTAATTTATCTTCCTCGCCGTCTTCAGTTGATCGCACTCTTGTCTTTGCTATCACGTGTTCATTGATACTGGACGTACTCGATTGAACGTTCCGGAATTGAATTCTCTCAATCCCAAAAATAATGACAATCGAGTGAAAATGGGTACTTCGGGCCACAATGCAGGCGTCGACTGGATATATAAATATCTCATCCAACCATGCAGCCAAAACCTGTTCGTCGTGTTTAATTACGTCACAATTCTACTCACGCCACCTCCGTCGTCAGGACTGACAGAACTTTGACAGGACTGAATTCCGCGTCACTCGATTGCAATTCTGTCAATTTGGGACGTTTCGGACTGTGACTCAAGCATCCCCAGGTCGTCGTCACACGGTTCGAAGAGATCCGTAGGGTGACCACACTTATAGGTTATTCAGGTTCAATCGGCATGCGCAACGAATGTTTCCAACAGGTGCTAGGAATATTTTTACGACTGTGAATTTGGGGGAAAATTCGTGGATATTCTTGAGTATTTGTCACAACTGTCGTACAAGAGATTAAAATTATCAAAGTACATGTAATCAACAAAGACCCAAGGTAGAGAGTTTTAATCTCACAGATAATTGATTGGTGATTGCTTGTTAATCTTTTGTGGCTTCAAACTCATCCAGTTTTAATCTCACGGATAATTGATCGGTAAGTGTTTGCTTCACACCCACCGATTGAAGGCTGGATTATACGGTGTCGATTCAATGGAAATCGTATGACGGGACGGCTGATTGATGTCGTAATCCGGCACGTACAGAGGTCAAATTACCCAGAGATTTTTTGGCTGAAGTAATAAGGAAATAAATCGGGACATGAAAATGGTGTCGGATGTAACAGAGTGCCGGAGTGATCAGAGGTCGGATGTGACAGAGTGCACTGTATTATATTTGTAATAGTTTTACAACATCAATGGCCTACTGATCTCTAACATCAACATCCTGATCCATTCTATAACAATCTGATTAAAATATACATCTATATTTTACAACGGCTACACTACATGAAGATCTGACAAGTTATATCATATGGTTCAATTTTATTTTCATAATTCGCTTGCGCATTGTGGTCCTTAGCAGTGGGAGGAAGCCGAAGGACCCGGAGAAAACCCACGAGGTTGGACAGGTGACCCTACTCCTTGTCACGTACAACCGGGTAATCGAAACCACGCCAGTTGACTCAATGACAGAACTTATGATACATGTATAAGATACACATGCTAACCATTCGGTCATCACCCCCACCCCTCAACTTTATTAAGCTAACAGAATACTGTTCGAAACTTCACCCAAATAAATTAGTAGCTATTATTCCATAAGTAGGTACAATTTACACTCCTTCCCCACCCCCACCCCCTAACACCTGCTCGTAAGAGGCCTGTACAGGAGAGGCCCAGGTAAGAGTCTATACATTTAAAACAGTGAATTTCCTTCAGAAATGGCATCAGATGTGAGTAAATCAACTAAAAACTTTCAAAATTTATTTTGGGGGGAGACCATACCCCTTCTCGAGGCTCTGTGGTCAGTCTTATTATATACAACATTTCGCACAAGAAACCAGATTTCATATTCTCAGTGAGTTTAAATCTTACCTACAACATTTTCTCTGTTCAATAACCAGAATTCAGGACAAAGATTTTTAGTTAAGCACTGATAAACAAACTGAAAGAAAAAAAAGATATGAATTTGATTTGATAAAAATATGAATTTGATTTGATAAAAATATGAATTTGATTTGATAAAAATACGGGCATATAAAAGCTGTAGATCTTATCTATATGTATTTTGAATTGTTGCAAAGGAGAATCGTTGTAGACGTATCTGAGAATCATGTCTAATAGGTTCAATCAACAGGGAGGTAGGTGGCTGAATGGTTAGCGTGTGCGTGTTGTATCATAAGGTCTGGCGTGGTTTCGATTCCCTGGTTGCACGTGACAAGGATTAGGGTCACCTGTCCAACCTCGTGGGTTTTCTACGGGTCCTCCGGTTTCCTCCCACTGCTAAAGACCCCTACGCGCAAGCGAAATATTGAAATGAAATTGAACCATATGTTAGTCCCCAAATGACCTAGTTTGTGTCGAGTGGATGTTAAACCCCAGCTCTCTCGCTTTCAAAATGGTTGACAAGTAAAGGTGTTGTCTAGTCCTTCAGATGGAATGTAAAATCCACCTGTGTGCATGTAAAAAGAAATAATCTGGACAGTCAGAATTGAAAGATAATTGTAGTTGGAAACTCCACTGCCCTGGCAGAATTCTCAACCTCACACTACACTCACTCTCTCACTCTGTCTCTCTCTCACACACACTCTCTCTCTCTCTAAATGAACAACACAAACTGATAAACAATAAAATATGAAAATTGCCAATTTGATTAGAATACAGATCTATATTTCGTTTTGTTTTTTTATACTTTCGATGGCCTACACTACATGAAGATCTGACAAGTTATAGCCATAGGTCACATCAGGGGTCAAAAGACCGACTTATGACGCCAGACATTTGATTAACCAACCAGCATTGATGTTACTAGTGGATTACCCACATTTCCGTGAAAAACATGTCTAAAGCTTGCCGTAACAGACCATTTCATTGGCTTATCCCTGACACCATTCAGAACACGAGTTAAATAACAACTCTTCCAGATCCTAGTGTAGTAAAGACAAGTAAAATGAAATTTTGAACTATAAAAACGAAATAGGATCTGTGTTTTAACCAGATTGGAAAATTGGTGACATGTACCTTGAATTGCTGTAATGGAGAATCACCGTAGATATATTCTTCCCGTCCGACTACCTTTATTAAATAACAATCTGAACTACCGACTTTCTGACCCGTGGAAGACATCTTCTTCAGAGCAACATCAATCAGATCTGATGGTGTACCCATAGCTGACGTCTTCAATTTATAAGTCGTCTAAAATTAAAAAGAATTCACATATTACATCAGAACTAAATATATTAGCATATTGCATTAGATCTACAGGTAGATATCATTGTGGTTGTTTATAAACAATTAGAATATTACATCAATAAGTCGCCACCAGTAACCTTTTAAATGACTTTTATTCCATGGCAATGTTTGTCATATGTTATTCTAATTCAGTTACTAAATGTTGCTTAAACATGCATTGCAAAATCTGCTTATTACAAGTCTTTCTTTAGGCCTGAAATGTTATCTAAATTATCAATTAGACATTAATTAACTTATCCAGACCATAATAAACTCTCGATGTCAAGGCTAGCCTTCGATGTTGGCTGGATTAGATTCCTATATGCTGCTAACGACCAATGATAATTAAATCAGAAAAAGTGGATAATCGAGACTATGCTGTTTATATTAATGATTTTAGTAATGATGACCGAGACTATGCAAAAATTTCACCTGCTTCTTTCTCGGCTCATAGGGGATCAATTTGACTGAAATTTTCAGCAAATTACCTTTACACTATCTTGATTTTAACTATTATAGCGAGAACTGCCATCTCTTTATCTTATCACCCATAATGTATCTTTAAACAATTCAAATCATCTCTATTAAACTTACATTATGCAAAAGCTAAATCTGTCTATTGCAAGTCTTGAGATGTTATATAAACTATTAATTGGACAAGCTCAATATCAACTCTGTAGACCCACGGATGGCTTGGATACAGTTTGGATTTAAACAGTCGTCCATTTAAAATTAAATCAATAAATGGTGGACCAAGCTAACGTTTACCGTTAGTCGCTGATATCATTACCGGAAACTGGTGATTAATGCCCTGCCAAGCGAGGCTACCATAGCCAATGAGCATGTTACTTGATAATCGAGAATATGTGGGTGGAGTTATTGTCTGTCAATCAAACAATCGCCAATTCTCATGGACGGTGCAGACACAATTGATGCCTATTTCTAGTCCAAACTTCCAACAGTGACAATTTCGTTCAGAACAAGCATTCAGCCAAACGAAAATTTGGGGGTGGGCAAAGAGGCCAGAATTAACATTGACGTCAATGGGGAAATTAATGGTGGCCTGCCGCTAACAGTGTAAATACTGAAGAGAGTTATCTCCCTTTAGTTAAATAAATCACCTGGACCTCATAAGAAGTTTTGGGATTGTTGAAACTAGATGGTTAGTGTAGGCCACCCCCATCTGGACTATCCAACTTTAAAAGAAAGGTTAATGAATAGGCCTACTAACCCCAGTATCTTCTATCTTCACATCTACGGCTATACAATCATTGCTTAAATTAGCTTGTACACGTTCGGGTAAATTCCATGTGCTACGTAATATTGGTGGATGTTTTAATTTCAATTTTTCCACCCAGCCCTGCTGTTTTTTATTTTGGATTATCCTGTCACAATGCTGGACCATCTTTTGACGGAATTCACTCACTTCTGCTGGTGACCAAGCTTCCATTTTCTGCGGACCTATAAATAGAATATGTCATAAAAGTTTAAAATCTGTGTACATTATCTTCTATATATATATTTGTGACTGTCGTTTGTCTGTCTGTCTGTCTGTTCGGGGTTGGCGGCTACTTCTGCTGGTGACCAAGCTTCCATTTTCTGCGGACCTATAAATAGAATATGTCATAAAAGTTTAATATCTGTGTACATTATCTTCTATATATATATTTGTGACTGTCGTTTGTCTGTCTGTCTGTCTGTTCGGGGTTTGCGGCTACACTAGGTCTGCCCCGAGTCTGAAATTTGGGTCATTGGGGTAGCTCGGACCAGGGAGTAACATAGGCCAGGTGGTGTTAGTCTACCACTTCCGGTTTCGGAGTTATGACAGAAGTAACGAGCGATAACAGATACACGGGCGAATTTCTGCTCACTGATAATTCCTACGAATACGAAAAGGTGTTATCTGAGACTGTGAGAGGATATCTGACAATTTATGGAGGGAATTAACTGTCACTAGATAAGAGAAAACGAAAACAATAGAAAAATAGAGTCTCAGAAATCAAAGGTGTATTTACCTTGTCACAGAATTTCAGCTCAAAGTATTGATTTGTTTTTGAAGTGAACGTCAAAACCGCTTTTCCGGATACGTATCCCTTTTAAGATGTCGGGTCGTTTTTATGTTTATATTTACAATCTCAGCATCGATTGGGAGCTGGCTGCATTTGGGAGCTGGCTGCAGTGGTTAATGCAGAGTGTATATTTACAATCTCAGCATACATGTGGGAGCTGGGCTGCAGTGGTTAATGCAGAGTGTATATTTACAACCTCAGCATACACGTGGGAGCTTGGCTGCAGTGGTTAATGCAGAGTGTATATTTACAACCTCAGCATACACGTGGGAGCTTGGCTGCAGTGGTTAATGCAGAGTGTATATTTACAATCTCAGCATACATTAGGCTTTTCAAATCATTGAGTTGAATTTTTCCAATTTTTTAAATTAGGTGTGTTAAGATGAAATTTGTATCACTAATTAATTGGAATATTGTAAAATAGTACAATTTGTTGACCAGAATAAAGATTGGGACATATTATTCAGTTACAACAAGAGTGGTATTGAGCCTTTAATGTATAGTTTCAAACCACTGTTAAAAATTTGTTGAGAATGATAGAAAACTATTGGGTTTTTACTGTTGTGTAGTTTAAAGGGTCTGTCTAGATTAGATAATGGGTGTTGGGTTGTTTGGGAGCCATGGTGGCTAGATGGTTAAGACGCTGGCTCGCTAGCCTAGAGGTCAGGTGTTTTCGGTCCCTGCAATGGCCGAGAAAGTTCATCCAGATCTTCCGACTTGGTTTCCCCTTGTCAGTGGTGCAGAACGGAGGGCCTGTGTATATATTGGAATGCACGAAAAAGATCCCCTGGCAGTTGGAATTCGATATAAGAGTAGGCCGTATTGCCACTGTCCGGGCAAAATTTCCCTCATAGCACACTGTATGGCGTATGCCCGTCTTCATTAGCCCAGTATAGGAGCAGAACAGTAGGACTTTAAACCCCATTTCATTTCATTTATAACTGTTTGGTTTCTGGAGCAGTGTTGAGTAATTAATTAGTCTTTTAGACTTTGAGATCAATATAAGTGGAGGATATCTTACCTTTACCAACCAAGCTGTTAATATTACGAGCAAGTGTTTTATTCTGTTCATCTCCTTGTTTTTCAACCAATTTTAAAAACGAACTAAATGGTTGAATATCATTCAAACACTGACTTTCATCTAACAATTCTTCCTACAATAAAATTATATAATAAAAAAATTCCAGTCTGATTACAATAAAGATTCATTCTTCTTTTTTATACTTTCGATTGCCTACATTACATGAAGATCTGACCAGTTTTTGCAATAGGTCACGTCAGAGGTCACACGAGTGGCTTTTGACCCTATGATGTTACTAGTGAATTATCCACAGTTCCTTGCAAAACACGCCTAAAGCAAGCCGTAACAGACCCTTTCATTGGCTAATATCTCACACTATTCAGAACGCGGGTTATATAACAACTCTTTCAGATCCTAGTGTAGTACTGACAAATAAAACGATATTTTGAACTATAACTAACAGAATGAAATATAATCTGTATTTGAATCAGATTGATACAACCTTCTCTCTCAAAAGGTACAAATAAAACATATATTTACCTTCTCTCCTAACTGATTAATACAAATAAAACAATAAGAATCACTATCTTTTAACAGATTATTCAGTGGTAAGTTCTGGGCTTCTTTCCATAAATTCTGAAATAACAATTTGGAAAATAACATTACAAATAAACAAACAATGGGTGTCTAAATTGTTTAAGCGACATTTAGTAACTTAAACATACATTATGTAAGACTTAGATTTAGATACATGTAAAGAGTTCATAGGTCTCGCTATGATAGTTTAAAAAATAGAAATTGAAAACGATTATGTTGAAAATGCCAGTAAAATTACTTCATTCTGAGTTATCGTCGATTGCAGAACAGTGTAGTTGTGATTGTCATTGTTACGATAATAAACAAAGTCTCGTTTTTCCATTTTAAATTAAATCATTAACCGCAAATCATAGTTACAGTGTAAATCTGTTGAAAATCTTGAGTTTCCGATAGCATCAAGAGTTGATTATGATCTTGGCAAATTAATTAATGTCTAATTAATAATTTATATAACATTTAAGGCCTAAAGAAAGACCTGTAATAGGCAGATTAAGCTCTTGTATAATGCATGTTTAAATGACAATAACACATGACACAATCATATGGAATACAAGGGGGATCATGGTGGTTAAGTGGGTAAGAAGCTGGCTTGCTAGCCATGGAGGTCCGGTGTCCGATCATTGGCCGAGAAAGTTCATCCTGATTTTCCGGCGTGGTTCCCCCTTGTCCGTGATGCAGGACGGAGGGCCTGACCAGGACAGCTGTCTAGTCCTTTGGATGCGACGAAAAACCGAGGTCTTGTGTATACATTGGAATGCACGTAAAAGATCCCTTGGCAGTTGGAATTCAATATAAGAGTAGGCCGTAGTGCCGCTGTCCGGGCAAAATTTCCCTCATAGCACACTGTATGGCGTATGTCCGTCTTCATTAGCCCAGTTCGGAGCAAAACAGTAGGTCGTTAAACCCCATTTCATTTCATGGAATACAAGTTACTTAAAGGATTTATTTCTGGCAACGTTTTGATAAGGGTTTGCTTGTCTTTTTAACAAGCAAAGAATGGGTGTCTAAATGTCCACTGATGAATTTTTTCTGGGTGACTCAGTGAGTACAGTAGTATGATACTGGCAGACTAAACAAGAAATCTCGGGTTTGTCGGGTTTGATATCGGTGTTAGCCCAAGTAAGCCATAAAAGAAGATTTACATCTATCCCACGTAAAGAAGATTTACACCTATCCCACGTAAAGAAGATCTATGTCACGTAAAGAAGATCTATGTCACGTAAAAAAGATCTATGCCACGTAAAGAAGATCTATGTTGCGCAAAGAAGATCTATGCTGCGTAAAGAAGATCTATGCCACGTAAAGAAGATCTATGTTGCGCAAAGAAGATCTATGCTGCGTAAAGAAGATCTATGTCACGTAAAGAAGATGTAAAGAAGATCTATGTCGCGTAAAGAAGATCTATGCCACGTAAAGAAGATGTAAAGAAGATCTATGCCACGTAAAGAATATCTATGCCACGTAAAGAAGATCTATGCCACGTAAAGAAGATCTATGCCGTGTAAAGAAGATCTATGCTGTGTAAAGAAGATGTAAAGAAGATCTATGTCGCGTAAAGAAGATCTATGCCACGTAAAGAAGATCTATGCCACGTAAAGAAGATCTATGCCGTGTAAAGAAGATCTATGCCGCGTAAAGAAGATCTATACCACATAAACCTAAATAAACAAACCTGTTTAAGAACATCTAACGCAGAGTAAAAGTTAATGTTCATGGCAACCATGATTCCTGTTGGTAAGAGGAAGTCAATATCCAGGTAGCCATCTTGAGAAACGTTTGTTGACACATTTGGTAAAACAACTACTGGTGGCATCTTTAACGTTTCTATCTGAAAAAAAAACATGAATAGTTTAATATAATAATAACGAGTCTTATAAAGCTCTAATAGGGACATGCTCTAATAAATGGGGACATGCGCTAATAGGGACATGCTCTAAGCACTGACCAAACACCAAGCACACTACATGTAGGCCTACATGTATAACACAAACCAAGGTCCTATTTAAAGATAACATTTTAAAAGATTGGTCTGAGTTATACTGATCTATAAATATAGATAGCTCAGTCACTTAATCCAGACAAACATCAAAGGATTTACTATAACTGTTTATCTTCGCTTTGTATGTATGTATGTTTACCCATCATGCTTCACTGCCGCACTCCGGACCCACATACATGTATGTGGTATCAAATTAACCAGTATAACCCTTTGAATATTTTAGTCCATCGAATTTCGGCTCTGGACGAATTTTGGCCCCTGTCAAATCTGGCCTCCAGGCAAAGAAGGTATCCTGCTAGTATCAAATAATAATAGTGAAGCCACTCAATGAATGGAATTATTAGTTGAGGTCACTGATCTAGAGTGGGTGGATTTAACATCAACAGTAGATAATCCCCATGCTTGGATGTTATCCAAATAAACAGAGGCTCATCAAGGGTGAAACAAGGATGACAGGTAGATGGAGAGAGAGAGAGATAGAGAGAGATAGAGATAGAGATAGAGAGAGAGAGATCTAGAGAGATAGAGAGAGAGAGAGATAGAGAGTTGGATAGATCTAGTGAGATAGAGAGAGAGATCTAGAGATAGAGAGAGAGATAGAGAGAGATCTAGAGAGAGGGAGAGATCTAGAGATAGATAGAGATAGATAGAGATAGAGAGAGAGAGAGATAGATAGAGAGAGAGAGAGATCTAGAGAGATAGAGAGAGAGATCTAGAGATAGAGAGAGAGATAGAGAGAGATCTAGAGAGAGGGAGAGATCTAGAGATAGATAGAGAGAGATAGAGAGAGAGAGATAGAGATAGATAGAGAGAGAGAGAGATAGAGAGAGAGAGAGAGAGAGAGAGAGAGAGAGAGATAGATAGAGAGAGAGAGATCTAGAGAGAGAGAGATATAGATAGAGAGAGGGAGAGAGAGAGATAGAGAGAGAGAGATCTAGAGATAGATAGAGATAGAGAGAGATCTAGAGAGAGAGAGATAGAGATCTAGAGAGAGATAGATAGAGAGAGAGAGAGATCTAGAGAGAGAGGGGGGAGAGAGAGATAGAGAGGGGGAGAGAGATAGAGAGATCTAGAGAGAGATAGATAGAGAGAGAGAGAGATCTAGAGAGAGAGATAGAGAGATAGATAGAGATAGATAGAGGGAGAGAGAGAGATCTAGAGAGATAGAGATAGAGAGATCTAGAGAGAGATAGATAGAGAGAGAGAGAGATAGATAGAGAGAGATAGAGGGAGAGAGAGAGAGAGAGAGAGAGAGAGAGAGAGAGAGAGAGATCTAGAGAGAGATAGAGAGAGAGAGAGATCTAGAGAGAGAGAGAGAGAAAGAGAGAGAGAGGGGTGGTGGTTAAGGTCCGCTAGACACAAACTATGGACTAACATATGGCTCAATTTTAAATTTAAATAATTCGCTTGCATGTTGGGGGTCTTTAGCAGTGGGAGGACCCAGAGAAAACCTTAAAGGCCTTACCCAACCACCCAGGACTCCAGGTGACAGCACTTTATCTAATCTAATATCAAAGGACAAGAGCCCAAGATGCTTGTAAACAGATATTTCAATATGAAAAGATAAATAATTTTAAATCACAACATATTTCATTGACTTGACAAAAAGTGACTCACTTCCCCATCAATCAAGTGACTTAAATTCCCCATGCATTGTGTACTGTGTAAAATCTGACAGTTGAGGTGACAAAATTAAGTTGAATCTGGGGTTGTCAAAAGTTCTAAATTGAACAAAAGATTTTAAAAAATGTTAAAAACTAGTTACCTAATTATAACACCATATTTATCTACTTGATGACATCGGTGAAACTTCGGTTCTTTAGTTTGTGATAAGCAAAAATCAAGTCTGTTTTGAAAGTGTTTGTTTATTGGCCATTCCGTCAGCATCCAACTTTTACTTCCGCCTTCACGGCTTGTTTACAACGATTTAACATTCCGAGAGAAAATAGTTCCGACATTCAACAAGGATAACGTTATTTATTTAACATAAATTCATTAAAATACCCTATAAAAAGTATAAAATATTGAATGCCCGTTTCTGTTTTATATTTAAGGCACTAACGTGGACTAATTGGATTTATCGTTTTAATGCCAATTTGTAGGTCGCCTTGATCTAACCCCAAGTGCTTGACCTACTAAGGATTCCGCCTTGGTTATCAAGACATCGTGCAGAAAACAATAAGGTTTTTGCAGTCTGGACAACCCAAACTGCATGGATTGTTTATCAACACGGAAGTTGCGGTCTGCAAACTTTAAAAATTCGCTTAAAATAATAGTAAGTAGCCTATCGGTACTATACGAATTTGGCATAATTGTACATTTCACAACAAATCTCTTTATAAGCCAAATGGTGGTTCAATATATTTAACAACGAAAAGAAAAGTTACACAAAAAACGTCTTCCTTGACCTAATAATAATCTAAAAATACATAGTTTTGGTTTTGAGTCTATATAATTTTATAAACCATGTGTTAACAATTCAATAGAGAACGTGAATCACCCAGTCAGGTCAATATTTGTATAGAATAAGACGGTTAAAATTTTACCGCCAAACACTGATCTTAACCTTGCCAAATTGGCAGTGGTAGACTAGCTAATTTGGCAGCTATAGAAGACTTTTTATCTATCCATGATTCCACGAGCCAATTAATATTATATTATAACAGTAAGTAGGCTAATTAAGTCGCTGTTTTTTTTCTATGGTACAATTCTATAGAAGTTTGACACACCTTGGTACAATGCACAATGGACCTTATAACATCATGAGATACTTGAAATTCTCAGGAATGTTAAGGGTAATTAATGATTTGATTGCCAGAAACTCAGAAGTAACCTTTTAGTTTACCTGGCTTTTGTTTTAGTTTAGTTGTTTGAGTCAGTTGATGGAAAAGTTTGAAAAGATTTCTACAGAGCTTCCAATTTTATGTAGAGATCTCTACATCGTCAACTTTAGATAAATAACTATGTTAATTGTTTGGGCATTCATGTTTGATGTGACTCCCATTTTTGTGTCTCAATATTTCGTTGTTGTTGAAGACTTTGTCTTACTCATTGGTTTTAACCCTGAATTTATAGGTTTTGATCTTACATACCTGACAATAATCTTAATCCTAAAATGTAAAAGAAAAGTGATGAAATGTAAAAGTGATGGAATGTAAATATATAGAAAAGGGAGTTTGATCAAACATGATCGCCTTTGTGCGCTTGATCTTTATATTTTGATTTTATTTCAATAACGTTTGTTTGTTCGTTTCTGGAGTTAAACGTCCACTTCCATGAGGAGTGATGTCGTAGATAAGTTTTTTAATAACAGAATGTTAGCCTATACATAGGTACTGTCAGATCGAAATATTAAGGCCACGTGCAGATTTCGTCAAGGTCACAAGATGTAAACGGGGTTAGGGCATGTAATTGTTGCAGAGGATTGTGGGTTAAGTCTAGGGTCAGCGCTAGCCCTGTTTACAACTCATGACTTTGACTTAATCTGCATTTAATTTCTGTTGGTCAAGACTGGTCAGTATGTCTGAAACAAGAGGCTTGGTAATTGACACACCAAGTCACGAATGAATTATGAACTTGAACTTTAAACGTGTTATCTCCTTTCCAATCAATGTAACCTGCACCTAAATATATACTTTGTACATGTATAGTACATAATGCACTAAAATATATATATCTTATCTGTTTAAAGAGGTAAATTTCAAGACGATACAACAATTTTTACATAGAGCTTCTGAATGTCATTTGAGGTAATTTGAGGTATTTTGAATCCCTTGGAAACTACAATACTGTAAAAGTTGAATCTCTAAACGATACTAAAGACTCTGAGCGATATAGGAGTCCCTGTAAACTGCAATATTGTAAACCTTGCATCTAATACATGTAAGAGAGGGGGGGGGGGGAGAGAGAGAGAGGGGAGGGGGAGGGAGAGAGAGGGGGGGGAGAAAGAAAGAGATAGTGGAAGATAGGGAGGGAGAGAGAGGGGGGGGGGAGAGAGAGGAGGGGGAGAGAGGGGGGAGAGAGAGGGAAAGGGGGAGGGAGAGAGAGGGGAGGGGGAGAGAGGTAGGAGAGATAGGGAAAGAGAGAGGGGGAGAGAGAGGGGAGGGGGAGAGAGGGAAAGAGATAGGGAGGGAGAGAGAGAGAGATGGGGCTTAAGTCCTCTCCATACAAACTATGGTATGGTTGAATTATAGGAATCCCGTGCCAACTCATATGTTGTAAAATTTGAATCTATAAAAGAAATATCAGTCTAAAAATAGTTCAAGTCTGTTCAGTATTTATAGAGACGTGACGCGACATTTAGCATCTTATAACGACGATCATGGATATAAACAAGCCAGTACCACCGATAACTACTTGGTAAAAATTTACTTTTGGTTGGCCTCTTTTCATCCAATTGAATCCATGTCGAGCGATTATTAACCATGGATTACGCCATAAAAATTAGATATTGTGAGGAATCTGAGGCTTTGTCCTGGAATTTATACATGTAGCTTGACAAGGACAGCTGTCTAGTCGTTCGGATGGTATGGAAAACCGAGATCCTGTGTATACATTGGCATGCACGTAAAGATCCCTTGGTATTTGGAATTCGATATAGGTGTAGTAGGTTTCAGTATAGTGCTGCTGCCCGGACAAAATTTCCGTCATAGCACACTTTATGGCGTATGCCCGTCTTCTTTAACCCAGTATAGGAACAGAACAGCAGGACGTTAAACTTCATTTCATTTCATTTATTCTAAATTATTTTCCTTTTTATTACAGGAAACATGAAGCTGAAGAAGTTAAAGACACAAGACTTGAAGGATCAATCATTTCCTGGCAGATCCATCAAATCCTAAAGACATAAATGTACAAAGTGTCACGCTTGTGTCGTTAGTGTTGGATGCAAGACAGTGCAAAAACGAAGACTGTAATTTGTGTTGTGTTTCAGATTCATACAAACATCTGAGATATAATATATGGATGAAAAAGAATCAGTGTGTTTGAGTGTTGTAGTGATTATTGGTTTGTTTTGCTCTAAATGCCATTTGATTTGCAGAGTAACAGATGTGACTTAATCTATTGACCAATCAATGAGAAAGAATCAAAGGCTAGGTTTCTAGGCCTAATATTCCACTGTTGTTAAATAAGATAATTATTATTGCTAGTTAAATCAGAGACATTTAATAAATCAGTCAGAAACTTTAAATAAATCAGCCAGAAACTTTTTCAAAAATCAGTCAGAAACTTTTAGTAAATCAGTCAGAAACTATTAATAAGTCAGAAACATTAAATAAAACAATCAAAAACTTTTTAAAAATCAGTCAGAAACTTTTCATAAATCAGTCAGAAACTTTCAATAAATCAGTCAGAAACTTTTTAAAAAATCAGTCAGAAACTTTGAATAAATCGGTCAGAGACTTTTAATAAATCAGTCAGAAACTTTAAGTAAAGAGTCAGAAAACTTTGATAAAAAAATTAAAAAGCTTTAATATATCCCTCAGAAAATCAGTCAGAAACTTTTAACCAAAAAAAATAAATAAAAGAACATAATGGATAAATGTGCTTTAATTCCTACGCGGATTATCACCATCTTGTTAGTCATTTTACAAGGAACTATTTTAGATTATTACCTCATTAAATATAACAATTGGTATTGGTACGCCTGGATAGCCGCAGATCTTGCGCTTCTTTTTGTATTTATTATGACTTTTGTAATATCGTACCGACATTTGAATTTGATGCGTACATCGACTACCCCAGTTCAAGTTGGCAGTCTGCCGTTGGTTTATTTCGCCTGGCTTGTGTATTCCATACTATTAGCGATACGAGTTGGCCTGATTTTCAAGGATATTGCCTGGAAGCTGAAAGAAGAGGATTTCTTTGGTCCAAATACCTTAAAAGTCACGATTTCTCTGGCAGCCGTGATTTTTTTCCTTCTTCTACAGTCGCATCACAACGCACCGTGTCGTAGCAGACGCGAGCACCAAATTGAAAATTTAACCAAGACTGTAGTCTTCGACATCTTAGACTCTGTAGACATTCTGGACGTATTTTTTTTGAGATCCGCGAAAGATGCGCTGCTACCTGGTTTGGAAGAAGGTATTTTGGTAATCGCATGCCTGAATTTTATTTTACCAACTCTTCCATTAATGACATTAAGTCGAATTCATTTCGGATTTAAAGTTATTCCACGAAATATTGACATTTTGCATCGACTTTTGTTACTGTTTTTCGTCAACGCTCCGTTACTATCGATCCGTCTGGTACTGTGGCACAGGTTAGATCAGGATATTTCCACGTTTATCGTCAAGAATTTGTTCATTATCGTGGTTATGTTATACGAGTTGCATAAAGAATTTAAACATGGAAAAGAAAACCTCGGCAGAAATGACAATACGCACGTGGGTTTAGACTATCCAGGTGAAGAAGAAGAAATGGTGGAGTATGGTCGTTAAGGCCAAATAAAAAAAACAATTTCTGGTTCTCAATCTGATTAAAATACAGATCTATATTTCGTTTCGTTTATTTATACTTTAGATGGCCTACACTACATGAAGATCTGACAAGTTGTACTGGGAGGTCTCGTCAGGGGTCATACGAGCGGCTTATGACCATATGACATCCGACATTGATTAATGAATCAGTGTTGACATTTCTAGTGGTTTACCCACAGTTCCTTGCAGAGCATGCCAAGAACTCGCCGTAACAGAACATGTCATTGGCTAATCCCTAACATCAACCAGAACGCTGGTAATATAACAACTCTTCAAGATCTCAGTGTTGTGAAATAGGATCTGTGTTTTAATCAGATTGTCTGGTTCTCAGATTCCGCAGCATCATTTAAATGAAATCTCGTTCAACACCCTAGTCCTTGAAAATGGCTTGACCTTCATTTTGTTACCGTAAAAAATAGTGTGAATTTGATGTGTTGTTTTGGGCAAATGATAAAAAGTTTCAATTTCATTAAGCTTAAAGATGCATAATGCAAGAGCTAAATCTGCCTATTGCAGGTCTTTCTTTAGGCCTTAAATTTTATATAAATGATTAATTAGCCATTTATGAACAAAACAAGACCATAATCGACTCTCAATGCCATCTGATGGGTATAATTTTAAACAGATTTGAATCTGATCTGGATAATCGAGACTTTGTTTATTATAGTAACAATGACAATCTAGGCTACAGCTTTTTTTAAATTCAGTTTTCTCGGCTCGGATATTGTGGCTTCTATACGTGTGCATTATTCTGTATAGACTGTAGAATTTTATATAGCAGAGGTGGATTGTAGAAATGTTTGAAAAATACGCCAGCATGCAAAATGACCAATTGGTCAGAGATCTAGTTTCAGTCAATTTCCCGGTTCCATAGCCCTCGGTCTTTGTTTATTATCGTAACAGCGGTAGCAATGACAAACAAGACTACACTGTTCTTCAAACGGCCATAACTCCGCTCAGAATCAAGTAATTGACTGAAATTTTCAAGATATCCCCTTTTCATTATCTATATTTGGGTACGGGACACTTCGTCCCCTGACAACTCGTTACCAAACAATTCGTCCCCGGACAACTCATTCCCAGATAATTCTAATTCGTCCCCAGATAATTATTTGAACTAATATTATAGCATGAACCGTCAGCTCTTTATCTAAATCTTACATTATGCATCTTTAAGTAATAATAATGATGGTTTAACATGAAATAGCTTCCCCATTTAGTCTTTAATTATGACATACACATGGTTTGAATTATATGCATGTAAACTTAATTACGATAGTTTATTTTTCTATTTTTAAATTAATATTTTTGAATGTTTTAAATAGTAATGGACTTCTTACATGACCCATGACAACCAAAATAAACCCATGACAACCGAAATAAACTTCCTCAGTCCCGTAGTTGTATTATATGTCATTCAGATGGCAATTTATAAGTTGTTTAAAAATCCTCTTAGTGCCAACCCCAGTAAATCTATCCCGGGGGTATTGTACTTATCGTGCCAACCCCACTAAATCTATCCCGGGGGGTATTGTACTTACATGTATCGTAGTTAATTTTTACTGCTGGTCAGTCATTTTATATTTTTACCAATTCATTTAATTGTAAATTTTTTTAAAGAGAAATAGTTTTTTTTATTCTGGTTATAAATTTTATAATTTCATGATATTTTATAGTTATTTCGTTATTTATACATCTCATATATGTTTTGGGTTCCATCTCTTGCAAATTGTGGGCGTATCTTGCCTGGCAACCACTGTTTCTTTTTTTCTATGGTCACAGGTACATTTCTGCCGTCTCATCTTCGAATTCCAACTGCCAAGGTTTTTTTTTTAATGTGCATCTTCAGTTTTACACCCCCATGAACATTGTAGGCCCCAACCCTGATAAGTGACAGGCCCCATTGTAGGCCCCAACCCTGATAAGTGACAGGCCCCATTGTAGGCCCCAACCCAGATAAGTGACAGGCCCCATTGTAGGCCACAACCCTGATAAGTGACAGGCCCCATTGTAGGCCACAACCCTGATAAGTGACAGGCCCCATTGTAGGCCACAACCCTGATAAGTGACAGGCCCCATTGTAGGCCACAACCCTGATAAGTGAGAACAGAGGTTGAGAAATCCCTTAGGTCCTTTTCAATCCTAGGATTCAAACTCAGAACAAATAGAACAGTGGCCTACCATTCAACTACCATGCCTCCTGCCCGGGATAAAAACCACAGCGGTTGTATACAGGACCTCGTTTTTTCCATCCCATCTGAACAACTAGACCCTGTTCCTTGCCAGGCCCTTTGTGCTATATTACTATTGACAACAGGAAATCACAATGAAAAATCCTGAAGAACTTTCACATCCAACACTCGGATCGAACCCGTAATCTATTGGTTAGTGAGCTAGCACCTTATTGACTAAAACACACAGATAGATAAGTGAGCTCGCCCAATGAGCCACACAGATTAGTGAGCTAGCCCACCCACTGAGTCAGATATAGATTAGTGAGCTAGCACCTTACTCTCTGAGCCACACAGATAGATTAGTGAGCTAGTCCATTGAGTCATACAGATAGATTAGTGAGCTCGCCCACCCACTAAGTGATACAGATAGATTAGTGAGCTCGCCCACCCACTGAGTCACACAGATAGATTAGTAAGCTCGCCCATTGAAATGAAATGAAATGAAATGGGGTTTAACGTCCTACTGTTCTGTTCCTAACCTGGGCTAATGAAGACGGGCATACGCCATACAGTGTGCTATGAGGGAAATTTTGCCAGGGCAGCGGCGCTACGGCCTACTCTTATATATCGAATTCCAACTGCCAAGGAATCTTTTACGTGCACGCCAATGTGTACACGGGACCTTGGTTTTTCGTCCTATCCGAACGACTAGACAGCTGTCCTTGTCAGGCCCCCCCATCCTGCATCACTGACAAGGGGAAACCACGCCGGAAAATCTGGATGAACTTTCTCAGCCAATGCAGGGATCGAACACCCGACCTCCAGGCTAGCGAGCCAGCGTCTAACCCACTTAGCCACATGATCCCCACACAGATAGATTAGTGAGCTCGCCCACTGAACCACACAGATAGATTAGAATATAAAAACAAAAAACATGACATTTGTATTATTTTATTTTATTAATATAAAGAGAATATTTATAAATATATAAATTTATTGCATCAATATCTGAATCACACATTTCACAACCTTTTCATATAAACATTTTATAAAATATTTAACAATATAATAGGGAAACTATACAACAATCTGTTTAAATTTCACATCCATTCAAATCCAAACACCAAAACAAATAGGGTTTAAAAATGAAATGAAATGGGGTTTAACGTCCTACTGTTCTGCTCCTAACCTGGGCTAATGAAGACAGGCATATGATTTACAGTGTGCTATGAGGGAAATTTTGCCCGGACAGCGGCACTACGGCCTACTCTTATATCGAATTCCAACTGCCAAGGGATCTTTTACGTGCACGCCTGGGCATCGGCACTATGACCTACTCTTATATCGAATTCCAAGGGGTCTTTTACGTGCATGCCAATGTATACACGGGACCTCGGTTTTTCATCCCTCTGTGCTGCACAACTGACCATGGGACACCAAGTCAGAAAATCCCAATGAACTTTCTCGGCCAATGCAGGGATCGAAAATACCCCATTTCCAGGCTTGTGAGTCAGCATCTTACCCACCGTGGCCCCAAATAGGGTTTAAGAGGGAGAGAGGGAGAAATGGGGTTTAACATCCACTCGACACAAACTAGGTCATTTCGGGACTAACATATGGTTTGATTTTATTTACATAATTCACTTGCGCGTAGGGGTCTTTAGCAGTGGGAGGAAACCGGAGGACCCGGAGAAAACCCACGAGGTTGGACAGGCGACCCTACTCCTTGCCACGTACAACCGGGGATCAAATAGGGTTTAATGTCCTAAATAGGGTCTAATGTCCTGCGTTTCTGCACAGACTACAGTAATAAATGTACCGGTACACCATTTAGAGTGCTATGAGTTATTTAATAACCATTTCAGCTTCCTTGAAAGAGACATAAAGTAGTACCGGTACTTGATTTATGTCCTAATTTCTCTCAGAAAAAGGAAACCTTCTAAATAACACCCAATAACAAAACAGGAAAAATATTAAACAATTGCTTTTATAAATAGTGTTTCATGACTTAGATAAAAGTGAATTCAATTGAAAAGGAAAACCCTTGATGTCAACATTACATCCTGGGTAATTAATGAATAACAGGACACTACACTAATAATTCATATTAATATTAATTCATCTTTACAATATCAATAGTCTAATCTGCCTATTGCAGATCTTTCTTTAGGCCTCAAAATGTTATCTAAATTATTAATTAGACATTAACTTATCCAGACCATAATCAACTCTCGATGGCATCGCTAGCCTGCGATGTTTATTGGATTAGATTCCGATTTGCTGTTCGACTTCCATTCCTAATTAAATCAAGAAATGGATAATCAAGATTATGTTTTTTTTTATCCTACCGACTTTAGTAATGATGTTCGAGGCTAGGTCGAAAATTTCAATCGCTAAAATCTTGGATCATAGTGGATCAATTTGACTGAAATTTTCAGAAAATTTCCTTTACATTAGCTATTTTTTAACTATTATAGTAAGAACTACCAGCTCTTTATCTAATCTCCCATAATGTATCATACAGTGGGCATACAGTGTGCTATGAGGGAAATTTTGCCTACACAGTGGCACTATGGCCTTCTCTTATATCGAATTCCAACTGCCAAGGATTCTTTTTGCAGGATCGAAAGGTTTAACTGAGTATTACTACAACAGTTAAGAGTAAATACAATGATGTTTAAATGTACAATGTCGTATTTTAATTACAATTAACAACGAATCAATAAACTCTAGAAATTCAACAATAAAATATGACATTTAACTTTATAAATTAATAATAATATTCTGATTATTATGTTTGGTTTGTGCCAAATAAACCTATCTATCTACCATACTGCATTTGAGAGAAAGAAAGAAAAATGGGGCACAAAGGAGGTCATTTTATTTCAATAATTCGCTTGGGTGTAGGGGGCTTTTTAGCAGTGGGAGGAAACCGGAGGACCCGGAGAAAATCTACGAGGTTGGACAGGCGACCCTACTCCTTGTCACGTACAACCGGGGAATCGAAACCCCGCCAGTTGACTCAATGACAGACCGTATGATACAGCGCACGCATGCTAACCATTTGGCCATCCAACCCCCCTAAACACCAATAGAAAAAGAAGAACAATTTGTACGAACATAAGGTAATAGCGGTTTTCTGTATACAAACACCTGGCGGGGGCTGATTGTTAATCTGGAACGTTTTTAATTGACACAGAATTCAGTCCTGTCATAGTTCGGTCAGCCCCGTCTACTGATCAATGAGGTAACGTAATTAAACACAACGAATATGTTTCAGCTGTCGTGATTGGTTGAAATATTCTCTTATTCAATCCATGCATGCATTGTGGCCCGAACCCCTCTTTTGATTCACTCATTTGTCGGTATTTCTGGGATCAAGAGACTTCTAAAGTAGAATCTTCAACTGAGTATTCCCCGAATGTCTTCCCAAAAGATTTCACAAAAGGCCAGTCCCATTTTATTTCCGCTATAACTTGGTGTCTGTTATTAATGACCTTGGCCTTTCTACCACCATACTTCTAGGCCTGTCCGGAGCCTTTTTGTCGGTATCGGTAGTGTGTGCATTCTGGGAATGTGCCACCGCGATATGTAAACACTGCACCCATTGTTCCACATTCTGATGACCTTTGGCCTTAAATACATATGTCTGATCTTCCGTGAATATTTCAAATGCTTTCGGTATGTCGCGTATTCCTTTCCTGACGGCTTTAACACTTTGTATTTTACTCACAGGTAACGTCTCTTTTCGCTGAAACAGCCAATAATAACAATTATATATACAGGTCATTTTGGGACTAACATATGGTTCAATTTTATTTCAATAATTTGCTTGCGCATAGGGGTCTTTAGCAGTGGGAGGAAACCGGAGGACCCGGAGAAAACCCACGAGGTTGGACAGGCAACCCTACTCCTTGTCACGTACAACCGGGAAACAAAACCACGCCAGGTTACTCAATTATAGACCTTATGATACAACATGCACGCGCTAACCATGCGGCCATCCAACCCCCCGAACAGTATAAATAAAAGCCTGCAATCGGTGTAAAGAGTTCAATGAGAATGAAACTAGTCACTGACACCCAGGATAACCAGACCCTGAGTTTACAAAGTTAAGAATTTACACAACTTTCAGTTACTGTTTATGAGAAATATCTTTGATCCAGAAACATAAAAACTTTGTACATAGTTAGGATGACCCACCATAAATAAATATCTCCAAATATCTCGACAATTACGCCACAAAATTTATATATATGCCAAGCCTCAAATCAGTTTCACACAATTATAGTCACTAAATAAACTATCATGTTGTACTTAATAAGCTATGCCCATCTATAAATAATAGACTGAAAACTGGTTCCAAGTGTCGTCCATAACATCCAAACACTTTTGAGTAAAAGAAAGGTTACGTGCCCTTGTTTTGAAATTAGTCTCGCTTAACCAGTCTATCGATCATTCTACGTCTGACTGACAGGTTGGGATAATCAAGACTACTTTTTTACGAAACATAACAGAAAGCTAGAACAAGAAATTGAATTTAGAAATAAGCACTTTAGCCAACTCAACAATTGTTTTTAGAAACTTGTAAAAGTAAAATGAAACTACTGCTAGTATCATGTTCCTGCTAACGAAAGTGAATCAGAGATATTATTTGTACTAAACCAAAAGATGCCGCTCTTAACGGTACAGTTAATGATAAAGCAATTTAAAAAATAAAACAAACGTAATTTCTAAAGCTGCTGTAATAACCAAGAAGCTAAATTTTACTGCTATTCAAAATCGTCAACAATAGATTTTTTACGGCTGTAATAGTTGATATATTTGTAGAGAATTGCACGTGCCATGGCTATTTATCGACTCAAAGAGAGTGCGGGGTAGTCAGAAATCATGAAGTGTGCACATTTAGCCGTGTCGAGACCAACTTTCTGTAGAGTGCACGGGTCACCCTAACATAGTTTCTTATTGATGTATTTGATATGTTAAAACAACAAAAGTTTTTTAAGGGGCTATATCATAGTTGATATAAAGCGAACAATTTTGAGTAAATTCTTATCTTAAGTCTTAGAACTCGGGGCTGGGTCTTAATAGCTACACTTATCTTTTATATTTAAATATAGCAAAACTGACCAGATCACTTTTACTGTAGGTAAATTGTCCACCTGAAAGAGTAAAATATCGAGTCTTCCATCTTTTTAAAAATTTCCATTTTCCTTTCTTTTCTTTTAACTGACCCTGCAAATAATTGACAAATAAAACATAGGTTACCAGGCAACAAGACAAACACCATCTGAGCAGTTATAAGTTAAACAACTCATATATATTTCAAATTGCAGACCAACAAAAGAAAATACGGGTTGTCAGGCAATGAAAAAAACACTGTCCAGAATTTATGAGCTAAATGATTCATAAATAATTCCAAATGATAGGATCATAGTTGAAGTATCTAAGGATGCTAACAAGATTTCATAACAAAGGGGAGTAACTCTAGAAGTTATTATTGAAAATCACTTACAAAAACAATGTGGTTCACCCTTTCAATAGGATATACAACCACTAATTTCAGAAAGATGGGTTAATTATTACAGTTGATCATAACAAAGGGGAGAGGGAGAGAAATGGGGTTTAACGTCCACTCGACACAAACTAGGTCATTTCGGGACTAACATATGGTTCAATTTTATTTCCATAATTCGCTTGCGCGTAGGGGTCTTTAGCAGTGTGAGGAAACCGGAGGACCCGGTGAAAATCCACGCGGTTGGACAGGCGACCCTACTCCTTGTCACGTACAACCGGGGAATCGAAACCACGCCAGTTGACTCAATGACAGACTTTCTGATACAGCGCGCACGTGCTAACCATTAAGCCATCCAACCCCCCAACTCTTGATAGTGATTATGGTAAAAATATTTATAATAAATAGGAATCTTACCGCTATTAATGGAAGTCCATCTTGTAATAATCCATTAACTTTTTCTGGATGATTACACATAAAACAACTCCATTGTTTATTTAAAGCGTTAAATTCAAAAATATCAAAATATCTCGCTTCATGTAATTCTTGTGTTAATGTCTCCTGATCCTACTCAAATAATAAAAACATAATACCAAAAATGAAAATGAAATGAAATGAAATGAAATGAAATGAAATGAAATGAAATGACAATTGCTTGACAATTGCATGTAACTAAGATAAGATAATGTAAGATAAGACTAAACCAATTTTATTTCCAGTTCTTCCTGTTCTGTATAAATAAATAGCCACTTCAATTACATGATAGATGTTGAGTTTAACATTTCAAAACTTAGAACTGAAATACTTTAGGTTTTTAAAACAGTCTTTTTCCCAAAATAAGAAAACAAATTTTAAACAATTGTTGAAAATGAAATGAAATGGGGTTTAACGTCCTACTGTTCTGCTCCTAACCTGGGCTAATGAAGACGGGCATATGCCATACAGTGTGCTATGAGGGAAATTTTGCCCGGACAGCGGCACTACGGCCTACTCTTATATCAAATTCCAACTGCCAAGGGATCTTTTTCGTCCTATCCGAACGACTAGACAGCTTTCCTTGTCAGCCCCTCCGTCCTGCATCACTGACAAGGGAGAACCACGCCGGAAAATCTGGATGAACTTTCTCGGCCAATGCAGGGATCGAATACCCGACCTCCAGGCTAGCGAGCTAGCGTCTTACCCACTTAGCCACGTGATCCCCTTAAACAATTGTTTCCGAGGATCAGAAAATCAAATTATTTTGGCCTAACAACAATGTTTCCTTTAAAATAAATGACTAGGAAATTGTGCCCTATTTTTCGGACGGAACAGAAAACTGAGGTCCATCTGTATGCATCGAAAAGAAGCCTTGGCAGTTTGAATTTAATAAAGAATAGGCTGAAACCTTACTGTCAGGGCAAAATGTCCAATATATCATTTAACATGTAATCATATACACCATATACATAAAATATGCCTGACACAAAATGTCTAATATATTTCTGGACTTCCCGGTTGGCGAGCCAGCGCCTTAATCAGCGAGCCACCATGCTCATCAGAATTGGATAGAAGTAGTGTCATTTTCTTACCTTCACAGAAGGAAATGCTGATGTCACTAACGTTAAAAATGTTCCATCTGACCTTTCACCCTTTAAAGCATCCCAGCAAACTTTTAAACAAGCCACGTTGTTATCACGTTGACTTAATGCAGATGACGACTGAGCCTAGAAAATACCATATAAATTTTTACTTTTAAACTAAACAAGATCCCACAAAACTGGAAATGAGAAAAAAAGTCATGAACAATGTGAGGCACAATTCCAGATTGAGATAGAGTTCATCATTCTATAGATAGGAACATATAATTTATCTGTATATATAGAGATAGAGAGGGAGAAATGGGGTTTAACGTCCACTCAACACAAACAATTTCATTTCAAGAATAACATATGGTTTAATTTTATTTCAATAATTTGCTTGCGCGTAGGGGTCTTCAGCAGTGGGAGGAAACCGGAGAAAACCCACGAGGTTGGAAGGCGACGCTACTCCTTGTCATGTACAACTGGGGATTCGAAACCACGCCAGTTGACTCAATGATAGACCTTATGATACAACATGGACATGCTAACCATTCGGCCATCCAACCCCCCCCACCTGTATATAGATAGGAACATGTAATTTACCTGTATATATATCTAACATGTAATTTACCTGTATATATATCTAACATGTAATTTACCTGTATATATATCTAACATGTAATTTACCTGTATATAGATAGGAACATGTAATTTACCTGTATATAGATAGGAACATGTAATTTACCTGTATATAGATAGGAACATGTAATTTACCTGTATATATATATATAGAAACATGTAATTTACCTGTGTATATAGATAGGAACATGTAATTTACCTGTGTATATAGATAGGAACATGTAATTTACCTGTGTATATATATAGGCACATGTAATTTACCTGTGTATATAGATAGGAACATGTAATTTACCCGTATATATATATCTAACATATAATTTACCTGTATAGAGAGAAACATGAGATGAAGCCATATTTTTGGTTGAAATGTATCCAAGCTGAACTGAGATTTTCCATATAAACAATGATCAAGTTGACTAGCACACTGAAAATGTAGTTTAACATATCTCCGATGTTTACCATCTATAAACAAAAAAAAAAGAAAAATAGAAATGAAAAGGATTTTAACATCCTACTTTTCTGCCCCAACATGGCCAATGAAGACTAGCATACACAATACACTGTGCTAATATTAAACTCTGTACTAATGACATTATATTTACTAGGAAGTGGTGTATTAATATCAAAGTCTTTACTCACTAACCACTCTATATTTACTAAGAAGTGGTGTGCATGCTCTAATATTAAAGTCTGTACTAACGACCCTATATTTACTAGGAAAAGGTGTCCTAATATTAAAGTCTGTACTAAAGACCATCTATTTACTAGGAAGAGGTGTGCTAATATTAAACTCTGTATTAACGACCCTATATTTACTAGGAAGAGGTGTACATGCTCTAATATTAAAGTCTGTACTAACGACACTATATTTACTAGGAAGAGGTGTGCTAATATTAAACTCTGTACTAATGACCCTATATTTACTAGGAAGAAGTGTGCTAATATTAAAGTCTGTACTAACAACCCTATATTTACTAGGAAGAGGTGTGCTAATATTAAAGTCTGTGCTAACGACCCTATATTTACTAGGAAGAAGTGTGCTAATATTAAACTCTGTACTAACGACCCCATATTTACTAGGAAGAGGTGTGCTAATATTAAAGTTTGTACTAACGACCCTATATTTACTAGGAAGAGGTGTGCTAATATTAAACTCTATACTAACAACCATATATTTACTAGGAAGAGGTGTGCTAATATTAAAATCTGTACTTACTAACAGCACTACGAAAATGAAATGAAATGAAATGAAATGGGTTTAACATCCTACTGTTTTGCTCCGAACTGGGCTCATGAAGACGGGCATACGCCATACAGTGTGCTATGAGGGTAATTTTGCCCAGACAGCGGCACTACGGCCTACTCTTATATCGAATTCCAACTGTCAAGGGATCTTTTACGTGCACGCCAATGTGTACACGGGACCTCGGTTTTTCGTCTCATCCGAATGACTAGACAGCTGTCCTTGTCAGGCCCTCCGTCCTGCATCACTGACAAGGGGGAACCACGCCGGAAATCTGGATGAACTTTCTCGGCCAATGCAGGGATCGAACACCCAACCTCCAGGCTAGCGAGCCAGCGCCTTACCCACTTAGCCACTAACAGCACTACATTTACTAGGAAGAGGTGTACATGCTCTAATATTAAAGTCTGTACTAACGACCCTAAATTTACTAGGAAGAGGTGTGCTAATATTAAAGTCTGTACTATAAACGACCCTATATGTACTAGGAAGAAGTGTGCTAATATTAAAATCTGTACTTACTAACAACACTACATTTACTAGGAAGAGGTATTCGTGCACTAATTTTCTCGACATAATTCTGTATGGTAGTAAAATGCTTCTCACAGAAATGTTGAACCCCATCGTGCACTGGTTCGTTCTACAATAAGATACCATCATACATTGTTAAAAAAATATATAACATAAAATCACTAAATATTATGGAGATTTTCAACCAGACAGGGAGAATGGAGTATTGTGCACAGAGTACTACAAAATCATCTTATAAATTATGTTAGTCCCAAAATGACCTAACCTAATATTCAGCCCAGGCAGCGTCATCTCAGTCTACTCTTTATCGCATTAGATCTGTCAAGGGTTTTTTTACATGCACACCAACAGTTTTTGCTGAATTAACAAAACGCTGTTCATTGCCAGGCTCTTCATACTGCAGCACATTTCTGTACCTACCGGACTAAGGATGCCAGGCATGCAGCATGCTACAAAGGATATTTTATCTAGACAGTAGCATTCAACCTCTTTTTCTTTGAATTTTAATTGTTCTTTTATGCATACGTCAACAAGTACCCCTACGCGCATGCGAATTATAGAAATAAAATTAAACCATGTTAGTCCCGAAATGACTTAGTTTGTGTCAAATGGATGTTAAACCCCATCTCCCTCCCTCCCTCCCTCCCTCTCCCTCTCTCTCTCTCTCTCCCTCCCTCCCTCACGTCAAGAAGTACAAAAGGTTAGACTAACAAATGAATATTTTGAGACTAAGAAATGAATATTTAGAGGTTAACAATTTTGAGATTAACAAATGAATATTTTGAGACTAACAAATGAATATTTAGAGACTAACAAATGAATATTTAGAGATTACCTGATTTAAATAAGCTGTAGTTAGGTTACTATTGATAGATAATCTCTCCGATACCAGAGTAGACGCTGGACTACTCGTTCTTTCTGATTCTCTTTCACTAGTTCTACAAACAAAACAAAACTTCGGAATGTATGGCTAGTCAATCACATGTCAATCACATGTCAATCTGAGTAAAATAATGGGCCCTTATTCACGAAAACTTAAACTAAGATACAATCGAAATTTTAAGAAATACTGCAATTGTATTGGCTGACCAATATGCAAATTGGATATATGCAAATTGATTTTACTGGTCAGCCAATCGAATTGCAGTATTTCTTAAAATTTCGATTGTATCTTAGTTTAAGTTTTCGTGAATAAGGGCCCAGATCTATATTTCCTTTTGGTTTTCTATACATTCGATGGCCTACACTACATGAAGATCTGACAAGTTGTAGTGGGAGTTCACGTCAGCAGTCATACGATCGGCTTTTGACCTTATGACGTCAGACATTGATTAATCAATCAGCGTTGATGTTTCTAGGGGTTTACCCAGGCCGTTTCATTGGCTATTTCCTTACATCAAGTAGAATGCCTGTTATATAACAACTCTTCTAGATGGAAGTGTAGTACAGACAAATAAAACGAAATTTTGAACTATAAAAAACGAAACTAAATGGGATTGATCACATGAGGTTCTTCAGGATTTTCTTTGGAGCCACAGTGGCTCAGTGAGTAAGATGCTGGCTGGCTAATGAGGAGGTCTCAGGTTCGCTCCCAGTGTTGACAGGGCCTGGCAAGGAAAGTCCTAGTCATTTGGATGGTACAAAAAACTTAAGTTCAGTGTTTACGGGGGGGGGGGGGGAGAGAGAGAGAGAGAGAGAGAGAGAGAGAGAGAGAGTGAGTTTAATGTCCACTCTACACAAACTAGGTCATTTCGGGACTAACATCTGGTTTAATTTTATTTCATTAATTGTTTGCACGTAGGCGTCTTTAGAAGTGGGAGGAAACCAGAGGATTCGGAGAAAACCCACGAGGTTGGACAGACGACCCTACTCCTTGTCACGTACGAGCAGGGAACTGAAACCATGCTGTCTAGTCATTCAGATGGGACCAAAAACCGACATCCTGTGTACACATTAGTAAAAGAACGCTTGACAGTTGGAATTCGATATAACACTAGGTCGTAGCACCACTGCCCGGGAAAAATGTACCTCATAACACAATTTATGGCGCATGCCAGTCTTTATTAGTCACGTTGATGCAGATGAGTAAGATGTTTAACTGGTACATACCTGATAGACTTCGGTAAACTGAGATCGCTATCTGCCGTGTTAGGGGAGAGAACTGTAGTTTTAACAGATACAGTACCACTAGGATGTATAGCGTTTGGTGGATTACCAACTGTTATAACCGTAACAGTCTGACTTGAAACTGATATCATTTCTTTCTCTGTTAAACTAGAAAATAAATCATATCTTATAAATTTCTGTGAAACCATAACCTATGCCTAATACTAGGTTCCAACTATCTCGATACGATTGAAATCGTGGTTTTAATCGTACATTAATCTTGTTGATCATATATTGTGACCAGTCGTACCATTCGAGTTGATCGTATTGAAGCGTATCCGAACGCAATAGGGATAGTCCCATCGTAACGCATGGCACGACAGTGGAAACCTAGTATTAACAATATATTGTGATGTCTGAAGGTTGTTACTTATATGTAACACAAATATGTGACCACTGACACCAAAACGAGGAGGAAGTGTTTCATACTAACATAACTTTATGGATTTAATACTTCTAAAGTTGATATTAATTTATTTATTTATGCACTGTAAATGAATGAGAGATCAGGGAACAAGCAAAATGCCTGTAAAACAAACCATATAATCTATGCATCAAGAGAGAGACAGAGACAGAGAGAGAGAGAGAGAGACGGAGAGAGATGGGGTTTAATGTCCACTCGACACAAACTAGGTCATTTTGGGACTAACACATGGTTCAATTTTATTTCAATAACTTGCTTGCCCGTAGGGGTCTTTAGCAGTGGGAGGAAACCAGAGTACCTGGAGAAAACCCACGAGGTTAGACAGGCGAACTATGTATCAAGACATAAAAACAACAATTATGAAGTTACAACTCATTCTTTTATGATACAAAAAAAAATGCTGAAATAGGCTAAAAATAAGATTTTGAAGATTTAAATAAAGCAACAAAACTATGACAACATTTTTGTTTGAATCACAAAACAATGAAGGATAATTTTTATGAACAACCCAAATGAAAGAGGAAGTAGTGTCATACACTCCATTACATATTTATAAATATAAACCCAAACATATTTCATTCACACAGATTTTATTTATACTTGTATACCGACTCACAAAAAGACAATATCAATTTAAATATTTCAAAGAAAGACAGGTGACTCTCGTGACCAACAACAACAAAGTCGTTGAAGCTTATTAATCGTATTTCTGCAAACGGACAAACGGCATCTGGTGACCTAATTCTGGCCTCTTTTAACCCCACAACTAAAAATGTCGGACAGTCAAAATTTTGAAAGAGAACACCAGTCGGCAAACCTCGGCAGATTCCGTTACTCTACATCTAGCCTTGGCTGTATGACGGTAAGTGATATGTACCTACGCCTATACAATTGCAATACAGCACCAGTTTACTTATTAGGAAAACATGCCGCTTTTTAAAAGAAGTTCTGAAGCATATTTAGAATTTTCAGTACAAAGTTGTCCTTGTTTGAAGAAAATCAGATAAACTTGAAAGAAAAACAGCTTCAGACTTTAAAATATTTGTATGATAAAACATTTTTCAAAGGCGTCATCATGGGCAACGCTGTTGATAATCCGGGAAATTGAAAATAGTTCCAATGGCGGACTTCGTCATACAGCCGAGGCTAGATGTAGGGTACTGAAATCTGCTGAGGTTTGCCGAGTGAAGAGAACCCCTGCACTCACGAAAACAAGCTTATGTTGTGGCATGCGCTTTCCTGCTACTCTTCGTCAAATTCAAATTGCAAAGGATTTATTTATGTTTAGACGGGACCTTGGATTTTTCATCCCATCCAACTAGTCAAAAATCATTGAAAATCAATAGGTTTATTCATCTCATAAACTTTGTGTATGAATTTAACGTTGAATGATAGCCTGGGTCTCTGGATCATTGTGGCTGATGGACAGACGAACAGTGACAACAATAGAGAAAATGACAAAAAAATGAAATGAAAACAGAAAACAAAATACAACAAGATAGAGAGAGAGAGAGAGAGAGAGAGAGAGAGAGAGAGAGAGAGAGAGAAATGGGGTTTAACATCCATTCAAAACAAACTAGGTCATTTCGCTTGCATGTAGGGATCATTAACTGTGGGAAGAAACCGGAGGACCCAGAGAAAACCAACGAGATTGGACAGGCGACGCTACTTCTTGTCACATACAACCGGGTAATCGAAGCCACGCCAGGTAACTCAATGACAGGTCTTAAGATTAATGCGCAAGCATTTAACCATTCGGCCATCGAACAATCTCAAAAAACAATAATGCTAATGACTAATGTATGTTTTGATTGGTTAAAAAAAAACATATTTGAAAGCAAGAGAACAACCCGAATGCAAGTCAAAATAAATGATAAACAAGAATAAAGATGATTATATGTACAATAGATATGAAAAGACAAGAAGAAACCAAAATGCCTGCGGAAGGAAAGGGAGGGAAATGGGAATTAACGGGCAGTCAACACTAACATGGCTAATATACGGTACAGTTTTATTCCAGTAATTCCCTTGTAGCAAGCACAGGGGTCTTTAGCTGTCGGACTAAACTGAAGGACCCAGAGAAAACCCACGAGGTCAGACAGGCGACCCTACTCCTTGTCACATACAAGAGGGGGATCAAACCCACACCACTTGACTTGATGACCGAATGATGTAAGCATAGACGTTCTGACCACTCAGCAACCCATGATAAATGTGAATATATATATACATGCTATGACAGTGACAGTGAAGTTTGTTAGTTCGGGTGATTCACATACATGACAATTGAGAATAAGGATGATATTTGTGTACATGCTATGACAATGACAGTGAAATTAGTTAGTTTGGATGATTCACATACATGACAAATGAGAATAAGGATGATATTTGTGCACATAGTATGAGAGTGTCCGTGAAATTGGTTAGTTCGGATGATTCACATACTATTTTTGTTGATCGTCTTTCATTGATTGGACGAGAATACGGACAGCACTTGACGCATTCTCTGATAGTTTATTCACTTCTTCCATATATGGTGTGAGTAATTCGGGATGTGTCAAACCTATAGCACGCATATCCTGAAGAATCATGGGAATGGCTGAATCTTCGGAGGATGCCAACATGGATGAGAAATATTTGAGAGATCGATCAGCTTCCGTCTGTAAATATAAGAAGTAAAATATTTTCATTCACGTCATCAAATATCCAATCTGATTATAACACAGATCCTATTTCATTTCGTTTTTTATAGTTCAAAATTTTGTTTTACTTGTCTTTACTACACTAGCATCTAGAAGAGTTGTTATATAACCCACGTTCTGGTTGGTGTGAGGGATTAACCAGCGAAACAGTCTGTTACAGCAAGTTTTTGATGTGAGGAGCACGTAACTGTGGGTAACCAACTCAAAACAGCAACGCTGATTCGTTAATCAAATGTCTGACGTCATAAGGTCAAAAGTAGGGTGACCCATGTACTCTACAGAAATACAGTCCACCGCTGATAGTTCGAGACTACCACTGAAGCGTGCACATTCGCCGTGCCGAGACCAACTTTCTGACAGTATGATACTATAAATAGCCATGGCACGGGCAATTCTCTACAAATCTATCAACTATTACAGCCGTAAAAAAATTATTGTTGACGATTTTGAATAGCAGTGAAATTAAGCTTCTTGGTTATTACAGCAAATTTAGAAATTACGTTTGTTTCATTTTTTAAATCGCTTTATCATTAACTGTACCGTTAAGAGCGGCATCTTTTGGTTTAGTACAAATAATATCTCTGAATCACTCGGGTTAGACAGGAACATGATACTAGCAGTAGTTTCATTTTACTTTTACAAGGTTCTTAAAACGATTGTTGAGCTACCTAACGTGCTTATTTCTAAATTCAATTTCTTGTTCTAGCTTTTCTGTTATGTTTCATAAAAAAGTAGTCTTGATTATCCCGACCTGTCAATCAGAAAGTGTCTGGATGTTATGGACGACACTTGGAACCAGTTTTCAGTCTATTATTTATAGATGATTAATGGTCATAGCTTATTAAGTACAACATGATCGTTTATTTAGTGACTATAATTGTGTGAAACTGATTTGAGGCTTGGCATATATATAAATATTGTGGCGTAATTGTCGAGATATATGGAGATATTTATTTATGGTGGGTCACCCTATCAAAAGCCACTTGTATGACCACTGACGCAACCTTCCACTACAACCGGTCAGATCTTCAAGTAGAACAGGCCATCGAAAGTATTAAAAAAAAAACGAAATATAGATCTGTATTTTAATCAAATTGTCAAATATCCAATAAAATGGGGTTTAACATCCTACTTTCCTGGACCAAACGGGCCAATAAAATGGGGTTTAACATCCTACTTTCGTGGACCAAACGGGCCGATCTGATTAAAATACACAGATTTATATTTCTTTTCGTTTTTTTATACTTTCGATGGCCTACACTACATAAAGATCTGACCGGTTGTAGTGGAAGGCTGCGTCATGGGTCATACAAGCGACTTTTGACCCTATGACGTCAGACATTGATTAATCAATCAGTGTTGACATTTTTAGTGGTTTACCCACAGTTCCATGCATTGCACGCCAAAAATTCGCCATAACAGACCGTTCCATTGATTTATCCCTCACATCAACCAGAATGTGGGTTATATAACAACTCTTCCAGATCCTTGTGATGTGAAGACAAGTAAAACGAAATTTCGAACTATAAAAACGAAACAAAATAGGATCTGTGTTTTAATCAGATTGCAAAGAGAGAGAGAGAGAAATGGGGTTTAAGGTCCACTCGACACAAACTAGGTCATTTCGGGACTAACATATGGTTTAACTTTATTTCAATAATTTGCTTGCGCATAGGGGTCTTTAGCAGTGGGAGGAAACCGGAGGACCCCGAGAAAACCCACGAGGTTGGACAGGCGACCCTACTCCTTGTCACGTACAACCGGGGATTCGAAACCACGCCAGTCAGCTCAATGACAGACTGTATGATACAGCGCGTGCACGCTAACCATTCATCCATCCAACCCCCTAATCAGATTGCAAATGGACTAATGAGGAGGGGGATACATGACACAGTATGATATACCTGGACAGCAATTAAATTCAAACTGTCAAGGGCTTCATTATCTGCACCGCAAAAAAGTATTCAGAACCTTGGGGTTTTTTTTGTCCCATTCAAACAACTAGATGCTTTTACTTGCCAGGCCATCTGTCCTGCACAAAGGGGTAACCATGCTGGAAAATCTATTTAGGAAATTTTGCCATGACAATTACTAATGATACCATGGTTGAACTCAAATTTCCTGTCCCATCCGAATGACTCATCTATTAGGGAAATTTTGACATGACAACTGCTAATGATAAAATGGTTGAACCCATATTTTCTCTCCCATCCGAACGACTAGATATCAGCTACACAGATTCATGAATGTGACAGTCAGTGTAAGTTTGTTCTTACCTCATTCAGGGTTCCAACAGCCCCGATAATTTGTATGACAGAATATGTTAATGGAGGCTGGTTATCCATGAATTTTTTCAGGTCATCCAGTCTATCCACGAAGGCTGATGGATTCTGTTTGGCCATGTCAACAAAAATAGTTATAACCGTAGAAGCTGTTAAACCACTGGATAAAAATTCACACAACTTGTTGTAATGTTTATCCAGGACCTAAAATTATATTGAAAGAAAAGAAATGAAAACAAAACAAATGGGGTTTTTCATCGTACTTTTCTGTCTCAACTGGGCTAATGAAGACGGGCATACACCATACAGTGTGTTAGGAGGAAATTTTGTCCAGACAGCAACAATACGGCCTAATCTTATATCGAATTCCAACTGTCAAGGGTTCTTTTACGTGCAAACGACAATACATTGTCCGTTGCCAGACCCTCTGTCCAGCATCTCTGACAAAGGGAACTTCCAGAAAATTCCTATGAGCTTTCTCGGCAAACACCTGGATCGAAAATGGGACCTCCAGATTAGCGAGAGGTCTTACTCACTGAGCCACCATTGTTCCCCATCTAAAAGGAATATCAGTCGGCACGCTCGACAGATGATATAAACATCCCATCACCATTTTGATACAAAGTCCAATTATTGTAATGTGTGTGTGTGAGAGAGAGAGAGAGACCCATCAAGGATGAAACAAGAGTGAGAGAGTTTACCCTCCACTTGACACAAACTAGGTCATTTCGTGACTAACATGTTTTAATTTTTATTTCAATAATTCTCTTGTACATAGGGGTCTTTGTGAGAGGAAACCGGAGGACCTGTAGAAATCGCACTAAAATGGACAGGTGACCTTACTCCTTGACATGTACAAGCTTAGAATCGAAACAACGCCACTTGACTTTTTGACAGACCTTATTATCTAAAGCACTCATACTAAATCATTCAGCCACCAAACACCCCAAATAATTATATGAAAGAATGTTTCATTACCTCTGGCTGAAGTTAAATCATTCAGCCACCCAACCCCCCAATAATTATATGAAAGAATGTTTCGTTACCTCTGGTTGATGTTTAGCTACGAGACTAAACAGCTGAATTAAACTGACTTGTTCTATGACTTCACATTTATCTAACGTTCCCACCAGACAATCAATATGGCGGATAACTGGATCGGGATTCTGGGTAAAAATCTGGGGTAAAACTTTACTCAGTAGATAATTTCCTGAAAAACAAACATTAAACTATCGAGAATGTTATACTATGGCCGCGAAGAAGTCCAGAAACTTTTTACAAAAATGAAATTTTAGATTTAAAGATATTCCAAGCTTTTTAAGGCAATGGTGGGTGAAACATGCAAGATTTAAATTGGGGATTGAACATATCAGAAATGAATTATAGTACTAGAACACATATTTATGGATACAATCACTTGGTTTATTATACTGCAACGTTTAAACAAGATTTGTCTCATTTGTACATTAGGTATTTGCTTGAAAACGACTTGTGAAATGTTGTTGAAACGTTGCAGTATAATAAACCAAGTGATTGTATCCACCACACTAGGTGTTCTAGTACTATATCATAGATCAATTGGTAAATACCTCTCAAGAATTGGATAAGAAATTAATTTTCTAAATCCCACGAATGATAGTAATCTAGTAAGACCATTTTGAATAAAAAGGTTTACCCTCATTCAACTAACCCAATCTGATTAAAAATACAGATCTATATTTCGTTTTGATATTTTATACTTTTGATGGTCTCTACTACATGAAGATCTGACCGGTTGTAGTGGAAGATCGTATCAAAGATCATACGGGCGGCTTTGACCTTATGACGTCAGACATTTGATTAACCAACCAATGTTGATGTTTCTAATGGGTTAACCACAGTTCCGTGCACCTCATGCCAAAAGTTCGCCGTAACAAACCATTTCATTGGCTGATCCCTCACATCATCCTGAACGCGGGTTATAAAACAACTCTTCCAGATCCAAGTGTAGTAAAGACAAGTAAAATTTTGAACTATAAAAACGTAAGGAAATAGGATCTGTGTTTCAATCAGATTGCAACCAATCGCTACAGCTGAAATGTTAGATTTATGTCATGATTCTGTTCACAACACGTCTGTAACAAAGTCAGGACTTAGTCACATGACACGTGATTGCAATTCGATCAACTCAGGCCCTTTCAGACTGTAAATCAAGCACACCTGACAGAAATCATCCATTTTGTTGATTGAAAACCAAAAAGCTCACCTTTTAATACACTGGTTACAAGTAAGGGCATGTGTTTGGCTAACAGATCGGCATTATCAATGGCCGCCAAAGAAAGATAACTGGAAACGTTACATGCCAATTCCTTATTATCACAATCTAAGTAATGTACAACTGCTGGAATGGCTAATTTCATCACAGCTGTCTTGTTATAGTGCTGTAATATATCAAACATCCATTTACTCTAACTATGATTAAATATTTACAATTTACATGCAGTAATGAATGAGAACATTTGAGGTTTTGATGCGTACATGGCACATGTGCATTTTGTGTTTGCGGTTATTCTTGAACAAACAAGCCTGGAAATAAGGCACCTGTCACAGACAATGTCAGGCACAGATTCAGGCTTTGTCAGGCACAAAACCTCTGGTGCCTGTCATTTTGTTCGGCACTGATTTGTCTTTTTTTACTGATATTATTAATACATGTCCGGCACTAGTTGAAAATGTCAGTTACTATTTCATTAGGGCCTGACATTTTGTCAGGTACATCTAAAACCGTTATTTCCAGGCCTGTGAACAAAACAGAATCCGTGATCATAATTAAAGTAAATTACCAGAAATAAACAGGACATGATATCAGAGGCTATTTTAGCATGTGGTGGATCTTCATCTCTAGGACTGGTCGTCAGAGTGTGTCTATGACACATCTCCAGCAGTTTGACAAGAGCGCGGGCGTGTTCTTCAATACTCTGTGTCTCTCTATAAATATAACAAAATTACACCAAGAACGAAACAACGCTTTGATATTTCCTTCTTCTTAAATTAGTGTCCATCCCCCCCACCCCGAAATGTGATATAGCAGACTAGTTTATTATCTTAGCGCACAGACAGAGGTCTTTCCCGTAGGAGGATAAGAAGCTCCATCAAGCTTGAGTGCCATGGCCCCAAGTTTGCAAAGCATTCTCACACTTCAGTTAAGAATTTACTCAATTTTCAATCACTGTTTATGAGAAATATCTTTGATCTAGAAACACAAAACTTTGTACATAGTTTCTTATTGATATATTTGATACATTAAAACAACAAGAGTTTTTTAAAGGGCTATATTTTAATTTTAAATAAATTCTTAACATAAGTCTGAGAATGCTTTGTGAACTCGGGGCCTGACTAATACATGTATCAATGACTAGTGACTGTGTAATTGTGAAGGAAGCCATGGATATATAGAGACTCTAAATCTTGTAGCCTACTTTGTCTGCAATATCACTTCTGTGGAAGCGGACGTTAAAACACCAGGTAGTAGTAGTAGCCTACTCTAAGTAGTTTGTTTTAGGTCTGGTTCTCCGTGTAATGATATCTCTCTTTATTTACTAATTCCCTCACCTTGTCCAAACTGGGAGAACTTTTTCAGAAGAGCGATATTTGACTCTTGCAAATTAAGGAGGGCTTTGTGTAGGCTACCAGGCAAAATATAGAAAAGAATGACTGAGATTGTCTGATCTTCTGTAAACCTACCTTATTGCCGTGGTAACTCGGGTTATACAGATTTCAACGACACTCTGATCGTTATCGCTATCTTCGTATCCCTTCTGATCAGCGATCTCATAGATTCTATCCACAACTTCTGATAAATCATGCTCGATATCATTATCTTCTACAGTAAATAATTCACCAGCCTTCGACAAATCTTTATGAGTTAAAACTTCACTGAACAGTGGATGCATCATATTGATGTGCTGTTCCAAAATAAAAAAAAACAATGTGACAATTCACAACTTTTGTCTCGTTTAGAATTTGAAATGGTATTTTTACCCTCACAAAGAAAATAAATGCAATTAATATCGAACCATTAATAATATCATATTCAACATAATTTTAGATGCAGATTGGATTCATGTGATTATCATGTCTTCTGCTGTGGATGCCAAACGTTCATTTCATCATATCTTTAATACAATGTACTAAACGGATTTGAACCATTTTTGAGAGAGAGAGAGAGAGAGAAAATGGGTTTAACATCCACTCGACACAAACTAGCTCATTTCGGGACTCTTTAGGCTTTTTTATCGACTTGCCAAATCGGTTTGAATTTAGTGGAGATGTCATGTGACAGTATAGTCGATTTCAAAGTACTTTGACGAGTTGGCGAGTTCGTTAAATACTCCAATTAGCTGTAAACAATTGTTGTGGCTGGACACAGTTGATAAAAAAACACGTGATCACCCGATCAATTCGTCAAATCGCACCCTGAAGTGATTTGGCGATTTGGTGTAATCGTTTCGGAAATCGGTGTCGATAAATTCGTTGATTAGCCAAAGTGATTTGCATTCAATCAAATTTTCATCTTTAACGTCCATCTAATTCAAATTGGTTACCCTAATCAACGAATTTATCGACACCGATTTCCGAAGCGATTACATCAAATCGCCAAATCACTTCAGGGTGCGATTTGACGATTTGATCGGGTGATCACATGTTTTTTTCAACTATGTCCAGCCTCAACAATTGTTTACAGCTAATCGGAGCATTTAACGAACTCGCCAAAGTACTTTGAAATCGACTATACTGTCACATGACATCTCCACTAAATTCAAATCGATTTGCCAAGTCGATAAAAAAGCCTTAAAGATGAATATTTGATTGAAAGCAAATCACTTTGGCATCAGTGGTTGATAAAAACGCCTATAGTCTACCAACTATGTTCTGTAGTCAAATGGAATATTATTTTTTCACCAACTGGCAATGACCACTAAGATTTCAATGCTTATTTAAACACTCAGATAACAGACTTGTCATTTGCCCTGCAATTCATCAAATGTTTTAAACCTTTTTTAAAAGTTCGAACTAAAAGTTCACTTTGAAAGTTTATCTAAATATCAGTTATATATGATGAATTGCTTTCCAGAAGTTAGTCCATAAGTCATGGTCATGGATGCCAGGACAATATACTTTTACTTTTGCTTTTTGGGTCCAGTGCCAGTGCTGCACCGACACCAGCAGGAAATCCTTGCAAAATTGTGCGTAAAGACAGTGATATTTCATTTAATCATGATACAGGAAGCCTTGTCTCCATACACATTACGAGTTTTTCTACTGTCTGATTCATCGTAAATTTTAAACGGATTTCTTCGATTATGAACAAACTACTTAAGGTTGGTTATTATAAACTTACCTGTGTGTTTGTAATGAACTCCCGTTCGATAAAATCCATTGCACAACTAATTATCACAACGATGAAAACAAGTTCTCTCTTGAAAAATTGAAATATCACAAACTTTTCCCAGAGAAAAATACCAATATGGAAGATGGTTACGTCACTCTGCGGAAGATATCATTTCGTATTAGGGGTGACAGCATAGGAAATTCAAGTACAATTACGACAAGAATCCATGACCACTCGGACCAAAGATCACTCGGTTCAAGACCAGTCGGACCAAGTGATAGACCACTCAGCCCAAACAAATAGACTACTCGGACCATACAAAAAGACTATTCGGACCCAACAGAAAGACGACTCGGACCAATAATAAAATGTTGTTTTAATAAATTGATAATTGCGTTTGTTTTAATATAATTACTCGAACCAATAATAAAGTGTTATTTTAATAAATTGATAATTGTGTTTATTTTAATATGACTACTCGAACCAATAATAAAGTGTTATTTGAATAAATTGATAATTGTGTGTGTTTTAATATGACTACTCGAACTAATAATAACGTGTTGTTTGAATAAATTGATAATTGTATTCCAAATCGCAAAATATCGAGAACCACACTTGTAGTCACGTTTAAAAAGGGGCATATAAACGTCCGGTCTTCGTATTATTATGTGCTGTTTATATTAACGCATCAAGGGCGGATAACTTGAAAACGTGTCTCCACCCCCCCCCCCCCCCCATATATAGTAACCCAGGGGTTAGTGGGGTAGAACGGAATGAAACCACTGGGGATACCGCAAATGTGGAAAAAGTAAAATTAGGCTATCAGACAAGAACAGTATACCCGTATATGTAGAAACTGTCAAAAGTCTGGACATACCGAGTCTCATTGCAAGAGTAAAGAAAAATTAGATTGATATTTTTTTTTGGCACCATTATTAATTAATTTTAAAACTAATCGTTGATTTATTTACGTACACAAAATTGAACCAAACAACTCTAAATATAAGAATTCCGTATAAGAATTATTTGCTTCTTTGTATTGTGATTTAATAATAAATAAATAGCATATTGTCTAGCCTTATAATATAATTTAATTGGTCCGACTGGTCTTGTTTTGGTCCGACTGGTCTTAGTCCGAGTGGTCTGGATACCTACGACAATTGGCATTGAGTTTGAGCGTTCGCACACATAACTACCCGCATTCCTGTATTTAGTTACCGTCTTTTACATTCTAGTAAAATCTCTGCAAATTTTATAGCTTTACTTTTTGAAATATTTTGTTCTAATTATTTGATTAGCGACTCGGATGGGATTATTTACTTTTGAACACGCATGTCGCACAAACACAACTATACTTTCGTTTTACGGGCTTTATCACACTTCGGTCAAAACTGTCGAATCGAGAATTAATGTTCCGCTTCTTACTGGGTCATACGGGCTTAGTAGCATTATATACCCACCCGGGCAACACGCTTAAAGATGTTACTGAAGCGGTTATTATTTGATCGAAAGAATGCGTATAAAATTAAAAATACACTCAGAGAATTCGGAGGTAAGCTTCATGATCCTTGTTAAATTATTTATAACATAAAGAAGATAGGATATTTATAGTTTATTCATGACTTTATTTTTACGAGTATCCGTGCAATCAGTGATATTTTAATTGTGAAGAAAATTTGATAGACTGGCGATCAATGGTTTCCATATAAATCTCCTATGTAATTGCCTTCAATTTATATTTTTCGTCGCCCAAACCCATATACGATCAAAATGATCGCACTGTCAAACTATCTTTCAATGTTAACCAACCCCCGCAACAGGTATATTGGATTCGACCAATACGTCACGAAGACATTGTTGACATCGACTCTGTCGAAATTACAAGTAAATTTTCAAATTTTTCAAGAGAGAAATTGTTCTCATCGTAGTGATAATTAGTTGTGCAATGGATTTTATCGAACGGGAGTTGATTACAAACACACAGGTAAGTTTATAATAACCAAAGTTAAGTAGTTTGTTCATAATCGAAGAAATCCGTTTAAAATTTACGATGAATCAGACAGTAAAATATCTGTTTTCTAATATAAATAAAAAAAAACAATCAACATGTTATTAATTCTGATGATGCGACTGAACTGACAGTTTTAATTTTATAGGCCTATAGGCCTAAAACGTCAAAAAGCTGTCGTTTTGAACTGCATCAATAACATCCTTACAAATGTTGTAAGTTTAATGAAAGTCAACTCACCGTCTGCTGGCTATAGACGAGCCAACGCCGATTATTTTGATGGCTTTAAACGCAAATTAACCTGGAAAATCATTGATTTACTTGTACTTTTTACAAAATAAACATTTCTCTCTGACAGACCGGAAATCCATGTTTGTTAATCTAAGGGAGGTGACTCCCATTCATGTATTTTGACTTCCAGTATTTTGCCATAAAATTTAAAGGGAAGGTGTCAAAAAATTTATACAAAAGATAATTTACTTTCATAGGATTGAAAAAAAATCTGTCTTTGGAATATAAGTATTCCTTACATTCTTGATAAAAAAGAGCTGCCAGGCAACACTTTACCATATGAACCGTTTATATTATAAGGTTCACGATATTGTAGGCTAGGCCCTACCCTAGGGCAAACTCATTGGCCAAGAAAGTTCATCAAGATTTTCCGGCGTGGTTCCCCCTTGTCCGTGATGCAGGACATAGGGTCTGTCTAGTCGTTCGGATGGGACAAAAAAAACCCGAGGTCCCGTGTACACACTGGCGTGCACGTAAAAGATCCCTTGACAGTTGGAATTCGATATAAGAGTAGGCCACAGTGCCGCTGTCCGGGCAAAATTTCCCTCATAGCACACTGTATGGTGTATGCCCGTCTTCATTAGCCCAGTTTGGACCAGAACAGTAGGACGTTAAACTCCATTTCATTTCATTTCTAGGGCAAACTCCAGACCTCCTGGTTAGCGATCCACTGAAGTAACCACGACAACTACCTAAAATATTGATTAATATAAAGTGCATATAAAACCCCTTAAAGGGACAATAACACTCTTGCTGACTTGACAGCTCCAAAAAATAAATAATAGCCGGTTTCTAAGTACTAGATGTTTAAGTGTCCTACCTGTTGTGTAAATTATCCATTAAATCCTATTTTACTTGTCCAGAGGGTTCTAAAATATTTTTAAATCCAAGTCACATTTGAAAAGGTTTACGTTAGGCTTTTCAAATCATTTAGTTGAATTTTTCCAATTTTTTAAATTAGGTGTGTTAAGATGAAATTTGTATCACCAATTAATTGGAATATTGTAAAATAGTACAATTTGTTGACCAGAATAAAGATTGGGACATATTATTCAGTTACAACAAGAGTGGTATTGAGCCTTTAAGCAAGGCGCATATATAATCTTTTAAAACATGTACATTCTCCAGGACGTGCAACAGAATGCCCTCATCAGGAATCAGATCCTGATTGTCCCCAGGCATGGAATTGATGCACCTCTATTGAGTGAGCCCAAGGGAATACCGCACAACTAAGTCAGTAGGTATATAGTATATTTAAACTCACAGGGCAAAAAAATCTAGGCGTCCCTAGATATATACGAAGAGTGACACAGTACACCACATTTTTACACTAGGATACAGGCCTGGAAATAACGGTTTTAGATGTACCTGACATTTTCATTTTAGTGCCAGACATGTATTAATAATATCAATAAATAAGTCAAATCAGTGTCGGACAAAATGACAGGCAACAGAGGTTTTGTGCCTGACAAAGCCTGAATCTGTGCCTGACATTGTCTGTTACAGGTGCCTTATTTCCAGGCTTGCTTGGATACATCCATAAACAGGTTTCTAACAATATAACAAACAAAAATATTAATACTTTTAAAAATATAACATTTATTATAATATTTATTTATTTTATCTCATAAGTGATATTTTATATATTACCAATAAACAAAATAATATATATTAAACTATATAATTTTAGAACATAAATAATCATTTAACGTCCTGATGCGTCATTTTAGCGCAATAGGAATCATTTGCAAACTACAGGATGGTGAAAGGTGATTGATAGTCCAAAAATTACAAAGATATGTGGAATAGAAATTTGATCGCTCTATGCAGCTGCCTACTGGCCATGCAATAAGTTCGCCGCCATTTTGTTATCACCGAAAATTTAATGATAGACTTATTTAAATCAGATTAAATCCAAGCCGCGATATTATCTAGCGTTAGTATTTTGATTTTGTTTTCTTAAAGATACATTATGGGAGATTAGATAAAGAGTTGGCAGTTCTCGCTATAATAGTTAAAAACAAGATAATGTAAAGGGAATTTGCTGAAAATTTTAGTCAAATTGATTCATTATAAACCGATAATTAAGTAATTGAAATTTTGGCCTAGCCTCAGTCATAATTTCTAAAGTATGTACAATAAAAAGCATAGTCTCGATCATCCATTTCATGATTAAATTATGAATGGAAGTCCGAGCAGCAAATGGGATCATAATCTAGTAAATATCGCAGGCTAGCGATGCCATCGAGAGTTGATTAATATCTAATTAATAATTTAGATAATATTTCAGGCCTAAAGAAAGACCTGCAATAGGCAGATTTAGCTCTTGCATAATGTATGTTTAATAAAATGTTAAATAATCGATCTTAGTACATACTGACTTGGACTATCCGTGAGAAAATTGATATTTTAGCAACACATGCGCATCGTTACTTTAAAAGGGAAAATTGTACAAAGAAAAGGAAGAAAAACACATAAATTGTAAACAGGAGACAGAGCAAACTAAACACAAACTAGGTCATTTCAGGACTAACATATGGTTCAAATTTATTTCAATAAATTGCATGCCCGTAGGGGTCTTTAGCAGTGGGAGTCAACCAGAGGACCTTTAGAAAAGCCACGATGTTGGAAAGGGACCCTATTCCTTGTAACGAAGAAGCAGGAATTTGTAACGACGCCACTTGACTCAATGACAGACCTTATGATGTATATCGCACCCGACCCCCACATGGTAAACAACATAACTCTTTTGGAAACAGGTTAGCAAACCAACGTCTTACTCACTGCGTATCCGTGGCTCCAGGAAATAAAATGAAAGGTTGTTTAACATCTTACTTCCACGTTGGCTAAGTGGGTAAGACGCTGTTTTTCTAGCCTGGAGGTTGGGTGTTCGATCAGGATTTTACGACGAGGTTTCCCCTTGTCAGTGGTGCAGGACGGAGGGCCTGGCAAGGACAGCTGTCTAGTCATTCGTATGGGACAAAAAAAACGAGGTCCTGTGTATACATTGGCATGTACTAAAAGATCCCTTGGCAGTTGGAATTCGAAATAAAAGTAGGCCATAGTGTCGCTGCCCGGGGCAAAATTTTCCTCATAGCACACTGTATGGCGCATGACCGTCTTTATTAACCCAGTCGGAGCAGAACAGTAGGACGTTAAACCCCCATTTCATTACATTTCACTTTAATGAAGGGTTCTTATACCGAACACAAATTTAACAATTCTGTGGCTCCCTTCTTGCTTCCACGAAGGATGAGCAACAGATAAAACAAATTAACAAACAGAAATAAATATTCAACAACAAAAAAGATGTCCTAATTCTTCAAGTGGGTGCAGAGCCCAGCTTAACTGGAGCGGGGCTCTGGGCCTAACTAGAATCGAGGGGGCCCTAACGCAACGAAAAGATTAGTTCATATCCTTTTGAACGGCACGCATGCGTAACACACAATTAAACGGTCTGTAATACAAGAATAATTACATATCTGATCACATACAAAATCAATTCAGTTCCGAGTGGCATACAAGTCTATGGAACTTCACAGAGAAGGTTAAGGGATAGCTCAGTCTCCGCCCTCGCGCCGCTAGATAGATTACCGTGAAACTTTCATCTGGAATTTGAATTTTTTTCTTTTTGTCATGAATCGAGGGGCCCACTAAACCGCGGCGCCCTGGGCCTGGGACCCTCAGGCCCATGCCTAAGCTGGGCTTTGAGTGAGTGTGTTCTTGGATCAGAAAAATCAATTTAAATGGCTTGATTATTGATACATATAATTATTTGTGGATGTTCCCCCAGGTTGATGTTGTTCGGTAGTATATGGGCTATCGGTTACAGGTGGACGTTGCTGGGTAGTATATGGGCTATCAGTTACAGGTGGAAGTTGCTGGGTAGTATATGGGCTATCAGTTACAGGTGGACGTTGCTGGGTAGTATATGGGCTATCAGTTACAGGTGGACGTTGTTGAGTATAATATGGACTATCAGCTACGCGTTGATGTTGTTGGTCAATACCTGTATATGGGCTATTAGTTACAGGTGGATGTTGTTGGGCAATACCTGTATATGGACTATTAGTTACCGGATAATTTGGATTAAAACAATTTTCAGGGTTCTGTTGGTAGAAATTGGTTGGCGGGTTAAAAGATCTGTCATTTATGTTCAGCTGCGGAGTGTAGATGTGAGAACCCTGGGAAGAGTTGTTATATGTTTCACCTGGAAAAGGATTAACGACTGGCGGTTTCTGGTCTTGATGAATATAGGCAGAGGGTGGATATTGTGAATAATTGGTTAGAGGGGCTCCGTGAAGGTACTGATTCAAGGTACCTGTATTGGGACTCATAACAGAAGTAGCTTGAGGATCAAACATATTATGACCAAAAGCCTCTGAAGAACCTCTTTGACCTTGATGACTGTTTATAGGGGGTTGATAATCAGTCGTTTGAGACCCTGGAGGTGATTGGAAACTCCTTTGATTGACATTTGGTGAATAACCCAGCCCTTGTTTCATTTCATGAACATGTGGCGTAGGAAGGTTTTGGTGAAGTGGACTTGACATCGGAATCGGAATTAAACCATAAACAGAAGGCTTCACATCCGTGCCTGTAATTTGTGGGTTTTTCATCTTCATGTCATTAGTAGAACTATTTTCTGCATCGGGCCGCGAACTATTTTCTGTGTCGGGACACAAAATGTTTACTGCGTTTAGATGCAAACTATTTTCTACATCTGGACACGAACTACTTTCTGTGATTGGTTGAGAACTATTTTCAGATATTTTAAGATCACCAACTGTGTCTTTCTGATCTTCCATGTCTTGTTCCGTCTGCTTCTCTAGAAGGGCAACTCGTTCTTTTAAAGCCTCTAGATCTGATTGCTCACTTTCTTTCGTCTCTCCCTTTTTTTTATTTGCTGCTTTTCTTTTTGGTCCTTTCTTGGTTTTCTCCTCCTTAAATTTCTAAAATATAAAAGCAAACTAAGTTTCTCCTTTATACATGTATTACATAAACGTGAAGTTTGGTTATTGACAAAGAGCGGGAGAGTAAATGGGTTTAACTTCTGTTCAACACAAACTCTAATTGAAATACAGATCTTTTGTTTCGGTTTTTTTTTATACATTCGATGACCTTCCGGTTGTAGTGGAAGATCGCGTCAGGGGTCATACGAACAGCTTTTGACCCTATGACGTCAGACATTTGATTAACCAATCAGCATTAATGTTTCTAGTGTGATACCCAGTTACCCACAGTTCCGTGCACCGCACGCCAAGAACTCACTGTAACAGACCATTTCATTGGCTAATGCCTCACATCAACCAGTTATATAACAACTCTTCCAGGATCTAGTCAGTAAAGACAAGTACACGTAAAACGAAATTTTGAACAATAAAAAACAAAATGAAACAGGATCTGTGTTTTAATCAGATTGACACAAACTAGGTCATTTCAGATTGACACAAACTAGGTCATTTCAGATTGACACAAACTAGGTCATTTCAGAGTGACACAAACTAGGTCATTTCAGAGTGACACAAACTAGGTCATTTCAGATTGACACAAACTAGGTCATTTCAGATTGACACAAACTAGGTCATTTCAGATTGACACAAACTAGGTCATTTCAGATTGACACAAACTAGGTCATTTCAGATTGACACAAACTAGGTCATTTCGGATTGACACAAACTAGGTCATTTCAGATTGACACAAACTAGGTCATTTCAGAACTATCTCTTGATTTAATTTTATTTCAGCTGTGGGAGGAAATCAGAGGACCCATATGATTTAAATAAAAACAAATTACTGTATGTAATTCCTCAGGATCAGGTACTAATTAATCAAACATACATGTACTCTCATTTAAATCCCAAGGGATCAGGTATTGGTCAATCAAACAAACCCTCAACGGGGCTCAATGTATCAGATACATGATCATAGGTCATTTTAAAGCATCAACAAACTTTTAAAGATGCATTATGTAAGATTTCTGATTTAGAAAGGGTTAGGGTTAGGGATATTAAAGATCTATTATGTAAGATTTAGATCAAGACCTGACAGTTCTTCATCTATAATAGTTTAAAAATAGTTAATGAAAAATGAATATATTGCAATTTCAGTCAAATTACTTCATTCTGGGTAATATTTACCCCCACGCGACACAAACTAGGTCATTTCGGGACTAACAAATGGTTCAATTTTATTTCAATAATTCGCTTGCGCGTAGGGCTCTTAAGCAGTGGGAGGAAATTTGAGGACCCAGAGAAAATGCACAAGGTTAGACAGGCGACCCTTCTCCTAGTCACGTACATGTATATCCGGGGAATCGATGCCATGCCAGTTGACTCAATGACAGACCTAATGATACAGCGTGCATGTGCTAACCATTCGATCATCCAACCCTCCATAATTCATATAACATTTAAAGCCAAAAGAAAGACTTGCAATAGGCAGATTTAGCTCTTTAAGTGAAAAAAAACATATTTCCAATCAAACTTTCAATTTTCTTACCACTTCTTTCAGTTTTTCAGGATATTGTTTTTTTGCAGACGCACTCCTAGATTTGCCGTCTGTTTTAGCTTTGCGGCCTGGTTTCCCTTTACGACCCTGTAATAGTATTTTTTCTGCTTCGTAGTCCCGTTTCTGATTTTCTTTAAATATACCATGTTTTTTCAGATGCCAGTTGAGAGCTGTTCTTTGTCGACAACGATAGTCACAGTGCTCACACTTTAGCGGTTTTTCGTCCGAGTGAATTCGCAGATGAACTAACAGATGTTTGTGTGCGTAAAAAGTCTTCGTGCAGCCGGGCCAAGTACAGCTGATGGACCGTAATTTTAAATGAACCATATTGATATGTTCTTGCCGTACTCTTTTAGATTTAAACGTCAACTGGCAGTCTTCATGCGTGCAAACAAGATTCCTCAACCCAAGATGTTCGCTGTCGTAGTGTTTTTTCATCCTCTGTACCGACACGTATGAACGATTGCAGCCTTTGAACTTACATTTGACCGTTTTTTTCATGTGGCTAAAACTATGATTCTTTAACTCCTTCTGTTGAAAAAAACATCTCCCGCAGGTCTCACAGACATGATTCTTGACCGGGGGTTCCCCTATCTGATGATCCTTGTAAACGTGAACGCAAAGATCCTCATTTCTTCCGAACATCTGTGCGCAGACGTGACACATGTGTGGATATTTACAATATTTTGGTCCCGGATGTTCCTTCTTCATGTGTTCTCGCATGGATTTATACGTCTTCGTACTGAACATACATTCTGTGCAGTTATGCTCCTCAACATGAAAAACTTTAAAATGATGAGCACGTCCATGTTCTGTTTTGTGTCTTCCATCACACTCCGTACACACGAAGGGATAATTATGTTCTCTAACATGACATTCGGCTTCGCGTTCCGAATCAAATTTTTCCAGACATTTTGAACACATATATTGGTATTCGAAACTCTCTACGCACTTGTGGACGACGGCGTCGTCAGCCAATAATCGAGCTTTCTTTTCCTCTGCATCGCTGTCCACTTCTGCATCCCAGTCTTCGGAAAAATTATCGTCACTCACACTGTCCTCTATTTCCTCTGACGATGGACTCCAATCGGAATCTTTAACAACGCGTTCTTCGACCCGGAGTTTCTGAACAAGCCCCTCGTCGTACTTGACAGGATCAAAGTCATCATCACTTCCCGAAGCATCCTTTGCTTCTGATTCCGAAGCTGAGCCAATATCCAAATAAAGGCTGTAATTTTTTTTAATACCCCGGGTCTGTCGCCCACTTCTTCTCCTTGGTTCGTCCTTTGGAGAATTCTCATTTTCATTCTTTACCTCTTCTTCAGATTCCATAATGCTGTTGTATTTTTATTATTTTCTTGGTTAACTACTGAAATAGAAACAAAATGGGTTATAAATACATGTAGAAGCCTGGACAGGGGACCTAGCTACGACCTACTCTTATTATGAATCCCAACAGTCAGAGAAAACCGACAAAGTTGGAAATGAAATGAAGTTTAACGTCCTGCATGTAGCCTACTGTTCTGCGCTCCGACTGGGCTAATGAAGACAAGCCTACTCCATAGTCACTATAGATATTATAGAAATGGAAATGAAATGGGGGTTTAATGTCCAACTGTTCTCCGCTCCGACTGGGCTAATGATGACGGGACAAGGTTAAAAGTATTCATAAACTGTATATGACTCTAAGGTCATCATGCTTTAATCTTTGTAAGAGTGATAACATCTTTAAAGTCATATACACCAAGAGAACCAACAGCTAAACTAAAAAAAAATAACTATAATGCTGGCAACTCCAGTGATGGCGAGATCTATTTTCCGAGGCTAAATGCATAATTTGTCATGGTCGTCGGGATGTATACCTAAACAGGGTTACGGCATGTGATTTATAATTGTTGCTGAGGATTGTGGGTTAATTTTTACGGTAAGGTTAGGGTTAGGGCTAGCCTTGTTTACATGTAAATCTCGTAATTAAGAAATTTAGCCTTGTAAAATTGATCTAAAAAAAATACATAGGTACACACTCCTACTCTTTTACTTTTACCATTGAAAGTTTCGTTAAAAATAAATAATATTTGCTGTTTATCTAACGACTCTAGATATTTTCAGTGTCAATTTATTCTAGCAACAATTTCATTAAGCTACCCCTTTAAGACGATTTCATAAACAAACGAGCTCGGTTCTATTTTTAGGTCACGCCATTGTAAGTAGAAAATGGCCGGCGATCAGTAGACGAATTTTGCATTCTGAGCAATTTAAAGACAAACAACGCCGTTTGACAGTGCAATGCCTAAAGGAAATGGAATCAAATGCCTATTAATAAAACACTAACCACTTTAAGTTTTAAAGTTTTCAAACGTTCCCAATGAACGCAAATAATGCAATCAACACCGCTGTCATTACGTAACATCCAAATTCCCAACCGGAAATTTTAGACGAAATACTGGGTTTTTTTTCCAATCTTTAATATAATCAACCATAAAGTCATTGGCAGTTTGTGTCAGTTGGTTTAGTTTAGCGTAAATCCAAAACAAATTGTATTCTTAAGTTTATTGTCACTGCTTATTGTTTATTTGCCAGTAAACTTCTATAATTGTGCGTCCATTTTCGTTTCGGTGAAAAACGTTTTACACCTACAGAATGTGGGTCAGTTTTTTCAAGACGGGCAGACCCCATAAAAAATTGTTTGACTAAAATAATGAATAATAGATGTCAGAAATGAATTATTAAATAAGTAAAAATATACATTGACTCTATTCAGTTAAGTTTCAGTAGCTTAACTGTTTGTTTCAAAGTGAAACATGTATAGATAGTCGTACTAGGAGCCACCTGGACTAGATTTATTTCTGAAGGCCAACTCAAGATTTCGTGAAAGGTGGCTGAGATGTACATTGTAAATAAAAGGCTAGGGCACGTGATCAGTGGCGGCGCCAGGGGGGGGGGGGCAGACCATTAATCTGGTCTGCCCTCTGTTTGCCCCCCCCCCCCCCAATAATTTTAGAAAATAAAAAAAAGTATTTGTGATACGTTTCGGTAATCAATACCTTCAACGGTGAATAAATCCCACATCCCCACTCAGTCATAAACTTGCATGTTGTAGAGCATTTCCGACAGTCTATTTTTCAAAATTTTCTTGGCGAGGTCCCCAATGGACTCGCTATAACTTTGGCGTTCACAAGGGGAATTCGTTGAGGTTCGCAAGTCCGTTCGTTTGACATTTTGTTCTGATCTAGTCGGATAAATTAGTGATCAGGCGACGGACGGTATCTGGTCAGATCTATTTAATATCTCTACGATCGGTGCCTGGGAATACTGTAAAGACAGCATTTCCGGCAGTCTATTTTTCAAAATTTTCTGGGGGAGGACTCCCTCCTTTGACGCTCGTGAGTGGGCTTCGTCGTGATTCGCAAGTCCGTTCATTTGACACTATACCTCATCGATCAGTGCCTGAAATACTGCCAGGCTGCATTTCCGCCAACCTGTTTTTCTAAATTTTCTGGGGGAGGCCCCCTTCGCCTAGTTGAAGCTCGTGCCTTTGCCCCCTTAACCTTGGACTTTGCCCCTCCAATCACCGACGGCTGGCGCCGCCACTGTACGTGATTGTTGGCGAGATTATATATAGGTTAGGTTTAAGAATTTGGGGGGAGAGGTTAAGTCTCCACATAAGCACTGACCTAGGATGATGAAAAATTAGTTCGTGATATTTCCTAGTTTTATTAAAATACATACAATACATTAGATTTATATACAAAGGCGATTTCACTGTTTATTGGTGTTGGTGGCGCTGATGGTCTTCCTTGGGTGGTGCTTCTGGTATTCTGGTATTGTTGTTTCTGAAGAGAAAAGAAAATAAATTTGAGGCTCTCGGGAGAGAGCCACATTAGTGTGTTTCCTACAACGGATTGGATTTTATAAAAAAATCGTGTTTGTTCCACATCACCGGGTTACGGCTAGGGATTCTTATATCTACTTGATTTTAATTACTAACGGTTAGGCATAGGATTTGATATATGGTTTGTTTTGGGTCAGGGTGGAGACTGGTCTTATTTAATCTAATTTACTGTGCACTAGGATGTCGTTCAGATTTTTATTTTTAGAATATGCAATTATAAGTTTCTGTGTGAATATTTTCGGGTGATTTTCTTGGAGATCAGTATAGTGTTTTCTGATGATTTTGGACGCACTTGCTGCTGTTGCGCTAAATGGAACTACAAAAGGAGCTATTGCGCTAGCCGTATGAATATTCAAACCTAGGGGGGCTGTTGTTTTCAATTTGTCAATCCAGAATTTTTCTCTTGTTAGCCTAAACGTTTTAATTTCTTCTGAAGTTTCAAAGTCGCTCTTGGTCTTTTCTATTGGCGTGACAATGAGATCTGAAATGTCATGATTTGGTTGGTTGAAATGAATTGAGACAGGTTTGTCTTTTTTGGTGACTATGTCAGACCGGTGACCGTTAATTCTTTCCCTAAGTGCATTTTGAGTCTCCCCTACGTATTGCTTGTCACATTTTCTGCATGAGATAAGATAAATTATGTTTGAACTACTGCATGAAAGTTGGTCTAATATTGGGAATTTTGTGCCAGATGTTTTGTTATGGAAATGGTCGGATATGTTTAAGATTTTGCATGTTTGACATCTTGGATGGCCACAAATATTGGTTTTATGTGCTGATTGTATATTATTTGTTTCTTTGGCGGCAAGCTCAGCTAGAGTGTTGTTTTTTATACGTCGTAGATAGCGTTTGGAGTATCCCCTTTCCCGTAGTTTGCTAAATACCAATGTACATGCTGACTCAAAGTCGGTCTTCTGAGTACATATCCTATGAAAACGGAGAATCTGAGATTTTATGATGCCAGAGAATGTATGTTTTGGGTGAAAGGAGCTTTTGAACAATAATTGATGTGTGTCGGTTTCTTTGAAAAATACTTTAGTTTCCAATTGGCCTGTGATTTTGGTGTTGTTACTTTTAAAAACGGTAGTATCAAGGAAATCTATGCTGTTATGGCTTACATTTGCGGTTAATTTGATAGATGGATGATGATTGTTCAGGATGTTGAAAAACGTCCAAAATTCGTCTAGTGTGTAGGTCCAGACTATGAAAACGATCGATCAGTGCCTGAAATACTGCCAGGCTGCATTTCCGCCAACCTGTTTTTCTAAATTTTCTGGGGGAGGCCCCCTTCGCCTAGTTGAAGCTCGTGCCTTTGCCCCCTTAACCTTGGACTTTGCCCCAGCTTTGCCCCTCCAATCACCGACGGCTGGCGCCGCCACTGTACGTGATTGTTGGCGAGATTATATATAGGTTAGGGTTAGGGTAAGCGTTAAGCCTCAAGGGCTAGGCCCAGGGTTATGATTAAGATTCGCGCTATATATACTCCTGTTTACATCTCGTGACGTTTGGCCAAACTTAATTGGAGTTGGCCTTATCTGAAATAGACCTAATTTTAACCGAGCTTCCACCTATATAGAGTGATGTCGCTTGTTATATTACCCATTCATCATACTTGTGTCATTATCAGATCAGTTTGAGGTAAATGTGTATTCTGAGATGATTATCATATTGTTTGTTCTATTAGTAAATGTGTAACAGCTAGATTAAAATTATCATTTGTCTTGTTTGTAAATATATATATTATTTCAGGGGCGGATCCAGGAATTTTTGCAGGAGGGGGTTTGCCAGGTTCCTGTTAAGGAAATCTGTCATCATCGTCTCTAAATTACACAGGCATACATACAGATTGAGCTTTTTAAAGAGAAATCATTTTTGTAATGATGTAGGAACACATTGTGATTTAATTTCATTGATGCAAGGCATACAATTTTTTTTATGTACCTGAGCAGGGTTTTGTTTGGACCCCCAGCCCCCCTCTCTGGATCCGCCCCTGTATTTGTCATATTGTTATAATTTTATGTACATGTTTATATATTGCATGCTGTCCTATCAATGGATGTTTCGATACAATAAAATCTTAAATCTTAATCTTATGTTTTTTATACTCCAGATAACCATCAGATATAATCCATTATATAATTATTTTATTGGCTAAATGCTACTAGGGCCTATCATATAGTTGTCCAATAGAAAAATATATAAACATATGTAAATTTGATTTCGGTATTTGAAATGGAAGCTGTGTCTAGAATATTCGTTAGGTCAATAACCGGGAATGGCATCTACATAAATAAGCTAGAATACTGCAATTAGACCATATAGCCTGTTGACTGGGAAAGATTTATGTTTGGCCGCAAAGATCACAAGATGTAAACAGGGTTTGTTACAAATGGCGCTGAATCTCATTAATGTTTATTTTGTTTTAAATATTAGATATCAGAAGCCCATCTTTTCCCGGTAAGATCACAACATCAATGTTGATTTAAATTGACAAATATTTCTCGTTTTCAATGTGGAAGACTTTGGATGATATTGAGTTAGAGACTTGGCTACTTAATTAACTACAATAAGAACGTTTTTTCCACATTCGAGACATTTTTGTTTTGACATTTTACATGGAATAATCGGGTTGACAATTTGGAAATATTGTTTTAACCACTTCGCCCCGGCCGTGTATTAACAAGAATTGAAATTAAACGTGCCATTGTTCTGCTCACTGGGCTAATGGGGACAGCCCCCCCCCCCCCGCCCGTCCCCCGCCCGTCCCCCGCCCCAACACTAACGACCCCTAATCAAATAAAATTGAGCCATATATATCATTTGTCTTGTTTGTAAATACATGTATATATCTATTATTTGTCATACTATATCTTTATATACATGTTCATATTGTATGCTGTTCATGTGTCGAGGGAGCCACGGTGGCTGGTTGGTTAAGACGCTGGCTCGCTAGCCTGGAGGTCGGGTGTTCGATCCCTGCATTGGCGGAGAAAGTTCATCTGGATTTTCCGACGTGGTTTCCCCTTGTCAGTGGTGCAGAACGGAGGGCCTGACAAGGACAGCTGTCTAGTCCTTCGGATGAGACGAAAAACCGAGGTCCCGTGTATACATTGGAATGCACGTAAAAGATCCCTTGGCAGTTGGAATTCGATATAAGAGTAGGCGATAGTGCCGCTGCCCGGGCAAAATTTCCCTCATAGCACACTGTATGGCGTATGCCCGTCTTCAATAGCCCAGTATAGGAGCAGAACAGTAGGACGTTAAACCCCATTTCATTTCATTTCATGTGTCAAGAGGATGTTAAACCCCATTTCTCCAACACGTGTCCTTTATCCCCAATTAGTTAACAGCCCATGTGGCTAGCATTATGTTAATCCTTCAAGATAAGATTATCACACTAACGGATTCTTGTTTTTTCTCGTGGTGCAAGACAGCGTGTATCGCCCCGCGCAGGCTCTTCTATTAGTGTTTTGCCTTGACAGTCATGTAATATAGAGGAGCCCGGCAGGTGACAGGGTCACGGACGAGTATGCGAGTGAGGGGGAAATGGGGTTTACCGTCCACTTAAATTGTCACGTATAACTGGGAAATCGAAACCACGCCAGTTGACTTAATGACAGACTTTTTTATACAACGCACACGCGCTACCCCCCCCCCCCCCCACACACACACACGCGGACGAGTATGCCTTGGTGGACTTGTGTTTCGTTGTTTAAAAAACAAACTAAGTCTCCTATTTTAAATGCCATATCAGGACCGATGGAAAATCGAGGCGTTCTAACGTACGCGTGCATGTGCTTGTGGGTGAGACAGCTATACAAGTAGTTTCAACCCCAAGCTTGTAGGCCTATGTAACGAGGGTTATGGTCCTCCGATTTTATTCCTCTGCTAAAGACCCATAAAAATTATTGAAATAAAATTGTATTATACACTAGTCAAGAAACTCTCTCTCTCTCTCTCTCTCTCTCTCTCTCTTATCATGCTAAATCATAATGTACACGATGTATATTACACATTTTTTACCACAATTACGTTAACAGTTATTTTTACCCGAGTTCATTGAAATAATATTTCTTTCTCTTAAAATCCTCCCTGAAAATCGTCAATACCCCCCCCCCCCCCAACCTTTCTTATTGGTAAATGAATAACAAGTAATATAGTGAATGGTATACATGTGCGTATTGTAACAACCTATAATCGGTGTAAATATTACTAGTTCGAGGTTACACTTTGCCATGGGTCGTTACCCTCGATATAGTATAAAAGGGGTACTGGGCAATACTTCATAGGACATTGTATCAAATGAATTGAAATGGGGTTTAACGTCCTACTGTTCTGCTCCGATTGGGCTAATAAAGACGAACATACGCCATACAGAGTGCTATAAGGAAATTTTGATGTAAGATGGAAATGCCAAGACAATTTTAATGTAATGTTCAAACATATGCCTAGGGTTATCCAATATACAAAACTTTTTATGAAGAAAATGACTGACATGTAATTTGGAAGAAAAAAGTCCCGCCCCCTATAGCACACACACAAAATAATAGTATGAAAACTCCAAATATAAATATGGAATAGACAAAAAAAAAATGATAATTTTTATTTTTTTATATCCGAAGGACAAGAAAAAACCCAAACATTTATATGAATTAGAGGAAAGACAAAGCTGTGTTTATTTTTTATTTTTACATGGAAAAGGACTGGATAATTCTTGAAACGCATTTATTTACAAAGTATTATATCAACGGTAACGGTAGCATAATTATAAATAAGACTAGTTTATGCAATTGGCAATATACTGTTGTTGGGTACGTTGATAGATATCTCGCTCTATTATTTCTGATGACTAAGAAATGGGTTTAAAATTCATAGGTAAGTTACGTCGGGTTCGTTATAAACACACAATATATTGGTAAGTTTCTTGAGTCTAAATTTGTTCTAGTTTCCTTGGCAACTATAGTTTAAGGCACGAGAGCTAATACCCGAGAATTCCATCACAACTTCCTTATATGGATAACGAGTGAAGATGCGCGTGCTCCTTCCTGCACAGAAGCCTTGCCATCATTGCCAAATTACCAGATGTGTACGTCTGAAAGCTGATCTAGGTATGGGTTAACACCACCATATATGGGATATGGAGACCTATTATCGTATCCTTTCAATGACTTTTCACTCCAATTGGGAAGTAGGCCTCTTAGAATTAGACGAAAACAAACTTTTATTGCGCGAGGGAAAGTTCTTCTGTGTTGCCAAATATGTGATTGGTAGGAAGAAGATGTGAATTTACTGTGCCCCACAGAAACGTAAATAAGGCGAAAATACAGCTCAAGAAATTATACAGTGGATTCATTTGTTATGTGGTGATATTTGGGGAGGTGTGGTCGCGTGGCAAACTTTTCATGTGATCAGTTCGAGAATGTAACTGTTGGAAACATTCCACTTCTAGTAAATAACGGCAAACTGCACGTGCATATTCGCGTGCATTACTCCATATACGATAGTGATGTCCTAGTATTCCGATTTACTGGATATAGATTAGTGATCCCCGTGTTTTTAATTTCAACCATTTATTATTCCAATAATTCCTGGATTACACGTTTTAACTTCCCACCCCCAATTTAGAAGTTTTAATAAGGAAGAATGTCATCCAGACGAAAGAGTAACAAACCAACAAACAGGAGATCTTTGGATATAAAAACACCACAAGTTAGTATCTTTATCATTTTTTTTTTAAATTTTGAATTTTTTTACAATTTTTTAAATGTTATACAATTTTTTAAATGTTATACAATATTTTTTATTTTTATATAATTTTTGAAATTTTAACACAATTTTTGAAATTTTAACACAATTTGAATTTTAATACAATTTTTGAATTCTAACTCAAATTTTTGTATGTTTATACAATATTGGAATTTTAATACAATTTATTAAAATAGAGATTAAAATAATTTGTACCATTTTGAGATGAAAAAACACATGATCAACAATTTTGTTGCAAAATTTATTCCTTTTTTTATTGAAATAAAAAAATATTGCCAGCTTTCTCAGCAAAAAATGAAATTGAAACAACAAAACAGAATTATGAGCTTGTATACAGGGTGTCTTGATTAAGCTTGTGTACATGTTGTCTATGAGTCTGGAGCTTCATATGAGTGATATAAAATGAGGTTGTGGTATTTCTATAAATAGATATAGTTATACAAACATATTATACAGGTATTATAAGATAGAGAGAGAAATGAGGTTTAACGTCCACTCGACACAAACTAGGTCATTTCGGGACTAACACATGGTTCAATTTTATTTCAATAATTTGTTAGCGTGTATATATGTAGGGGTCTTTAGCAGTGGGAGGAAACTGAAAGACCCGGAGAAAACCCACAAGGTTGGACAGACGACCCTACTCTTAGTCATGTACCACCAGGCAATCGAAACCATGCTAGTTGACTCAATGATAGACTGTATGTTACAGCGTGCACATGCTAACCATTCGGACATCCCCCCTCCCCCCCATCAAACTGATTGGTTTGACATGTGCTTTAGATCATAGGGTCTGTCAATGAGTCCAGTGATGTGGTTTCGATTCCCCGCTAGTACATCACAAGTAGTTCACAATAGGGTCGCCTGTCCAACCTCAAGGGTTTTCTCCGGTTTCCTCCCGCTGCTAAAGACCCCTATGCGCAAGCAAATGAATGAAATAAAATTGAACCATATGTTAGTCCCGAAATGGCCTAGTTTGTGTCCAGCGGACGTTAAACTTTCTCTCTCTCCCCGAGCTAGGGAGAAGGAAGACGGACATAACATCATAAATTGTGCTATGAGGGACATTTTAGCAGGACAGCGACACTATGGCTTAATATTATATCAAATTACAACTGTCGCGGGTTCTCTTATGTGCTTGTTCGTTTTTCATCTCATCTGAACATCTATACGTGTATAGGGGATCATGTGGCTAAGTGGGTAAGATGCTGGCTCGCTAGCCTGGAGGTCAAGTGTTCGATCCCTGCATTGGCCGAGAAAGTTCATCCAGATTTTCCGAAGTGGTTTCCCCTTGTCAGTGGTGCAGAATGGAGGGCCTGACAAGTACAGCTGTCTAGTCCTTCGGATGAGACGAAAAACCGAGGTCCTGTGTATACATTGGAATGCACGTAAAAGATCCCTTGGCAGTTGGAATTCGAGTAGGCGATAGTGCCGCTGCCCGGGCAAAATTTCCCTCATAGCACACTGTATGCCCGTCTTCATTAGCCTAGCATAGGAGCAGAACAGTAGGACGTTAAACCCTATTTCATTTCTATACATGTATGTTGTCCCGTGCCCTGGGGGGTTGGATGGCTGAATGGTTAGCGTGCGCGTGATGTATCATAAAGTCTGTCATTGAGTCGACTTGCGTGGTTTCGAATCCCCGGTTGTACGTGACAAGGAGTAGGGTCGCCTGTCCAACCTCGTGGGTTTTCTCCGGGTCCTCCGGTTTCCTCCCACTGCTAAAGACCCCTACGCGCAAGCGAATTATTGAAATAAAATTAAACCATATGTTAGTCCCGAAATGACCTAGTTTGTGTTTAGTGGACGTTAAACCCCATTTCTCTCTCTCTCTCTGTCCCGTGCCCTACGCCACTGACAAAGGGGAACCATGTGTTAGTTATTAAGAACTGTTCGATTTTGGGGATTGAATCCTCTGAATGGTCTAACACATGCGCTTTATATCATAAAATCGATCATTGAGACACGTGACATGATTGCGATCCAACACTTGTACATGACCAGTGTAGGGTCAACTGTCTAACCTTGTGGGTTTTCTCCGGGTCCTCCAGTTTCCTCCCACTGCTAAACACCCCTACATGGAAGTAAATTATTGAACCATATGTTAGTCCCAAATGACCTAGATTGTGTTGAGCAGTGGGACGAGACCGAAGGACCCAGCAAAAATACCTGAGGTGGAGGAGAGACCCTACTCCTTTTCAAGATTTGGATCCTCATGATTTAAAATATGTTATACCTTTCCACATCAGAATAATAATAATAATAATAATGAGGTTTTATATAGCGTCTTCTCCATCCTCAAAACGCTTCTGGTAAAACTGTCAAAACAGGAAAGTCTTTAGTGCAGATTTAAATTGATTAAAAGTTTGTTGATTCTTGATCTGTTGTGGAAGTTCGTTCCATAATCTAGGACGAGCTGAACTGAAAGACCTATACCCATATGATATTTTATATTTTACAGGTATTAAACATGGCTGGATGTGATGAAGAATCGGATGATGAACAATTAACAATACCCCCAGATCTATTTCAAGATTTTCTAGAACTCAAATCTTCTACTCACCTTAATACAACTCAATTAATGAGAAAACTCCTTAAAGAATACCACAGGTAATTCAATTATACAAATAAGATCTGGACGGAGGGGGACAGGTAAAACAGTTATACAAATAAGATCTGGACGGAGGGGGACAGGTAAAACAGTTATACAAATAGGATCTGGATGGATTGAGGGGAGAGGGGTAGGGGACAGGTAAAACGTTATACTAAAAGAATCTGGATGGATCGAAGGGGGAGAGGGGAGGGGGTCAGGTAAATCAATTATACAAATAGGATCTGGATGGATGGAGAGGGGAGGGGGAACAGGTAAAATAGTTATACAAATAGGATCTGGACGGATGGAGAAGAGGGGGACAGGTAAAACAGTTGTTCAAATATGATCTGGATGGAAGGGGGAGAGGGGGACAGGTAAAACAGTTGTTCAAATAGGATCTGGATGGAAGGCGGAGAGGGGAGGGGGACAGGTAGAACAGTTAATAGGATCTGGATGGAAGGGGAGAGGGGAGGGGGACAGGTAGAACAGTTAATAGGATCTGGATGGAAGGGGAGAGGGGAGGGGGACAGGTAGAACAGTTAATAGGATCTGGATGGAAGGGGGAGAGGGGAGGGGGACAGGTAGAACAGTTAATAGGATCTGGATGGAAGGGGAGAGGGGAGGGGGACAGGTAGAACAGTTAATAGGATCTGGATGGAAGGGGAGAGGAGAGGGGGACAGGTAGAACAGTTAATAGGATCTGGATGGAGAGGGAGGGATACCACAGGTTAAACAGTTGTACAAATAGGGAGGGGGGGATAAAAAAGTTATACAAATAGGACCTGGATGAAACGGGTTAAACAGTTATAAGAATAATATCTAGGGAGAGGGAGGATGCGTTTAATGTCCACTCAGCTGACTCAGCACAAATAGGATCTGGTGAAAGGGAGGGGGGCGTTTAATGGGATCTGGGGAGAGGGAAGGGAGCACTTAATGGGATCTGGGGAGAGGGAAGGGGGCGTTTAATGGGATCTGGGGAGAGGGAAGGGAGCACTTAATGTCCACTCAGCACAAATTGGAAGTGAATTGGTTCCAGAGCCATTAATGTCCTCTCAGCACAATGTTGATCGGGGTTGAGGTGGGGGTGGGATTCAATAGCCACTCAACACAAACTAGGTGATCTTTGAACCAGGAACTGATGTCATCCACTTGGTAATCTCGTGGTCGGGATGGTCACCTGACCGTTATCTATGTCTGTTAATTTTTGATTAGCTTTCTGACGTTAGACAAACATAGGCATCAGATACCCAGGAACAACTCAGTCGTGGATATTGCTGCTAAAACATATCTGCTCAAAATTCAATCAATTGTGAAATGAAATGAAATGGGGTTTAACGACCTAGTGTTCTGCTCCGACTGGGCTAATGGAGACCAGGATACGCCATACAGTGTACTATGAGGGAAATTTTGCCCGGACAGTGGCACTACGACCTACTCTTATATCGAATTAAAACTGCCAAGGGATCTTTTACGTGCATGTCAATGTGTACACGGGACCTCGGTTTTCCGTCTCATCTGAATGACTAGACAGCTGTCCTTGTCAGGCCCTCCGTCGTGCTTCACCAACAAGGTGAAACCACGCTGGAAAATCTGAATGAACTTTCTCGGGGGCCAGTCGTAAGCCTCCACTGCCCTGTACGTCCCGGACCTGTAATGATACTAGCTTCACTCAAAATGAAAAGATATGATTAACAAGAAATATGTAACAGAAAAAATGCAACCGATCTTGACGGTGGTCGTCTCTTGAATGGTGATATCTGCCAGTTGACGTCACGAGCATAGGCGTACGGGGAAATTTTTGACTGGGGGGGCGGTGGTGGTTGGTGCCCAAAAAATGTAGTTAGGTTCTTAGTATGTTACATAATAATAATAAATTCGCTGTTAAATTGGACACATTCAAGAAGACAATATTTTTTTTATACAACTTTTACAAAGTACAATTGTGTGCCCAAATTTTCCCAGCATTTGGTGCCCAAAATGGGAGGGCAGCCGCCCCCCCAGCCCCCCCAGCTCGTACGCCTATGGTCACGAGTCTTAACAATAAGGGCGAGAATCCGGATAGAATCCTGGAAAACGTTAAAAAAAATTTAATAAAGTGTACTAACTGTCGAGGGTTCTTTCACGTGCACAGTAATGTACATATGAACAGATCTTAATGACTAGGAATACCTTCTCTGTCAGCCTTGAAGACGCCAACACTGACAAGTGGGGGCCAGGCTTAAACAATTTAAAAGGTTCTACTTAAAGATACATTATGTTAGATAAAGAGCTGGCCATTCTTGTTATAATAGTCCAACAATAGGTAACGAAAAATGATTACAATGAAAATTTCATTCAAATTACTTTATTCTTAGCCAAGTTATCACTGTGCATTGATTGTTTATTATCATAATCATGGTACTGGTATATTCGAGTCTTAGCCTCGCTTTCACATTTTTAGATTAAATCATTAAATGGCCGAACCATTCTCATCTGATGGCATCGAGAGTTAATTATGGTCTTGTCATGTTAATAAATGTCTAATTGAAAATTCATATAACATTTAAGGCCTGAAGAAAGACCTGCAATAGGCCGATTTAGCTCTTGAATACTACCTCTTCAAACATACATTATGCAAGAACTAAATCTGTCTATTGCAGGTCTTTCTTTAGGCCTGAAATGTTACCTAAATTATAAATTAGATATTAATTAACTTATCCAGACCTTAATCATCTCTCGATGTTATCGCTAGCCTGCGATATTTACTAGATTTGATTGCGATCTGCTGCTCAATGCTCATTGATGATTAAATCAAAAATTAGATTATCGAGACTATTTTTTTTATGGTACCGACTTTAGTAATGATGATCGAGGGTAGGCCTAAAATTCAATTTCGGTTCAGAGTGGATCAATTTGACTGAAACTTTCAACATATTCCCTTTACATTATCTAGTTTTTTTTAACTATTATAGTGAGAACTGCCAGCTCTTTATCTAATCTTCCATAATGCCCCTTTCAAGAATTCAAACCCTTGACTCGCTACTAGAGTGTTCAGTACCAAGACAAAGCTCGTACACCACCTAATTGTAAATATTTGTAAATTTCAACTATATATAAATTATATATTTTCTCTTTTTTCTTTTCAGTCAGTCTGTGTCGGGCAGTGAGAGTGAACAAGATGAAAAGAATAGCAATCGTAGCTATGGCAACCACAGCATGGAACCTGAACCTAATTATGAAATCATTGCCGAATCTCGTATCAACCAAACAAATGCTCCAGAGGAACATATGGACTTCGATCAACCGCTTGATCTCACCGTTGACAGAACACCAACTCACAGTCGCGGTGGATCTCCAAATCAACGAAATTTTGTCGCCAAGGCATCACCGTTAACAATGCACCTGCCAACAACACCCATGCGAAATAACAACCTGCCCTTCATAAAAATGGAACCGTCTGCCAATGTTCCTATTAAAACCGAGCCAGATTTTCAAATGCAGGTTCCGACGACTAGCGTTTCTATAGCAACCCTACCTACACATGAAAATTTAACAGATGTTAATAATCAATTGTTTTTGAATGGAATCGGAAACCTTATTGCCATGCCCTTTATGCCCTCGCCTCAAATGTTGGAAGGAGTCCGAACAAATTTAATCAGCATAAAAGCAGAACCCCAAAGCTGCCCTTCTCCCGTACCACAGGTCCCTGTACCTCCACGGCGGATGAAACCTGGTCGCAAACCGAGAGGAGGTGGAGTTGCTCGTCCACAGAAAACACAACCTGGGGAGATGAAAATCATTGCTGAAAACACCCTTTTTCCTGGCGTATACACCAGTATCTTGAAGCTTCCGTGGAGTCGCAGATCCAGAAATAAGCCTCCACTAACAGCCAAGCCGCAAACTACTTCCGCTATAACGGTGACTGCGCAACATACACCAGTAGTTGATTCATCGGTATCGATACCGTCCTCGGTTCTGCCTCCAAGTTCAGCTTCTCCTAACCCAAATAACACACTTCTCCTTCCCGCTAGTTCTCAAACCATTATGTCGGCTACCACGTCCCAGTCGGTCATGATGGTTTATCCAAATGCCACCATATCTGCTGTAGGGAAGCCAGTACGACGCAGGGGTCGACCTCCAAAACTACCTGTCCTCTCCCATCTGCTTTCAGAAAAAAAGGCGAAGAAAGTGACCGCAGAGACCCACGTTACAAATGTTCGAGATATGGTGGTGCCGATTCCTGCAGTAGTAACCAAGGCAGCACCTTTAGTACCTTGTAGTCAAGTACACGCTTCCTCATCATCATCTCATCCCGAGATGCTGTCCCTCATCAAGACGGAACCGACCTCGTCACCAAACGATTCCCCAACTCAAACCTCTGTCCCAGAATCAAACATCTCCTCCGTTGAACAGAATGGCTCCATATATCAAGAAATGCTCCTTTCTTCAAAATCTTTAGTCAACATTCGACCGAGACGACGACAGTCAACTGAGGTCAAACGTGGCAGCGATTTCATGTGGACGTCTTTTAAAATCAAACCAAGGGGTGGAAGGGGCACGAGGGGTCCGGACAGGCGAAAAAAAAACTTGTTGACTCCAACTGAATCTGTGTCAACTGAAGAGGAATTTGATATACAGCAAGCAGACATGGACACGGATGATGTTTGCGTTTCTCCGAATATGTTTCAGGAATTGTTTCACTGTAAGATTTGTAACGCTATTTTACCAGCAGATGGGAAGATCGAACATCAACGAGAACACCATCCAATGATGATAAAGTGCGCCACCTGCAGCACTCCATTCATTGGCTATACCCACAAAGATTTTGACGTTGAGAAAGCGAAGCTAAATTGCGAACTATGTTCGAAAAAAACACTGACAGTTTCAAATGGCAGCATAAATGCAAATGGCAGCCAAAGCATTTCCTGTGATCTTTGTGACGGTTTGTTCAAATCGTTTCATGCGTTCAGCGATCATAGACTCAAAGTACATGGCAACGAGAAGATAACTCTAGACACTCATTCATGTGAGGAATGCGGGAAAATATTCTTTACGACAAAAGGTCTGAATCACCATATGAAAACCCATTCAGACAAAAGCAAATCACAAGCCGTTGAAAACGGTTCAAAGTTGTTCCGTATGCAGGCTGATGAACAGACAGAGAATAAGGATGAGGAGTGTGACGATAAATTTCAAGAAAATTGTGAACTTGAAGAACATTTACATATCAAACATTCGACAAGTGGACAAAATGTCTGCCCGTGGCCGGGATGTGAAAAGGATTTTACGTGTGAGCATGATCTCAAACTTCATGTTTTGATACACAAAGATGAAAAACCAATGAAATGTGATTTTTGCGAGTATCGCTGTCGACAACGAAATGCGTTAAATTGGCACATGAGAAAGCATCCAGAGGCTGCATATAAATATCGTAAATACGCCGCTACTTTAGGCGGGGACTGATTCAGATGTAATAAATACTCCCTGGTTAATTATTCAGTGATGGGATAATAAATACTCCCTGGAAAATTACTCGCAATAAATACTCCCTGGTAAATACTCGCAATAACTGCTCACTTGGAACTGAAATTTTCTGTTTGTTCATTCGCTCGTTTGTGAGGCTTAGTGGCTTTTTCCATCAAGGGTGATATCGTAGACAAATGTTTTTTCTAGGAAAATTGCCAAAAGAGCCGGGAGTATTTATTGGTTGATTGAGTCTGGGTGTTACTAATTATAAAACTTAATATGTATCTCCAGATCCTTTTCAAGCAGACAGCTATTGAAGAGTCTTGGTAATCAAGACTGAAAGAGACGTAGAAAAATTTTGTTGTCATTTCATCTCATCTCATTCTCCATCTTTTCTACATCTTGGTTAAATGTTTTTAAAAACAAATTTGTCGCTGTAATTTGCTCCCAAATCCCCTCATTAAGCGCAACAACTAGCCGAGGGAAATGGCTGCTTCATGCAAATTATTCTGTGAGAGTTGTCGTCTGACATATAAATTTATGTTAATTTATAAATAAGTTAGACATCTTGGATTTGTTACTTTAAGGCAAAACAAACAAAAATATTCCAGTTCTCACCCAATCCTTACCAAAAATCTAATGTAGGAGGACATAAATTCAAGACTAATATGGCCCCCCCACAAACTTTGTAAGAATATTGACTTTTCTAGGTTCACCCAGTCTGGTGTACTCATAGGCCTCTTCTTAGTCCGAGGGTGTCGGCTGGCCGAAGGGTTAACGGGTACACATTGTATCATAAACTTGAACGTGACGAGGAGAAGGGTCCCCTGTGCAACCTCTTGGGTTTTCACTGGGTCCTCCAGTTTCCTCCCACTGCTAAAGACCCCTATGGCCAAGCGAATAATTGAAATAGAAAATTTGAACCATATGTTAGTCCCTAAATGACCTAGTTTATGTCGTGTGGACGTTAAACCCGATTTCTCTCTCTCCCTTCTCAGTCCATTCTGAAATCAGATTTAAAAAGATGGTAAACTCCACACCTGAACATTCAAATAAAACTGTAGACATTATTGAATTGTGTTTGTATCTTCAGATGAAAATCTGCCTTCGTTAAAACTGTCACAAATACTACAGAAATTTTGTAGACAGACTTGGAATAACTGTGGTGTAACATCTCATTCTTTCTCACTAATTGGGGTAACGAAGAAGTGCATACGTCATGCTATGAGTGACATATGTCATGCTGTAGGTGACATATGTCATGCTGCAGGTGACATATGTCATGCTATAGGTTTCATAAGTCATGCTATAGGTGACATATACCATCCTGTAGGTGACATATGTCATGCTGCAGGTGACATATGTCATGCTATAGGTTTCATAAGTCATGCTATAGGTGACATATACCATCCTGTAGGTGACATATGCCATGCTGCAGGTGACATATGTCATGCTATAGGTGACATGTGCCATGCTATAGGTGACATGTGCCATGCTATAGGTGACATATACTTCGCTATAAGTGACATCTTCATTACTCCAGTTAGTGCAGAAAGCAGGGCCCTGTTTCCCGAAATCTTAACTAAACTTAAAATCCAAATTTTAGTAGATACTTCAATTTTGATTGGCTAAGCACTAAAATCAATCTAATATTATCCAATCAAACTACTTAAATTTGGATTTTATCTTAGTTAAAATTTTGTAAAACAGGCACCAGGACTTTAAAACTTCATTTCATTTGAATTCATTTCTCAGTTTGTTTCCAGTGCCAAATTGTGCCTTATAGCATTTTACTATTAATTGTGATAGATTTTTATATTGTAAATCATAAAATATTGTTTTAATCATATAAGTTTATTTAAATCACAATTTACTTTCATATTTGATAAAAATCGCTCATTTTTACATGTTTTTTTAAAAGCAATTGTATTTTATTTTTTACTTAAACATATATATCAAGAAACTTTTTTTTTTTAAAATTCGAAAAATCTATTTTAACTTTGTATTTGTTGAAATTAAATATTTGATATAATATGTATATTTTGTTTATTGCTTAAATTAAATATTACTTTTTTCTGCAATATAAAGTTTTAGCAGTTAAATATTTAACAATTATTCATAATGGTCGATAAAATTAAACATATATTTTTATTGAATTGGTACTTCCAACAAAATCTGTGTTTAAACACTAGTCACGACAGACATGGATTAGCATATGGCATATGCCTGTCATTATTAGCTCAGTTGATACATAAAGCCTTTCATTTGCTAGACATACTGTATGTACATTCTTTGAATGGTATTTACTAATTGGAACATAATCAAATAACACACTATTTATGGATAACAATTACTATGTGTGACTTTCAACAAGATTTCACAAGTCATTATCAATCATATAACACAAAAAAAAAAAAAAAAAATGAAAAAAAAATGATTAAAATAATGACTTGTGAAATCTTGTTGAAACGCACAGTGAAATAAACCATAGTAATTGTAATCCATAAATAGTGTGATATTTGGGCACTGTATGTACACATTCTATAAGAGAATAGTTTTTTTTAACATGTGAAATCCTTAAATGATAAGTTTCATCAGGTGTTCTATAAAAAAGAGTCTGAGCTCCTTTAATGAATAATTGGGTATAATTATATATGGTGCTGAAAGTACAGATATAATATATTGTACCAGAAAGTTTTTGTGCTGCTGCGGGGGAATGTTTTGTTGCCTGGCAACCTATTTTACTAGGAAGCTTTTGAAAGGGTTAGGATGATTTATTGCTTAAATATATAAATACAATTGTAAATTTAATGTATGTTGTTGATTTTTGTTGTTGAAATATTTTTATGCATAAATAAAAAACACTGCCAAATGATATTTGTTTTTCTTAAGATTTAAGGGGGTGTTGGATGGCCGAATGGTTAGCACGCACGCGCTGTATCATAAGGTCTGTCATTGAGTCAGCTAGCGGGTTTTGATCCCCTGGTTGTTAGTGACAAGGAATTGGGTCGCCTGTCCGACCTCCTGGTTTTTCTCCGGGTCCTCCGGTTTACTCCAACTGCTAAAGACCCCTACGCGCAAGACAATTATTGAAATAAAATTAAAAACCATATGTTAGTCCCAAAATGACCAAATTTGTGTCGAGTGGACATTAAACTCTCTCTCTCTCTCTCTTTCTCTCTCTCTCTCTCTCTTTCTCTCCCTCAAGAGTATTAACCTGTCTCTCCATCTCCAGTCACCTCAGTGAAATAAGTTAGCATGTCACCTTCTGGTATCTGGGAGCTGCGTAAGGATGAACCCTATTGGTTTTCAAATTCGGTGTGGAAGAATGGGATCAGAGAGGATGAACTGAACCCCTGATTTTCAGCTTTCTAGGAGATGCAGTCGAGTTCAGATTTCTTTAAGATCTTAATCAAATTTGGTCAACATCCAAGTTTTCCTTTCGAATAAATGGCTCCGCGGTGGCTAAGTGGGTAAGATGCTGGCTCGCTGGCCTGGAGGTCACATGTTCGATTCCTGTATTGGCTGAGAACATTCATCGCGATTTTCGGACGTGGTTTCCCCTTGTCAAAGGTGCGGGGAAGATGGTACGCAAAACTAAAAACTGAGATCCCGTGCATACATTGGCATGCACATAAAAGATCCCTTGAGAGTTGGAATTCGATATAAGAGTAGGCTAGGCCGTAGTACCGCTGTTCGGGAAAAATGTCCCTCACAGCACACGGTATGGGGTATGCCCGTCTACATTAGTCTGGTCAGAACAGAACAGTAGGACATTAAACTCCATTTCATGTTTTCATTTCTTTCGGATATACTGTTGTCTATGGCTGTCTATTTGTTTGCCTACATTGAAAAGTTAACGTTATTATTCGATTGAATTTAAATTTATACTCCGTGTTTACTTTCATGAGATGAAGAATCTTGATGATGTCCATTGAGAAATTTTGGGGAAGCTCTAGGGGGATTGGGTGGTCTGTCATTGAGTCACATGGCGTGGTTTTGGTTCCTCGCTTGTATGTGACAAGGGTCACAAGGAGTAGGCCTAGGGTCGCCTGTCCAACCCGGTGGGTTTTCTCTGGGTCATATGGTTTCCCCTCACTGATAAAGGCCCAGACGACGTGCAAACGAATTATTGATATAAATTGAAACATGTTATTACCAAAATGACTTAGTTTGCGTCAAGTTGACGTTAAACCCCATCTCTTTTATATTCATAATACACATAGTTTGTATAAAAGGCAGCATCGGGAAGAATTACTGTGGCACAATTTAGTTAAATCCACCCAAATCCACCATTATTTCAAATCATATAATAATAATTGATATATATTTGATAATATACTGTTCTTTATGTCAAATTGTCATTTTAATTTAAAATCGTAAATTTTTTGTTTCAATAAATATCCTTCAAAATGCAATTTCCAAGCAAGCGATTTCGTGCAATGCATGAGTTATGTCCCTTGCTTACAACTTACACACTTGCATAGAAATCGCATAACGATACGATTTTAAATTAATAATGACAGTTTAGCATAACATAGGCTTACGGTATATTATCAATATCGATAAAAATTATTGTGATATGAATTTAAATAAATTAAAGAATGGTGGATGTGTTTACCACTTACAAACTTGCTTGAAAATCGCATTTGAGGGGCATTTTGACACAAAAACGTTACGCTTGTATATTAAAAACGACAGTTTATCATAAAAAACGGAATATTATTAAATATCGATATAAATTATTGTCTTTATAAGTTGAAATAATGGCGGATTTCGGTTTATTTTGTTAAATTGTGCTACTGTACTTTTATTGGAAATAACAAATTTAACCCGAAAAATAGTTTTGTGGGAATTTACGAGACATAGTACGACACGATGAACGCCGCAATGAATGGACGAATGAATGGATGGACGAATGAATGGATTATAAATGAATGAATGACTTCATGAAATGGAGTCATAACTTCCCGCTTTTCTGCGTCAACCGGGCTAATGAAGACTGTACAGTGTGCTATATATAAGGGAAATTTTGCACAAACAGCAATTGAGTTCTTTTACGTGCATGCATGCTATATAGCGTAGACATGGGATCTCGATTTTTTGTCCCATCCGAAAAACTAGACGTTGTTCCTTACCAGGCCCCCAGAATGCGGTCAGGTACAAAACTCGGAAAACTCGGAAATCTCGGAAAATATTTTCCGACTTTTCTCCTCTCCGAGTTTTATGAATTGACTCGATTGAAAACACAAAACTCGGAAACTCGGAAAAAATTGTCCGACTTTTTGTTTCAAACTGAAAAGTCGGAAAATATTTTCCGAGTTTTCTATTCAAACAAAAAAGTCGGACAATTTTTTCCGACATTTCCGAGTTTTGTGTTTTCAATCGAGTCAAATCATAAAACTCGGAAAGAGAAAAAGTTGGAAAATTATCAAAAATATTATTTTAAATTGGCGAAAGTGGTTGTAGTAATACATCTATTTAATAAGTTGGACATAATCTGTAACTTTTCAGTTATATTTTAACCAAAATAATGCAATATGGCAGTTATAATCGAATATCCGAGTTTTCCGAGTTTTGTATTTTGGCCTATACGAAAACACAAAACTCGGAAAACTCGGAAAGTGGCAAAAAGGTAACAAAATAAAGAAGTTTTCATTGGATATGGTGTGTAAGGGTTGTAATATGTACAATTTCAATTTGACACATGGCCCCGAGGCCGAACCTGCCCCGTTCTCCCATACTATATACGTCGTGTCGAGAATAGGCCTACCGAACTTTTAGAAATAAAATTGGCGAAAGGAGTGACAGTAACACATCTATTTAATAAGTTGGACATGATCTATAACCTTTTCAGTTAGATTTTAACAAAAATACTGCAATATGGCAGTTATAATTAAATTTCCGAGATTTCCGAGTTTTGTACCTGACCCCAGAATGCAGCAGTAGGCTATCACTGTGATCAAATCGGTTATTAACCAATTATTAGCCTAGTTTCACTTTCGATTTAAAATGGGGAAAACCCAAACTCGTTTCCGCAAAATGATAATAGAAACAGTCAGAGAGCTTTTCCAAGAAACTGAGTCTTTGTTGCTACCTTATTACGTCGATCCGAAGAACATCAAATATCAGCAGGAGCTGGGGTTCCAATCAACTACGGTAAGAACGATCTGGTAACAATATTGTCCCGCTAAACGATGAACACACGGCAGGCCTAGATCTTCAAACCGTTTCAAGATAAGATAAGATTTTATTGTAACCTATCACTATGAACGTTGATGAAGCGTCCGTATCACCCTCAGTTCAAATAACCCCGAAAGAAGCCAGAAACATACCGTATCCTTTATAAAGAATAATAATAATCTAGGAATATGTTTACAAATGAAGTGAGAATATATGTTTAATATCAAAGTATCCAAAATGGACAATATATATAAGCACTAAATTTGTTACAATTTTTCTTAGTTTGTTATTTGATTCCTTAATGCAATATTTTAGTGGACCACAAATAGGACAGACACCACCTACAAGTAAGTTATAATACAATAAATTTGCATTCATGTTTATAAATTACTGTTTGACCTACATGTAGTGATGTGAAACAGGAAATACCTCACATCTAAGTTACCATACATACAGTAGTTTTATTGATAAACAGTGATGAAGATGAATAAACCAAATACAAGTCTGTTTTTGTACTGCTGCTGCGTGGGGATTTTTAAGTATCTTTTATTTTCTAATTGACCACAAGTAGCCTTACTACAGTGTCAAACACGACTAGTGTCTAGAAGTCGAGATCGGGAAAAAACGTACATCTGATGTAACCTAAAACTCAATTGGCCAGAAGAAGCGACACTTGGAACTGATCATGGACCCGAAATGCTTACAATCGCACTGTAGGTGATTAATATTTGGGATAAATGAACTAATCATGTGGTTAAACATGGCCACATATCTAATATCATAGCACACTATATGACATAATATACCCATCTTCATTAGTCCAGTCAGATCAGAATAATAGGACGTTAAACCTCATTTGATTTTATTTCTCAATATACGCTGTGGCGTAGATCTCTATACTTGCTGTAGTACATATCTCAATATACGCTGTGGCGTAGAGCTATCCTTGCTGTAGTACATATCTCAATATACGCTGTGGAGCAGATCTCTATCCTTGCTGTGGAGTAGATCTCTATACTTGCTGTGGAGTAGAGCACTATACTTGCTGTGGTACATATCTCAATATACGCTGTGGCGTAGATCTCTATACTTGCTGTAGTACAGTTTTCAATATATGCTGTGGTACAGTTCTCAATACTTGCTGTGGTACAGTTCTCTATATATGCCGCGGTACAGTTTTCAGTATATGCTATGGAGTAGATCTCAATACTTGCTGTGGTATTTAAACTTTATGTTATGTTTTTCTTTTGACAGATCAGCGGAGACCTCAGAATCATGAGGGTATAATAACCTACGATAGACAATTTTTACTAAAATTACAATTTAGTAAATACTCTGTCTCTAGACCACAAGGATTACAAAATTTTCCTGACATCGTTCTAGACAAGGTCAGTATTTCATTCCAGATAAGATCAGTATGACAGTATTTCATTCTAGATGAGGTCAATATTGTGTTCTAGATAACATCAGTATTTCATTCTAGATAAGGTCAGTATTTCATTCTAGATAAGGTCAGTATTTCAGGTTTCAAGTCGGGCTTTAAAACATGGGTTGGTTAATCTTTTGTTCCGCCATGATTACCAGAAATGTTCAAGCCTAGCTCACCTTTTGTTGGTGCAGAACCTTACCAAGGTTCTGTATATAAATTTAACGGAAGTGAAAGATCCCTCGGCAGTTGAATTTCCAGAAAGGATTGTCAGAAATGGACAGAAATAATGTTTTAGCAAAATTCTCCTCTTTACATTGTACACATCTAACAGTTGTAGAAATGTCCCTATTAGTCTCCAAATGATCACATGCGAAGCCTATAATACCTGTCTACATTAGCCCAGTGAGCGGAGAAAAGTAGGGCGTTAAATCCCATTTCTATTCATTTCATTTATTTTTGTCTGTCTGTCCGTCTGTCTGTCTGTTCGTCCGTCCGTCCGACTGTCTGTCTGTCTGTCTGTCTGCCCGTCTGTTTGTCCGTCCGTCTGTCTGTCCGTCACACTTTTTGGGACACAATAACTCTCTTTCTAATTGAGCTAGAATGTTCAAACTTGGTGTAGGTGTTTATTATGTCAATGCTTTGATGGAGTTCGAAGATGAGCATTTTCAGCTTAGGGTAAGCAGAGATAAGCAATTAGATTGGTTGATGCTTTGGGACATGATAACTTTAGTTCTAATTAAGTGAGAGTGATGAAACTTGGTGTATAGTTTCATTACATTAATACCTTGACTAAATTCGATAATGAGCATTTTCTGCTCAGGGTAAGCAGAGTGACAAGCAATTTGATTGGTCGAGACTTTGGAACACAATAACTCTCATTCTAATTGAGTTAGAATGTTCACACTTGGCGTAGGTGTCAATTAGGCGAATTCCTTGATGGAGTTTGAAGATGAGAATTTTCTGCTTAGGGTAAGCAGTTTGATTGTTTGATGCTTTGGGACACGATACCTTTAGTTCTAATTAAGTGAAAGTGAGGGCACTTGGTGTATAGCTTTATTATATCAATACCTTGACTAAGTTCGATAGGTGTCTATTAGGTGAATGTTTAAACTTGATGTAGATGTTCATTAGGTGAATGTCTTGACTGAGTTCAATGATTAACATTCCGAGCTGAAGCTAAGCAGAGCTCATCGATTTCATTTGTCGATGGTTTGGGACAAGATAATCTTAATTCTATCTGATAGAGAGTGATGAAACTTAGTGAAAAAAATAAATGTGCGATTAATTAATGTGTCATCTATTTATTTTGCAATTTCGGCGGGGGACATCAGCCTCACTGTTGGCTTGTCTACTTTTTTTTAATAAAAATAAATTGTGAGCTTGAGATGTGTGTACGGATGTGTGTATGTATGTTCGCCCATCGTGCTTCATCACCGCGATCCTCCCCCTCCAACATATGTAGTATCAAATTAACCAGCATGACCCCGTGAATGTTTTAGCCCATCCCCCAGGTGATTTTGGGCCCAGGGCGAATTTGTGCTTCAGGCGATTTTGGGGATAGGGCAAATTCGGACCCTTTTCGAATTTGGGTCCCGGGCAAATTGGGGGGAATTGTGACCAGGAGTCGATCGGGCGAATTTGAACCAGGAGCCAATTAGGCAAATATAATAAAAAAAAAACCTTTCCATTTCAGCCTGCAATATGGTCATCTGCTAACAGAAATGACATAAGTAATACTGTACCAGAATTTACTCCAGCTTTCTTCCAAAGAATGTATCCACGGGTAAGTATCAACATGCTTTTATTTCTATGCTACAAATGATGATGATGATGATTATGGTGATAATGCTGATGACGACGACAATAATGATGATGATGGCGATAATGATGATGGTGGCGATAATTATGGGGATGATGATGGTGATAATGATGGCGATGATGATGATGATGATGTTGACAATGATGATGATGATGATGGCGATAATGATGATGGTGATGATGATGAAATGATGATGATGGTGATGATGATGAAATGATGATGATGGATGGTGATAATGACAACGATGATGATGATGATGATAATGATGGCGATGCTGCTGCTGATGACGACGATAATGATGATGATGATATATAATAATAAAGCTTTTTCCATTTCAACCTACTCTACTGTCATCTGCTGAAAAAAATGTATCCGATTTTACTCCAGATTCCTTCCAAGCAATGTCTGGAAGGGTAAGTATTTATCAGCATGCTTTTACTTCTATGCTACAAATAATGATGATCATTAAGCTTGTTAAGACTAAAGAATAGTTTCTAAGGCGCAATTGGTTTTTATATTCACTGATTATTTACAGATCAGGGGTTTGAAATAAGAATTTTCGAGTTGAGATTTAAAATTTTATCAGGATTTTCCAGCCTGATTTGCCCTCATCAGAGCCTGGCAAAGAAAAGCCATAATACTGTGAAACCTATTTCATTCTTCTTAGCTAGTCCATAATTGACCTAGTTTGTGTCAAGTTGATGTTACCCCCCCCCTCCCCCTCTCTCTCTCTCTCTCTCTCTCTCTCTCTCTCTCATTCTTCTTAGCCGAGTTGGAGCAGAAAGTAGGACTTTTGTTTAACAACCCAATCTGATTAAAACACAGATCCTATTTCGTTTCGTTTTGTTTTTTATATTTCAAAATTTTGTTATACTTGTCTTTACTACACTAGGATCTGGAAGAGTTGTTATATAACCTGCATTCCGGTTGATGTGAGACCTTCCACTACAATTGGTCAGATCTTCATGTAGTGTAGGCCATTGAAAGTATAAAAAAACGAAATGAAATATAGATCTGTATTTTAATCATATTGTTTAACAACGGGAATAAACCATTCATATCACCCTGGTATTTTACTTAAGAAGTTGAAACAAATTTATTTTACAATCAGTTGATATTGTCTGATCAATTTCACACAGATTATATTTTCAGCCCGGCTCTAGTCAAATGATCGAGAACAGAAACAGTCAACAAGGACCTGGAAATGATGGACCCAGGAAAATTATTGGACTACATGAAGCTGAAAATGCTTGGCCACCAGGTAGAAAGGTGGAAGCAGTTAGAAGTGATGTAACTGTAGCCAGAACACAGACACAGGTAAACTATTTATGTTTTAATCATATTTACCTGTCTGAACCACTTAGATCTTAATAATCCTGTCTATGTGGCCAGATTAAGCTTGCATGGAGCCCCTGGTTGAAAATTTCACTGGGGCCCATGAATCAACAGTGAAAAAGGGACCATCTGGTCATTGTCCAGCACACAAATGCAATATTTATGTCAATATGGTAGACAAATAAACGTATATAATATACTAAAAAAAAATAAAAATAATTTTTTTGGGGGGCGCCTTTAATGTGAGCTCAGTCCGCCCTAATCTGGCCCTTATTTAATTCGTTCCCATACTGGGGGCCACACCGGGCACATGGAAGGAACACTGAGGTACACCCTTTATACATATTGGCTTGTACGTGAAATGAAATGAAATGAAATGGGGTTTAACGTCCTACTGTTCTGCTCCTATGCTGGGCTAATGAAGACTGGCATACGCCATACAGTGTGCTATGAGGGACATTTTGCCCGGTAGCGGCACTATCGCCTACTCTTATATCAAATTCCAACTGCCAAGGGATCTTTTACGTGCATTCCAATCTATACACGGGACCTCGGTTTTTCGTTTCATCCGAAGGACTAGACATCTGTCCTTGTCAGGCCCTCCGTCCTTGGCTTGTACGTAAAAAGAACCCTTGACAGATGGAATTCAATGATAAGTAGATGGAAATGCCACTGTCCAGGCAAAATTCTTCTCTCTACCATAGAAAAAGCACATGTTAGTCTCAAAATGACAAAAATGTTGTTGATAAGACAATAACCTCCATCCTATTCCATTTCTCTGTCCTTTCTTTTTAATCAATATACATCACCAATCGATATAACAGATCACCAATAGATGTTACACATCACCAATAGATGTTACACATCACCAATAGATGTAACACATCACCAATAGATGTAACACATCATTAATCGATATAACACATCACTAATTGATGTAACTCATGCACAAATGTAACACATCAAGCCCATGTAACGCATCACTAATTGATGTAACACATGTAACAGATCACTAATGGATGTAACACATCACTTATCGATGTAACATTTGACTATAGATGTAACAGATCACTAATTCATGTAACACATTATGAATCGTTGTAACACATCACTAATAGAATCACTAATCGATGTAACACACCATATAACTTTGTAGTTTTCCATAAGTTTGTATGTACTTTACATAGTTTTTTCATATTATTCTCAGAGGGTCAACCGATATCCTTCTTAGAATTTGATCTATTTGACATGGAATGTTTAATTCATAACAGCTCGAACAATTTAGCTGTTAGCGGGTTTATGTTGTCAGACAAGATATGTTTTTATAGTAACCCCCAAACCTGTATTTGTAGCCCAGAGAAGTTTATAGAAGACCTAGAGAAATGGAACGTAGGCCTCCCTTGAAACCTAGAGAAATGGAACGTAGGCCTCCCTTAAAACCTAGAAACATGGAACACCGGCCTCCCTTAAAACCACCAGGTCTACCACAACTGGATCAAGATGGTTTAAAAGTAAAATGGGAACAATTTGAGCAGGAGTTTGACCAGTATTTAGAGGATTATGGTTTAGAGGCCACGGACGACGCTATCAAGTGTGCATTGTTACGTCAATGTATTGGAAAAGAGAATATGTATGTTTATGATTCGTTTTATTTCGAGAAAGAAGATGATCGGTATATATTACACGAATTAAAGAAAAAATTTAGTACTTATTGTAAACGTCGAATGGGAGGAGATGGTGTACAGAAAGTTGACGAAAATCGTAGTGAAGATGCCAGACAAAAACGTAAGTTAAAATGTTGGATATATTACAGACGAATAATCTCGTCATTGATGTAGGACAGAAGCGCCTAGGACATAGGGCCTGATACATAGGGCCTAAGACATAGGGCCTAGGATAGAGACAACGTATAGTCATGCGGATGGTATGAAAAACCGAGGGCCTGATACATAGGGCCTAAGACATAGGGCCTAGGATAGAGACAACGTATAGTCATGCGGATGGTATGAAAAACCGAGGTCTCATGTACATATTGACGTGAAGGTAAAATAACGCTTGACAGTCAGAATTTGACAGGAGAGTAGGTGGTAGTGCCGGTCTCTGGGCAAAATTTCTCTCATAGCACACTGTATGGGATGTTAACCCCTATTTCACGACATTTTGATGCCTTATATGTTGGTTGTTATGAAAGTATGATGTAGGCAAATAGTATACCACCATCATATTGTAAAAGAAGAGAATTAAAGCTTTCTGGGTTTGAGTCATCAATCTATTGAAAGAAAAACACACAGAGAAATTAACTTCTATCCAAGAATAGTTTAATTACAGGGCTATTCTATATAGAATAATTGTTGAATCCTGAAACAGTTCCTGTAAGAGGTTATTAGATTCTAGCAGTAACAATTTCGGCACCGGTCTAATTTTACCTGTTCTTAGTCTAAAGTAAACTTGTATCAAGATAAATGACAAATTAAACATACATTATACAAGAGGTAAATCTGTCTAGTGCAGGTCTTTCTTTAGGCATGAAATGTTTTGTAAATTATTAATTAGACATTAATTTAATAACAATACAAGACTGTGATGCCATCGCTAGCCTGCAATATTTAGTGGAATTGAATAGGTTTTGAGATCGATGTTTTAACGTAAAAATGGATATTATCGTACCAACGGTAGTAATGACAATCGATGCTAGCCTAAAACTGAATCGCTCATATCTCGGTTCAGAGTGAAGCTATTGGACTGAAAATTTCAGCATATTCTGTTTTCATTATCTATTGTTTTAATTATTGTAGCGAGAACTGCTAGCTTGTTATCTAATCTTACCTAATTCCCCTTTAATATATAATTTATTTATTTGCAGTCCCAAATAGAGGAGGACAACAACGGAACAATCAATATTATGATGATGGCTGGAATACCACTGCTTCTAAACCTCTCCGTAACATAGATCTGTCAAAAATGAAAATTACCAAGGTGATAACAATTTAATGGTGCTTTCTACTGTTGGAGTATTTTTTTTAAGTAAATGCAACAATATAAAAAAAATCCAATGGTTCGAAAAATAACAAAATAATGACTGAATTATCCCTGTCTTATATTTAATGATGACAGTATTACTTTACTGATATTGCCTGATTTTATCTAGATTATGTAATTAATTACAACAAAAAAAAAAAAAAAATATGCTCAAAGTTGAATTTAAAAAAAACTTTTCCAGACTACAGTAGATGAGAACATCCAGTTGGGACCTGGAGGAGGTTCATCTCGATTTGGTGTTTGGGGTCGTGAAAGTAGTGGTGGACGACATATAGGTTCCCTGGTTACAGCTCTTCCTGAAAAGTAATTATTACTAGTGACTACAATTGTTCATCCAGATGATTGAAGTCTCAGAAAATGTTTTTATACTCCACATTTTCATGTGGACGCATTATGCCATAGTCCCTGTCCCTGTAGATACTCTACAGGTCACAATTTTTATCCGATTTTGACGAAACTTTAAATATAGGTATATCTCCCAATGATCTTGGTTCCTTTCGATATTGGCATGTATCAGACCATACCATCATCATGGATATGGCCCCTGAATGTATAAAAAATCATGTTTTTAGCTTGTGGACACTCTAGAGGTCACAATTTTCATCTGATTTTGATGGAACTTGAAATACATGTTGATAACCCCACAATCTTTGCGCATATCGAATAGTAACTTCCTGAATTATGGCCCCTGATTGTACGAAATATTGTGTTTTTGGCTTGTGGTCCTTCTAGAGCCCACAATTATTATCCGATTTAAAAAAAACTGTTCGAATATATCACCGATACTCCGTAATGTTGGTTGAGTTCGAATTTCGCGAATATCGACCAAAACTGCCAGAAAAGATATGGTATATCAAGCTTGTGGAGTGTGGACCCTCTAGAGGTCACAATTTTTATCTGATTATGATGAAACTTAAAATATGCTTATATCCCGAAGATCTAGGTTCCTATAGATATTCACGCATATCGGACCGTAACTTCCTGGATTATGGTCCCTAATAGTAGGAAAAATCGATTTTTTTTTGGCGTGTTCTCTGTCCATCTCTTGCAAAATGTGGGCATATCTTGCATGGCAACTGCTTGTTAGCTAAAGACGTCGTTGATTTCCATTTTTGGTTGGCTTGATGACCTAAAAGAAATGGACAAAATTAATAATGGTAATGTTTACAACTACACCATGCTCATCTGTTAATTAAGATAGGCCTACATGAGTATTATATAATCATAATCTTGTGTATTTAGAATTAATTTCTTTCACACTCATTTAATTCGTAAATATATTTAAAATGACCAGAATTCATCTTATTTTTACTTGTGTCTAGTTTAAAACTGACCTATTAATGGCATGATTTGATGACTGTTAAAGAAATTAATACTAAATACACAAGATTAAATGATATCCGAGTTACAGTGACGGTGGCTAAGTGAGTAAGACAATGGCTTGCTACCAGAAGGATAAATGGGGACTGTTTTAATCCGTTTAGATCTTCGCCATCCGATAATCTAGAGAGTTAATTGTTGATAATGTCTAGATAATATGTAACATTTAAAGCCAACAGGCAAATTTATCTTTTACATAATGCATCTTTAGATACAAAATTCTTCGTTTAAAGGAATATAACTGGAAGGACGACGCCCTCATCTTCTAATCCTGCCAGTAGAGAAAGTAGCCGATCCCGAGAACCAAGAATGGATAAACCAGAAGCTGCTCCGGTTCCTGGTATTTTATCAGAAGATGAAATGGAAAAGAAAACTAAAACAATTATTGATGAATATCTTCATATTAACAATCTCAAGGTAAACACACTTGAACTTGGTTACCATGGAAACAAGGCAATCTTTATGTATAATTAATAATTTACCTTTTGGGGATTATACAATGTTTGGGTATATTACCTGTAGATTAACTAATGTATATTTGTTGATGAGTGAATGTGATTTATAGAGTTTGGTTATTGTGTTTTACAGGAAGCTTTAATGTGTGTTTCCGAGATCAACAATCCAGCAACTGTCCATTTATTTATAGAATTCTCTATTAATCATGTGTTAGAAAGATCGTCTATAGCACGTCAACAAACCGGACATCTTCATCATGAATTAGTTAGCAAAAAAATAATCTCAGTTGATTCCTACCTTAAAGGGTAAGTACAAACTAAAATAATCTTAATTCCTACCTTAAAGGGCAAGTATAAACTTATCATTCAGCGTGGAATTTTGATTACAAAGAACCTTGAACTCTGAACTAGGAAATGATTCCAACCACTTCGTTGTAGTCTTTTTTTGTGTGTGTGTGTGTGTGTGGAGGGGGGGGGGCAGCTCGTTCTAAATAAGGTTATGCCAATTTGAATTTGATTGACATTAAATTTGGCATGCTTGCTCTTTGAACAACTACACATTGAAGTAGGGACGAAATAAGACAGGCCATAACACATGAATAGACCGACTATGATTTTTGGTATGTCATCACAATTCCAAGATGGTTGGAATAACACCATTCTTGGTTCCTGGCTTATATATGTTAAATCAAGTAAATTTGTACAACCTTGTTATTCATAGTGTGGCTAGGCTATTTAGTACATGTCAAAGAACCGTCGAGTTAGCCGTGGTGACTCAGTGAGTAAGACGTTGGCTCGCTTACCAGGTGGTCTCAGGTTCGAACCCTGTGTTGGCTGAGAAAGTTCCTCTGGATATTTGGTTGTGGCTTCCCCTTTTCAGTTTCAGTGGTGCAGGACGGAGGGCCTGACAACGACTGTGTCCAATCTTATGCGTTTTCTCCAGTTTCCCCCAACTGCTTATTGAATCATATGTTAGTCACAAAATGGCCTAATATATGTGTTGAGTAGACCTCTCTCTCTCTCTCTCTCTCTCTCTCTCTTCTCTCTCTCTCTCTCTCTCTCTCTCTCTCTCTCTCATTTATTAAGGTAGAATTACTTTATTTTAGATTGAATAAGACCTTACAAAAAGCAGAAAATATGGAGATGGATATTCCAAAGATTTGGCTGTATTTAGGGGAATTGATCGGTCCTATGATCCAAGATGGAAGTGTACCATTAAATTTCCTGAAACAAGCGTGTGAACCTTTACAAGCCAGTGGCAAGTCTGGGGTGGTTGTGGCGGCTGTTCTGCATGACGCTAGTCGAGGATTGGTAAGTCTTGTCATGTGACCTTACCTTGTGGATTTTCTCCCAGACATTTCATTTATTCCTATTGCTAAAGAAAGGAAATGGTGTTTAACAGCCTATATTGCACCAAAGGGAGTAATGAAGTATGATGATATCAAGAAAGGTTTGTCCGGTAGCATTTCTGCCTATTCATCGAATACCAACTGTCACACGCTTTTTCACGAGCACGCACGTGTCATATTTAAAATCTGATGGTGTCGAGCTTCGAGCCGTAGCTGGCCGGTCACTTCTGGTGTCGGCTTATTTTGCTTGGAGATAAGGGCACCTTCTCTCCTCGCGGGCTAACTCCGAGTACTCCGGTTTCCTCCCACAGGAAAGACCTCCTGCGCGTGCGTCTTGCTTTAAAATACTTTGTTTAGATACAATATATTCACAAATATTAATTTACTTTTCTAGGGTTACAAGAAAGTTGCGTCTTTATGGAAGAGTTCTGCATTACAATGGACCGATTTTGTGGCTGCTGAAAATGTTACAGAATTTTTGGCTGATAAAGAATTAGAATTTACAGTTGCAGCCGATTCTCCTGTGGATAAAGTGTCGTTTGAAACTATTCAAGAACAATTATTAGTTCGTCTACGTGATGTGAATTTTGATAATGAACATATGTTTGATTTGATTGAGGTAAGAAAAAATAGATCTGTTTCTGACGCGAGATGAGGGGGTTGGGTGTGCCCTTTAGATCATAAACTATGTCATTGAGTCAAGTGTCTCGTTTTCGATTGCCAGATTGTAGGGTCGCCTGTCCAACCTCGTGGGTTTTTTTCTATGTTTTTTGATTTCCACCCACTGCTAAAGACCCGTACGTTCAAGCGAATTATTGAAATAGAATTGAACCATATTAGTCCTTAAATGCCACCAGAGGTGGGTGGCCAAATGGTTAACGCGTGCATGTTTGATCATAAGGTCTGTTATTGAGTCATGTGGCTTGGTTTCGAATTCCCGGTTGTACGTGACAAGGAGTAGGGTCACCTGTCCAACCTCGTCGGTTTTTCTCCGGGTCCTCCGGTTTCCTCCCACTGCTAAAGACCCCTACACACAAGCAAATTAATTAAATAAAATTAAACCATATGACCTAGTTTGTGTTGGGTGAATGTTAAACCCATTTCTCTCTCTCTCTCTTTTAAATGAGAGTTTCTGTCAAAAGGACGTAAAATCCCATTTTTTACAAAATGATTTGTTTGAAATATAATATAATTATCTTTTCAGGCCAACATCCCAGATGAATCTACGAAAAATCCCAAGTTTATTCGTACGTTGATGATTGCCGTCTGTAAAAGTGCCGTGTCTGGTGAGTATTGATCTATTTGATTACGTTGACTATTGCCAGAACATCTGATACCACTTACAACTGAAACCAGTTGACTGTTAAGAGCAAACGGAAACTGGTCAAAATTGAATTGGAAACCAGTTAGCTGTTGATGTCAGAGTCAAACTGAAAGCGGTTAAATTGAAATGAAAACTAGTCAAATATTGGGGATGCTTGTTTGAATGTTCCGGAACTGAATTCTCTCAATCCCAAAGATACTGACACGGGAGTGATAAGGTACTGACACGGGAGTGATAAGGTACTGACACTGGAGTGATAAGGTACTGACACTGGAGTGATAAGGTACTGACACGGGAGTGATAAGGTACTGACACGGGAGTGATAAGGTACTGACACGGGAGTGATAAGGTACTGACACGGGAGTGATAAGGTACTGACACTGGAGTGATAAGGTACTGACACGGGAGTGATAAGGTACTGACACGGGAGTGATAAGGTACTGACACGGGAGTGATAAGGTACTGACACGGGAGTGATAAGGTACTGACACGGGAGTGATAAGGTACTGACACGGGAGTGATAAGGTACTGACACGGGAGTGATAAGGTACTGACACGGGAGTGATAAGGTACTGACACGGGAGTGATAAGGTACTGACACTGGAGTGATAAGGTACTGACACTGGAGTGATAAGGTACTGACACTGGAGTGATAAGGTACTGACACGGGAGTGATAAGGTACTGACACTGGAGTGATAAGGTACTGACACTGGAGTGATAAGGTACTGACACTGGAGTGATAAGGTACTGACACGGGAGTGATAAGGTACTGACACTGGAGTGATAAGGTACTGACACTGGAGTGATAAGGGTGATTTCGGGCTACGACACAGCCAACACTGCATAAAATAATATCTCAATCAACCAAGGCAGCTGAAACATAATATTTGTCTGTACCGACAGAACTGTGACAGGACGGAATTCGGCTTACTCGATTATAATTCTGTCAATTCGAACGTTCCGGATTGACAATCGAACATTCCCGTTGTCAGAATCAAACCGAAACCGGTTAAATTATCAAAATCCAAATGGTTCACTTTCTGTACAAAATTTTACTTTAACAGATGTAAGTACATTGTGGGTGTGTTTAGTTGGTTCACCTTTCTTAATTCTTATTCTGTTGGGTTTTTTCAGAAGGGCCAAATTATAAAGTGAATGAAAATGTTATTAAACAACGTCAGTCTTTATTAGTAAAATATTTAGATAGTCAACAAGAATTTGAAATACAGGCGTTATATGCTCTACAAGCTTTTGTTAACGAACTTCAACATCCCGAAGGTAATTAAACTTCTGTTTATTGTTGAACTCCATTTTATTATTCCAATCCTATTTGTATATTTAGCTATTCCTTTTTTTTATTCAGTGGAAGTGATCGATTTTGGAACAAGTTTTTTTTATGTGATTTCAGATGTTAAAATTCTCTCCCTTACACTGCACATTTAGCCTCATAGGAATATAAACACTGATGTTAGTCTCAAAATGGTCCAAGAAACATTTCCCTATAATGTCCTGTGTAAAGTGTCCCCATAATGACCTGAGTAAAGTGTCCCCATAATGACCCGAGTAAAGAGTTACCATAAAGACCCGAGTAAAGTGTCCCCATAATGACCCAAGTAAAGTGTCCCCATAATGACTCGAGTAAAGTGTCCCCATAATGACCCAAGTAAAGTACCCCCATAATGACCCGTGTAAAGTGTCCCCATAATAGTCCAAGTAAAGTGTCCCAGTAGTGACCCAAATAAAGTGTCCTCATAATACCCCCCGAGTAAAGTGTCCCTGTAGTGACCCGAGTAAAGTGTCCCCATAATGGTCCAAGTAAAGTGTCCTCATAATAACCTGAGTAAAGTGTCCCCATAATAACCCGAGTAAAGTGTCCCTGCAGTGACCAGAGTAAAGTGTCCCAATAATGGTCCAAGTAAAGTGTCCTCATAATAACCCGAGTAAAGTGTCCCCATAGTGACCAGAGTAAAGTGGCCCCATAATGACCCGAGTAAAGTGTCCCCATAATGATCCGAGTAAAGTGTCCCTGTAGTGACCAGAGTAAAGTGGCCCCATAATACCCCCGATTAAAGTGTCCCCATAGTGACCCGAGTAAAGTGTCCCTGTAGTGACCTGAGTAAAGTGTCCTCATAATAACCCCGAGTAAAGTGTCCCCATAATGACCCGTAATAATGACACTGAAATATAGTTTCTATTTGGCGAATCGTCTAAATGAAATGGGCCTTAAATGTAATTGAATGGGGTTTAACGTCCACTTTTCTGCACCAACAAGGCTATAATGAAGACCGGTGTACGCCATGTAGTTTCCTATGAGAGGCAGTTGCGTTTCTCCATAAACCATATGTTAGTCCAAAAATGAAGTAGTTTGTGTCGAGTGGATGTTTAATTCCATTTCTTTCTCTTTCAGGTGTGCTGAGAACATTCTTTGAAACCTTGTACGACGAGGACATTATATCTGAAGATGCCTTTAATCAGTGGTCTAATAGTAATGACCCCGCGGAACAGGAAGGAAAAGGAGTTGCCATGAAACAAGTTTTTAATTTCTTTGCCTGGCTAAAGGAAGGCGAACAGGACGAAAGTTGAGAACTTCCTCTTCAAAATTTTGACTGTTATACAATTTTGATAATGTACTTAATTTTTGCAAACCATTTTTAAATTTGTTTTAATAAGCCCACTTTTAATTTGGACATCTTATGTGTGACAAGGAGTAAGGTCATCCGTCCACATGCTAAAGACCCCTACCCACAACAAATTATTAAAATAAAGTTGAACTTGCCTGGGACCCTTTATTATTGAAATAAAATAGAACCATATGTTAGTCCCAAAATGACCTGTGTTGGGTGGACGTAAAACCCCATCACTTTCATCTGTCAGTCTTTTGATACAGGTGAGAGTTCTTGTCAGATTTAGCAGAGATTATACATTTCTTGGAAAAGAAGAATCCTATTGAAATTCAAAATATGTCTGAGTACCGGTTTCCAAGTTATCTTCGAAATTATGTTAGACATATGAAATCTGGTGAACATAATACAGTACAATGTTAATAATACAGTTATTTAAAACTTGTTCAGTATGGTGTTAGGAAGAACTCTAATCAATATTGACCTTACATGTATCGATTGTTCCTTTAACCTATGTATCTGTGATTATAGTTTTATCGAGTGAGTGGTCCTTTAACCTAAGCATCTGTGATTATGGTTTTATCTAGTGAGTGTGCCTTTAACTTAAATATCTGTGATTATAGTTTTATCTAGTGAGTGTGCCTTTAACTTTGTGGTATATCCCAATAGTTGTAACTTTTGTATTTGCTTGTTAATTACCAATAACAACTCACAGGTTATCTATCTCTTGTGCCTGCAAAAACAGAGTTGTATAATATAGTAGGCAACCAATCATTTACCTTTCATCATTAGATTTACAACATAGAGATCAAGTCTCTCAAAACACCACAATAGGTTCAACAGCACGAAATGGCATTAACTCCAGAACACAGACCACGTGGGTCAAAAAGAAACTTCCGACAAACTTTGAGTTCTGTACGAAGTGCTAAGTTCTGCCCCTCGGACTAGTCTGGTCCGGCTTATATAGATTTTAGGAAATTCTAAAACATTCCAAATTGTTCTAGAACCCTTTAGAACAATTATTTCTAAACACTTTCCTGAATTCCATGGTTTCTAGCACTTTCCAAATGAACGATAGATTTCGGTGACTTATCATGACCTCATCACACTAGTAAAAGACCTAAACGGTCAACCATCTACAAAATGATGATGTGGAGAGTGCCAAATGCGGTCTCATATCCATAATTTTCTTTTGAAAACATGTTTAACCCGCCATTTGATTTGGCAAAAACAGTGTGCACCTTTGTGCAACATGCTTTCAAAACAAAAACAAAAATAATAACAATAATCAACAATTCGAAGACCTCTGTACTTTAAGTTCAAGCTACTATGCGATATTCAGAACTTTGGTTTATATTCTTCTTTATAAATGTACATCTCATCTCTACTCTTTATGTCATTATTATCCACTTTTTATATGTTTTTGGAGGTCGGGTGTTCGATCCCTGCATTGGCCGAGAAAGTTCATCCAGATTTTCCGGGGTGGTTCTCCCTTGTCAGTGATGCAGGACGGAGGGGCTGGCAAGGAAAGCTGTCTAGTCGTTCGGATGGGACGAAAAACCGAGGTCCAGTGTACACATTGGCGTGCACGTAAAAGATCCCTTGGCAGTTTGAATTCGATATAAGAGTAGGCCGTAGTGCCGCTGTCCGGGCAAAATTTCCCTCATAGCACACTGTATGGCGTATGCCCGTCTTCATTAGCCCAGGTTAGGAGCAGAACAGTAGGACGTTAAACCCCATTTCATTTCATTTCATTTCATTTATATGTTTTTCATTCTTTTTAATTTTTTTCATTCACTTTTTATGTATTCATGTTTTTATGCATAATATGTATTATTTACATGCTGCCCGAAATGGGTGTTTTATGAAATAAAATCTATCTATGTGTGCCGATAAATATTGGAACCAACAGAATGTTTACAAAATAAAAATACTCCATCTGACTAACCCAATGTTAGCGAAGTAATCAACAAATACATCCCATGATCAAGAAAAATCCTCCTGAGTTAAAAGTAAATCAAAGAAACTGACTGATGAAGAATACAAATTTAAAGTGGGGGCTTAAAGGTTCTGACTAACATGTGTTCAATATTAAAAACATTATAATTTACTGTACTTTATATTTTACCACCTCTAACATATGACTGTTCTCTTTAAACAGGGATAACTTATAACATTTCTTTCGTAAGTCATTAACCCGCTACTCGAGACTTAAGCATCTTAAAATTGCATTAACAGTCGTCACTCGGCAAACCTCGGCAGATTCCGGAACCTACATTTAGCCTTGGCTGTATGACAGTAAGTGATATGTAGGTTACCTACGCATATACAATTGCGATGCGGCGCCGGTTTACTTATTAGGAAAACTTGACGCTTTAAGAAAAAAAGTTCTCAAAATTGCGTCGTTTGAGGGGTGTGTAGAATTTTCAGTGCAGATAAACTTGAAAGAAAAACAGCTTCAAACTTTTAAAACTTTGTAAGATAAAACATTCTTCAAAGTGTCTTCATGGGCAACACCGTTGCTGATCCGGGAATTAGAAAGTAGTTATAATGACGGACTTCGTCATACAGCCGAGGCTAGATGCAGTGTACTGGAATCTGCTGAGGTCTCCAGGGTGTAACAGTCGCATACTTTCTAGCATCGTGAACAAAGTTCAAGGGAGGTAACTAGCCCGAAACCAAGATTTCAGCGCCCATGAAATGAATTTAAGAATTGCCATTTCAGAAAATCCACTTGCGTTGCCATCTCAATATCCAACATTCTTAATTTTTTTACTGTAAATTTTTTCTCTTCATGGACCATATCTATGTCTTTTAATTAATATGCTAACTTGTCACAATTCAGGTTTATTTATAATAATGCATGAATTATGGGATTTGGTCACAGATCACCAATGATTGCCCCATTGTTCTTTCAAGCTTATGTCACAAGCTGGAACCTGTTCCACAATATTGGTTGAGCTAATTCCTTCACGAGGTATAAACTTTAACTCCTGACAGTCATCTCCTCCGAAGCATGTATGATGTTCACCATGAAAATCTGAAATCAGTAAAAGTTGAAGGAGCTAAATCGCTAATATTTGGGACCTAAAAATTTACACAAATGGGTAGCAACGCATATAATAATGTAAAACGAATGTATTGTATATAAACTGATATACATTCAATCGTTTCTGTTTTTACAATAATTTCTAATGAGTTATGACAGGAGAAATACAAATAATTCGTGTTTTCACTGTCGAAGATTTCGGATGATATAGTTAGAGACTGAGCTACTTTAAAGTAGACTGGGGTCAATTCTGTACTTCCGATTCTTTCGAGCCCTTTACCCATGTTATTCTTCCTCACAAATATCCTCTTTTTCCACTGAAACTGAAAAAATATTCAAAATTCAATACCACATCTAAAAAAAAACGCCTGAAAAAGTGAGAATAAAACTATGGGAAAATTAGTCCATTTTTAAATTAGGACTAATTTATTGTATTGTTAAACTTTTAGGTTAAACAGTAGGCCTACGTAGTTGCCAGGTTCCTTGTCTTGTAGCAGGGGATCACCTAAGTGGGTAAGACGCTAGCTCGCTAGCCTGGAGGTCGGGTGTTCGATCCCTGCATAATATTGGCCGAGAAAGTTCATCCAGATTTTCCGGCGTGGTCAGTGATGCAGGACGGCGGGCCTGACAAGGAAAGCTGTCTAGTCGTTCGGATGGGACGAAAAACCGAGGTCCCGTGTACACATTGGCGTGCACGTAAAAGATACTCTTGGCAGTTGGAATTCGATATAAGAGTAGGCCGTAGTGCCGCTGTGCGGGCAAAATTTCCCTCATAGCACACTGTATGGCGTATGCCCGTTTTCATTAGCCCAGGTTAGGAGCAGAACAGTAGGACGTTATAAACTCCATTTCATTTCATTTCATGTCTTGTAGCAGCCTGGTTTCCAGCTCGACCGACGCGGTCCCCATTGCATGGCCCTTGGTCTAGCCTTAACCGAAGATTCCGATGGCCTCCTCTGAACTATCACCTTTTCATTCTTGCTTATATCCCCCAAACTGATCCCGCAGTGAATATTCGCTTGGCCGCTACAATCACTGATAAGCATGACATCGACGAGGCTTAATGAGTTCGGCATATTAACTTTTTTATACTCCCACAAATTAAATTCTCAAACATTTTTTTGAAGTATAAGAAAAATAAATAAAGACGTTTGAAGTATTTGTAGTTAAAAAATATTTCCTATTTAGTGTAAATATGGGTATTAAAATGAGTAAAATGCATCATTTTGCCCGAAGCAGTTAGGTGTTATGTAAACAATGCACGAGCCGTTGAGCCAATGACTGACGCCGCGTGAAGTCAATGCACGTGTTCTAGACAGTCATCTGTGACAGAGATAATTCGTAAGTAATTCTCTGTGAAACAGATTGTATATCCCCCTGTAAACCAATCATTAGCCTAGTTTCACTTTCGATTTATAATGGGAGAACCCACACTCGTTTCCGAAAATGAAAATAGAAATCGCCTCAGTCGTATTCCAAGAAAGCGAGTACTTGTTGCTACCAACACGTAGAGTTGAAGAACATCAAAAAGCCTACTAGCAGGAACTGGGGTTCAAATCAACAACTGTAAAAAAGATCTGGTAACAATATTGTTCTGCTAAACAATGAATACGCAGCAGGCTTAAATTTTCAAAACGTTCGGCTAGCCTGAATAACGATTACATTAAAATCAAGTACTTAAGTCCACGGTTTCATTCACGTTGTCATTTTTGTGGGCTATATTTGGGAACATTGAAGTTGCTGTATTGACGGGCTGGAATAGCAGGAAAACGAGTTTGAGGAAGTTAAAGCGATAATTTCATATTTTCAAAGAAAGCCAAAACATAATTTTGTTACTGGTTATACTATGTTCTATGTTATTTAAATGAGTGACATGAAGCATCCTGTTGAATTTCAGCAATTTCCATTAATTATGTCGAGGTTTATAGCCCTTATTTTACTTTATGGAACACTGGGAACGCTCTACAAAAGTTATCATCCGATCTGTATGAAGTTGCATGATATGCATTATTTTAATTACTTTCACATTTAAGGCCCTTGTTTCAGTTTTGACCTTTTGATCCCCCAAAGATTGAATTTATAATCTGATCTGTATGAAATAGTTTTTTTTTAAATTCCAACCATTATGGTATTACCTACAAATGAATAAGTAAATGTCCAGGGTTTGATTTCCGATAACCGGTAACATTTTTATAGCCAAAATAATATAATAGAATTAACAAAGAAACATCTAAAGACAAACGAACTGCCACCTGTCCACGATGTCTTGTAATTTTCGTGCTTTAGGTGGTGGTTGGAATATGTCCAAATACAAAACTTTTGAAACAGAAATCGAAAGTGGTCGATGATCATAATGATATCAAAGCTTCCGCATACAATCATACTAGATTCACAAGGCCCCATAGCACGTGCATGTAGGCACGTTAAAATTGGACCTGGTTGCTATCGTTTTTACGATAATAAACAAAGTCTTGGCAATCCATATTTTTATTAAATTATTCACGGACAATTGTCTTTAAATTCGTTGAAAATGTTTCTACTGCAGAAAAACCTGTGAAAATTCGTGCTTCAGTAAAGATATCTGTTTCTGTGCAGATACCTTTACCTGTGTAAAGCGCCAGGTGTCTCTAATGTACGAGGGCTGGCTGAAAAGCTTCAAGCCTATCTGTAAAAGACCTGTACAAAGTCAGTTGTTTCCATTTTCTACACGTCCCCTTCGAGAGGTACACACTTTTGGCCAACGATGATGCAAGGCCTGGAAGCCGGTCTGGAAGACATTTTCTTCGGTCACCCTAGAATAATCGTTCACAGCAGACATGACATGCTGACATGACGTGTTATCATTACTACTTATTACTGGGAACATCTGGCCAAGAATTCCCAGGATCTGCTTTAAAACGGCGGAGATTGTCACAGGACGTCAGGAATCTGACACGCTTCTGATCCACAGTTATCTTGCAGAGATCTGTGGTATACCCAAACCTTTCATGAGAGATGCCCACAACACTGGCACTATGTCGAGTGGTTAATCGTCGATCAGCCATCACCATTTCATGCATCCGGGTAATGTTGTCCTTAATGTTGCTGTTGATGGCCTTCCAGGACGCCGGTCGTCGGTCGTCAAGGCTCGCTTAAAGTCCGCAGCCCATTTACTGTGGACTAAAAGAGACAACATCCCCTAGTGGAGACCATGTCGACATTTATCTGTGGTGGGCTAATCATTTCAGTTGCAACACCATAGTTGCTGTTCTTATGTCTATGATTCATTAAATGATTGTACTTGTTGATGAACTTTTCAGTCTGCCCCTGTAATGGAAAAAGAAATTGAAAAATCAAAATCTGTGGATCTCAAACCAAAAATAGAAAACACTGAAGAGAAGACAAATAAATCAAACGTGGTAAGTTAGTTAGCACTGTTTGTCGTGTATTTTGTACATGGGGAGCAGTCCATTTGCTGATTACACTATTTTGTCTTATAACGTTTTTTAAGGAAAATGAAAATGAAATGAAATGGGGTTTAACGTCCTACTGTTTTGCTCCGACCTGGGCTAATGAAGACGGGCATACGCCATACAGTGTGCTATGAGGGAAATTTTTTTTGCCCGGACAGCGGCACTACGGCCTACTCTTATATCGAATTCCAACTGTCAAGGGATCTTTTACGTGCACGCCAATGTGTACACGGGACCTCGGTTTTTTGTCCCATCCGAACGACTAGACAGCTTTCCTTGTCAGCCCCTCCGTCCTGCATCACTGACAAGGGAGAACCACGCCGGAAATCTGGATGAACTTTCTCGGCCAATGCAGGGATCGAACACCCGACCTCCAGGCTAGCGAGCCAGCGTCTTACCCACTTAGCCACCGTGAACCCCCGTTTTTTAAAGGACTTCGAATTCTGTCTTATGGTTTGGATTGTTCGTACTTGGTTTTATTTTATTCCAAAATGATGAAATTAATTTCCCACTCTACGTGGGATCATAATCCATTTATCTGTTTATTATCAAAATATCAGAATCATTTAAGAAGTTAAAAGCTGAAAGATACATAAAGGTAATAATTAGATAAAGAGATGACTATTCTTTCTATAATAATTATATTAAAGATACATGCTGTAAGATTTGGATAAAGAGCTGGTTGTTCTTACTATAATATTTCAAAAATAAATATATTGAAAATTTCAGTCCAATTACTTTATTCTTTGCAAAGTTATGAGAGTTTGAAGTTTGGACAAAATGTAGTTTTATCGTTAAACACTTGAATGACCGCTGTGTTCTTATCTACTTAAAATCCGAGCCATCACGCATCAGATTTTTGTTAAAGATTGTCTGAGAACCAGAATATTGTTTCTTTGCCTTATTAAAATTTGTATTGACTACGTACAGCAGGGGTTTGCCGTTCCTGCAAGCCTTCCACATGATATGAATAAACAGGCTGTGGCGTCGGGTCTCATACCACAACAAGGAATTCTCCAACAGCCAGGTATTTTTACTCCTGGTATACGCCCACCCCAGGTAGGGCTTCATCACATTGGGTTAGTAGTTCCCAAGTTGGTGCTGAAAAGGATTCACATAACTAACCTGTCCCCGAGTTCACAAAACATTCTCCAACCAACCTGAACTGACCTGATCTCATCCTAGTCATTTGGATGGGACGAAAACCTGAGGTTCCGTGTACACACTGGCATGTACGTAAAAGATCCCTTGTCACTTGGAATTTGAAATAAGAGTAGGCCGTAACGCCGTTGTCTGGCCAAGATTTCCCCCATGACTGTATGGCGTATGCCCATCTTCAGTCAGAGCAGAGCAGTAGGACGTTAAACACCATTTCATTTATTCAATGTGATAATCTGGAAGATTCTAAGAGAAAAACATTTCTCAATATTTAATAGATACATAAGGGAGATAACTTATTATTATTACAAGCCTTTGATGTGGACGCTCCAGGAATTAATGTTATCCGCTTGATGTGGACGCTCCAGGGACTAAAGTTATCAGATTGATGTGGACGCTCCAGGGACTAAAGTTATCCGATTGAGTTTTTATGCGATTTTATTTAAAGATACATTATGGGAGATTAGATAACGAGTTGACAGTTCTCACTATACTAGTTAAAAACTACATAATTTAAAGTTAATTTGCTGAAAATTTCAGTCAAATTAATCCACTATCTCGCGAGAACTAAGCGAACAAAAGTTCCGCTTAGCCTCGATCATCATTACTGAAGCGGTAAGACAAAACTAATTGTCCATTTAATCGTTAATCACGAAGGAAAGTTTTGCAGCAATTCGGACTATAATCCAACAAATATCGCAGGCTAGCCTTGACATCGAGAGCTGATTATGGTCTGGATAAGTTAATTAATGCCTAATTAAAGGAGCTAAATCGCTAACATTTGGGACCTAGAAATTGACACAAGTGGTTAGCAACCCATGTAATACTGTAATATGAATGTATATAAACTGATTTACATTCAATAATTTCCGTTTTTACTCTAATTTCAAATCAGTTATGTTCGGCGAAACAAGCCAGCAGTCTCAATCGAATGCAAATTTCTAGCGTCTGGTTATTCCAGTCTACATATGCTGTTTGATTTGGTGCAATGTTTCGAGCCTCGTTCCTCGAGTCTCTTGCTAGAACTGGGGCTGAAACGCATTATGGTACACGATTCGTGTACCAATGGTAAAATGTTTTAAATATTGGATATCAGAGGCCCATCTTTTCCCGGTAAGATCACAGCATCAATGTTGATTTAAATTGACAAATAATTCGTGTTTTCAATGTTGAAGATTTTGGATGATATTGAGTTAGAGACTTAGCTAATTTAATAGTTTTTATAATAGGCAGATTTTGCTCTTGCATAATGTTTGTTTAAATTTTTTATGCATCTTGCCTTTATTTACTGCCCAATTTATTATTTTTGTCCCCCGCCTTTCGAAGAATGCAGGGGATTATTAAAATGGGTTCGTCCGTCTGTCTGTCTGTCTGTCCGTCACACTTTTTGGGACACAATAACTCTCTTTTTAATTGAGCGTGAATGTTCAAACTTGGTGTATGTGTTTATGAGGTCAATGTCTTGGTGGAGTTCGAAGATGAGCATTTGCTGCTTAGGGTAAGCAGAGATAAGCAATTTGATTGGTAGATGTATTGAGACACGATAACTTTAGTTCTAATTAAGCGAGGGTGATGAAACATGGTGTATAGTTTCATTACATCAATACCTTGACTAAGGTCGATAACGAGCATTCTCTGCTCAGGGTAAGCCGAGCGGTAAGCAATTTGATTGGCCGAGACTTTGGAACACAATAACTCTCCTTCTAATTGAGTTAAAATGTTCAAACTTGGTGTAGGCTTTCCTTAGGTGAATACCTTGATAGAGTTCGATGATGAACATTGTCTGTTTACAGTAAGCAGAGATAAGCAATCTGATTGGTTGACGCTTTGGGGCACGATAGCTTTGGGTATAATGAAGTGAGGGCGATGATCGAAACTCAGAATATAGATTTATTATATCATTATCTTGACTAAGTTCGTTAGTGAGAATTATCTGCTTAGGCTAAGGAGCGATAAGCAATTTGATTGGTCAAGACTTTGGAACATAACAACTCTGCTTTTAATTGAGGTAGAATATTACATAAATATATGTCCTATTCCTAGTTCTGTTTCTTGCACTGTAAATTTGGTGATCCGTTAATTTAACGCTTCTGCAAACTCCGCTCCAGAACCATATCTTCTTGCATACTGGAATTCCCCTGTCTGGTTCAGCGTTGCTGTGCGTTAAGATAGGGTACAATAAATCCCATAAATGACCAGTGTACTTGCTTATTCAGACCACTAATAATTCAATTACATTACCCTTAATTTATAACATGTAATTAGATGTGATTATATCTTACTTAATCATATTCTTACACTTAAATTTACTTAAAATTAAACTTGTATTTACTTCATGGGGAAAACGCCTGTATTAATCCTTACTTCTATTTACTTTTAACTAACTTAACTATTAACAATAGAACTTAATTTGTCCCATTAATAAAAATTAGCAGTATTAATGAGAAATTATCACCTACTGTAATTAATAACATTGAAACTCATTAGTATTATCTGAGAACAGTGAACCATTCTTAGAACTAAAATAAGCCTATAGTGTTATAACTGGACTATTTATACTATAGCAAAATGATGAACTTTTAGTTAGTCAACACTGGTCTACGGCAGACCTGTCAGTCAGTCAGAGAGGCCTACGGCAAGCTTGCCAGTTAGTCAGATTGGCCTACGACAAGCCTGTCACTTAGTCAGATTGGCCTATAGCAAGCCTGTCAGTCAGATTGGCCTATAGCAAGCCTGTCAGTTAGTCTGATTGGTCTACCTCAGGGCTGTCAGTTAGTCAGATTGGCCTACTACAAGCCTGTCAGTAAGTCAGATTGGCCTACTACAAGCCTGTCAGTTAGTCAGATTGACCTACGGCAAGCCTGTCAGTTAATCAGATTGGCCTGCAGCAAGCCTGACAATTAGTTAGCTAAATGATGAACTGTAGTTACCCGTACAGAAATGATTATTTGCACTGTGTGGTTTGCTATTTATAACTCCATTGACATATAATGTGATAAAAATGGACAAATGTATTTAATGGACAGTGCAGTGCTACGACCGTAAAAAAGAGAAAATACAACAAACACTGCTGTCTTGGCAAAATTTGCATCACTCACAGTGTACAATTGTCAGAAATTAGATTGGAGTTAAGTTATTTCATACTTCTCTTTTAAACATGGAGTGAGACGATGATTATGTTACGGGCACAAGATTGCCAGCTTGTGAACCGGTAATGAAAAAAATAAGATTTTTCCAGTGCAAATCTCACTAGTCTTGGGGCTGACAGAGAAGATGATTTGACTAATGAACAAGAGGTCCGTCCGTGTACATCTGACCAAAACTAAACGACTGTATCATACTCAACTTGTGCTAGCTGTCTGAAAACATTAAGTATACTTCACATATTTTGAAAAGTATTCATTCCGCTTCCATTTAGTAAAATTGAAAAAGATTATTTAGTGTTTGTGTGTATGACAGATGTGAAATGGTGTAGAAACGCATAACAAAATAATATAGTAATATTTAGATATGGCGGTCATACAGGACAGAGATATATCATCGAAGTAGATATTTCTCTGTGTGCAAAATATGATTGTATGTGATTCTTAAAGGTCACCGGAAAAGGTTCATAAATTTTTTAAATAATGCAAGTAATTATGTCAACATATCCTTTCCATAAGTATAACACGAACCCGAATGTCAATATTACCTGCAACAGGTAAATTTCAACGTTAGCAATTTCCGCCATTCTCCATGGGTAGTCGTAACTTTCCGTAAATTTGACGTCATTTTAGTCCTTCTGCTCATATTCTAGTCTATATTTCTATGTGCAGAAGGACTAAAATGACGTCACGGATTGCTTATTGACGGAAAGTTCCGACTACCGACGGAGAACGGCGGAAATTACTAATGTTGAAATTTACCTGTTGCAGGTATTATTGACGTTCGGGCTCGGGTTATACTTATGGAAAGGATATGTTGACATAATTACTTGCATTATTTTAAAAAAAAATTGATGCTTTTCCGGTGACCTTTAATATGTCCAGCATACTGAGATGTTTGAAGTTCATTCATTTTCATTAGTTTTTTAAAGTACTCAATATTTTGCTTATTACAGACTCAGGCTCATGCGTCCCCTTCACCACCTCAACAGAATGAAATTTGTGCACAGTTTGCCTCGCAACTAGCCGCCACATTACGACACAACTCGACCAAACAACAAAGCTCAACTCCACCAACAGGGACCATCATACCAGCTGATGAACAGCAAGAAATATTTGAACCTTGCGTGGACGATGTTGGAACTATTATTCCTGGAGGGACGTCTGTCGATCCCCTGCTGACCTGCAAAGAAAAAGCGAATGAATACAATATGAACATTGTTCGTCCAGCACAAAAAGTAACCCCTGTTCATAAAACAGTGATTGTGTCTGCTGGTAAACCTGATCCAAATCCGTTACCTTTAAAAACTCCTGTATCTATTAAGACACCCGTACCACCTTTGGAGACACCTGTATGTATGACACCACATTTACCTATGAAGACACCAGTGACATCAAAGGTCAATAAAACAAGGAGTGTTAGTGACATGATCACTTCAGACGTCAGTCAATTTAAGCCAGTATCGTTTACGGCTAATAAAGTTAACCAAAACACGCAAACCACATCTATTTCTGTCGGATTGTCTCCATCTAAGGATACCGGTTCACAACCGACATCCATACCAGAAGTAAAAAGTCAGAAACCTGTTACAGTTACAGCGTCTGCTCCAGTTCAGCCATCTCCTGTCATCACGGCGTTGCCGGTTTCCACAGAAAACAAAGATGTAAAATCTACGCATAAAAATGAGAAGACATCAGCACCTGTGAAGACGCCTGTCGCATTGCTAGTTTCCACAGAAAACAAAAATTTAAATTCTGTGCCTAAAAATGTGAAGTCATCCACATCGTTGAAGATGTCGGCTTCTGTGAAGGCACCTTTACCCGTGAAAAGTGTGCCATCACCAGCGTCAGCTGTCCCTACTGTAGCGGAAAAAGAAGTTGAAAAATCGAAATCTGTGGATCTCAAACCAAAAACAGAAAAAACTGAAGGGAAAGTAAAGAAAATTAAAAATGGTAAGTTTTCCAAAATGGTGAAAATAATTTCCCACTCTGCGTGGGATCATAATCCATTTATCTGTTTATTATCAAAATATCAGAATCATTTAAGAAGTTAAAAGCTGAAAGATACATAAAGGTAATAATTAGATAAAGAGATGACTATTCTTTCTATAATAATTATATTAAAGATACATGCTGTAAGATTTGGATAAAGAGCTGGTTGTTCTTACTATAATATTTCAAAAATAAATATATTGAAAATTTCAGTCCAATTACTTTATTCTTTGCAAAGTTATGAGAGTTTGAAGTTTGGCCAAATGTAGTTTTATTGTTAAACACTTAAATGACCGTTGTGTTCCTATCTACTTAAAATTGGAGCCATCCAATAGTCGGTCACCATATAAGTGCAGTCACTGCAGTCAGTCTCAAAAACAATGCCAGAATAGATCCCAAATACTATGTATTTGCGTGAATCCGTGTGCGTAAATTGCATACGTCACACAAAACTATAGTATAAAATAACCATGTCTGCTTGTCACTCTTATTCTGTTGTTCTATGAAATGTTTTCTACCATGGCAAAAAATAGTCGGTCTCAAAAAAAGTACTCACCGCAGTCGGTCTCCGACTAAATGAATTAATGATATAAACATACAATCATAAAACAGGCGAAATTGACAGATAAGCCTCAAGATTCTGTCCCATTTCTTATCAACCCCAGTCCTAAAAATTTAAAAGCTCTGTTACATATCTGAAAAATTTAATTGAGATTTTGTTTCTGAGGTCTAATGCAGTTTGATCTATTTCAATACTTTGCATTTTTCAGCCGGTGATGATGATGATGATGATGATGATGATGATGATATTATTGATGATGATGATGATATTGATGATGATGATGATGATGACTCACTAGAGATTATTCAGGTAATAAAGATGATGGACATGCTACTAAATAAATGACTATATTTTTAAAAGATAGCTAACACGAGAGCTAAGTCTCAGCAGCAACCTTATCCGAAAGGAACAAATTGGATATTTCAGCAATGGTGCAGGGGCGGATCTAGGAATTTTGAAAGGGGGGGGGGCGCCGCAAAATGAGGGCTCTGGCCGCGGAGACGGGTCACGCCGCTGAGAGGGGGGTTGGGGGCCCCAAGAAAATTATCCATCATTTCCTTGCATCTGTAGCCATTCCAAGAGTTATTTGGCTGATATTTTCGTCTAAAGTTCGTAAATCGTTGAAAAAGAGCCTTAAAATCGAGCAGAAAAGCCAGTTGAAAGGCACTTTCAGTAGTAAAAAAGGGCTCCCCCCCCTCCTTGAATCCACCTCTGTGGTGGGGGGGGGGGAAAGGTTACATTGCAAAGGAACTAAGGGAGGGGTAACTCTGGAATGGAATATCGAAAAATGCTGGAACTCGGTAGGGTTCATCCTCTCATATACCAATTCTGCCCACCAAATTTGAAAGGAATCAGTTATAACTATAGTCTCTATCGAGTTCAATTTTTCACACCAATCAATCATCAACTGATTTCTGTATTTTGTATATAACAATCAGCCATAAACTGATTTTCTATTTGTTTCCTTCCAATTTTTACAGAAGTATCTCTTAAAGCTGAGTATCGTTGTGGCTTGCAAACATTGAAAACTCAACAGCTGATTTTTATTTCAGGAAATTTACAAACTTCATAAAGCTGAATATCCTTGGCAACCAAGTAGAAAGACTGAAACAGTTAAAAGTGAGGAGGTTGATGAAACTGAAGCCAGAACACAGGTAAACTATTTATATTTTAAGGATCAATTTACACTGACCGAGACCCATTGTCATCTTAAAACACGTGGAGAGATTTAAGTCTCGCTTTCTTAGTCTTACCTCTGTGGGGGTTTCGTATTTTACAAATCATTGAATTAGCTGTGACCTCAGTTATTCTCGTCCCGTGAATAGAAATGACCTATATTATTTGCTCTATATTGTATTAAACTTGAATTGCCGGTCATCCCATGCGGAAATTCGATAGAAACCCGCCATTTTGTAAATTGGCTTGGGGTTAGTAATTCGACAGTTCCTATTGGATAACGTGGGTTAAAATCGGCCAATGGGAGCGCAGGTTTCAAATCGGCTCGAATGTGATGTCAAAGTTTATTCACGTGCATTCTGCAGTTTAGAGCGTATAGATAGGGTATATAAGGACAGTAGAAGCCAGTCTTAGTGGAACGGTCGGGGGGTGCGGACCTCAGCTTGAATATTAACATATTTCGCTCTGCGGTAAGCATTCCCAAGGGGAGACTCTGTCTCTGGTGGCTAGCGGGTTCCGCTGGAATGATCACTCATTTCGCTCGGGGCAAGCAAGTTTTCTACAGTAGAGTTTATTGACATGCAAGTCCTACAGGCGTGATCACTTACGCCGCTTAGGATAAGCGTGGACTCAGACGGGCGATTCAAACTTTAGGGGGAGGGAGACTCTGTTTCTGGTGGTTAGCAAGTTCCGCTGGAATGATCACTCATTTCGCTCGGGACAAGCACGATCTCCGGAGTAGAGTTTAATCTTGTAGTAGATGGTTTAAGTTATGAGTTTCTAGTTATTTTTAGGGTTCCGATTGGGTGATGTAAGATTTATTGTTTCCCTTTGTGCGAATATTGAAGTTCGGGCTGAGGCAGGCATAAGGCCGCATGTTTATATTTATTTGCGGAGTTATTAGTTCCTAGGTATTTTTAGGGTTCCGATTGGGTGATGCAAGATTTATTCTTTCCCTTTGTGCGAATACTGAATTTCGGGCTAATTCCTGTTTATAAATTTGGTTAGTTTAAGTTGATCCTTGGGACTTTGTTCAAAAGTTACGAGATTTGACATTAGTGTGCGTTCCGTTTTGGTTTTGTCAAGGGACATAGTAGTAGGGCTTGGCGTAAGAATTTCTATTTCAGCTGGTTAACCATTGGAGAGAAGAAGACCAACCACTCGGACGCGCGTATCGGTCACTAAAGTCTTTGTGACGTTTATTCCTTTTCTGCACGTGCGTGGTGGGTTTTATATAAAGGCCTGTGTTTGGTCCATATCCCCTCCACACTGATCCGCAGTGAATATTCGCTTGGCCGCTACAATCACTGATAAGGATGACATCGATGCGACTTAATGACTACAAAATATTAACTTTTTTCTTTCGAAAAGAAACATTTTTTTCATTTTTTAGAAAAATAAATAAAGTCGTTTGAATTGTTTGTAGATAAAAATCATTTCCTATTTAGTGTAAATGGGTATTAAAATAAGTAAAATTCACCATTTAGCCCGAATCCGTGACGTCTTATGAAAACAATGCACGCGCTATTGAGCCAATGATGGACACCGCGTGATGTGACGTCACGTGTCGAAACAGTCATCTGTAACAGAGATATTAAAAAATCTCTGTGAAACAGATTGTATCCCCTCTACTCTTTGACTACTTCAACTTGTTGACTACTGCGGTTTTGGCGGTTCAACTGGGAGATAGAAGAAGGGTTTTTACTGTGCATGTGCATTATTCTTTTGGATTGCTTATAGTAAGTAGAAAGCTTTAGTCCTCTATTAATGCTAGGCTGAAACATAGGCGTAGGGGCTCGATGACAGTTAGGGGGGCAGAACCCGAAATGCCCGAAAAAATTTCGGGTTTACAGACAGCAGCGACCTTGTATACCCTCCCCCCCCAAAGACAATTTTGGAATATTTGACGGCTGCAAACACGTTTTCCTGCTATTGCAGCCGTTGAAAAAAGCAACTTCAAAGTGGTCTAATATAGCCTAATTAAGGTGGCTGACTCTGAATTCCAATCAATCGTTTACAGTCCTCGAAGATGGAACCGTTAGGAGTAAATTTTGAAAAATTAACTGCCGCAAACGCGTTTTCCCGATATTTCAGCCAGTGAACAAAGCAACTTCAAGCGGTCTAATATAGCCTAATTAAGGTGGCTGACTCGAATTCCAATCAATCGTTTACAGTCTTCGAAGACGGGACCGTTAGGAGAAAATTTTGAAAATTTAACTGTCGCAAACGCGTTTTCCTGCTATTTCAGAGCAACTTCAAAGTGGTCGAATATATATTATAGCCTTATTAAGGTGGCTGACTCGAATTCGAATCAATCGTTTACAGTCAACGAAGACGGGACCGTTGGGAGAGAATTTTGAAAATGTAAATGCCGCAAACGCGTTTTCCTGTTATTCCAGTCTGTGAATACAGCAACTTCAATTTGGTCCAATATAGCCTACCTGGCTGACCCGAATTCCAAACAACCAATCAATCGTCGCGCGGTATATGGAGGCCTCACCCTCCCGGAGAAAAATTTGAAAATTTAATCACCGTAAATGCGTTTTCTGCTATTCTAGCCCGTGTAAGCAACTCCAAAAGTATCCAATGGTTTTGTAACTGAAATCCCACTATGAATTCTAACCATCCAATCAGACTGTTGCATTTGCATTCACAAATAATAATCGATGCCTGAAAAATGTCACACAAAGTAGAGTGGCTCCAGACAAAATGTTTTAATCCATAGTCAACTCAGTATTCAATAGTCATATTCAATTACAAGAAAAGTAAAATTAGTGTTTTATTAGGGCTCGATGACAGTTAGGGAAGCAAAACTAGAAATACCCGAAAAATTTTGGATTTATAGACAGCGGCGCCGGTTTTCTTTGAGAGGCAAATGACCCGCCAATAAAATTTTGGAATGTTTGACGGTCGCAAATGTGTTTTACTGCTAGTTTCCTCTGCCGCTTTCCGGCCCGATGCCCGTTTTTCGGGCAATACCTATTTTTGGGCAATACCGTTTTTTCTGGCATACCTATCATAAGAGAGCTTCGGGCATATTTTCGGGCATATGCAGTGGACAAGAAAAAGACGAGAAAATACTTTTCGGGCAGTGTGGATCTCATAGAAATAAGTTAGTTATATTTTTTCTCTAAACGTTAATAGAAAAAAAAGGTCGTCAAATTTTTCATTGCCCGAAAATAAATTTTTTGGGGGGCAAATGCCCCCCCTGCCCCCCTGGCTCCTACGCCTATGGGCTGAAATATATGTAAGCTTTGATATGTATCGTATGTTGCATGTTGCTTAGTAGAGTAGTGGCTGTATGTAACCCTATTAATAACTAAATTGTCCGTCAGTCTGTCTGATAGCATCCCTCAACCCATTAAGCCTTACACCCGGCCATCCCTGGTTTAAGTGGGTATATTTCAAGGGGGATTAGACTTCAGAAATACTAGATATACCCCGATTTTACTATAGTTATCATCCGACTGACTTGGAATATACATTGTTTTATGGTCATACAACGACTTGAACAGGTTTTGTTTGTTACCTCTCTCCCTCTCCCCCCCCTCCCTCTCTCTCTCTCCCCCCCTCTCTCCCCCTCTCTCTCTCTCTTTCTTTCTCTCTCTCTCTCTCCAGTAACTGAAGATGAGTTGAAATTGATCTGGCAAAGACAAAGTTATCCCTGTCTTCTTTATGGGGGGGTGGGGTGGGGAGGGGTGGATCGCCGAAGCACGTGCGTGCTGTATCATAAAGCCTGGTCGCCTGTCCAACCTCGTGGGTTTTCTCCGGGTAGTCCAGTTTCCTCCCACTGCTAAAAACCCCTACGTGCAAGCGAATTATTGATATAAAATTAAACCATATGTTAGTCCGGAAATGACCTATTTTGTATCGAGTGGACGTTAAACCCCATTTTCTCTGGGCAGTCCGGTTTCCTCCCACTGCTAAAGACCCCTACGCGCAAGCGAATTATTGATATAAAATTAAACCGTATGTTAGTTCCAAAATGACCTAGTTTGTGTCCAGTGGAGTTAAACCCCATCTCTCTCTCTCTCTCTCTCTCTCTCTCTCTCTATTAAAATGATGATAGATGAATTCCTTGTTACTGATATTGCCATAATAATTTAGTTTTAGTTAGCTGGACCATAGTATATATTTCTATGGCTGGACTGGCTGGACATCACTGAATTTCAGCTCAGCAAGGAAGGGTCGCCCGGGTTCCCTTTGATGTTACAATAAAGCCCTAATTTATTTGTGTGATAGAATCCTTCGTGTTGCCATAAAATAAAAGTTGTCTAAGTTTTGATTTTTCGTTTCAGGAAATCTACAAATGTGTGAAAAGTATTTTGAATAAATTAACTCCCCAGAAATTCACAACTTTATTAAAACAAGTTCAGGATTTAAATATCGACACAGAAACAAGATTAAAAGGTGTCACAGATTTACTATTTGAACAGGTGAGAATTTTACTAGGAATTTATGGTGCTGCCAAAAAAGTCTTCATATGCAAAAAAGTCCAATGGAATTGCGGCAAAATGATGACTGAAGTTATCCCTTTCTTATATTTAATGATGACAATTGAATTCCTCGTTACTGATATTGCTAGCTTAATTCCATTCAGCTTTTAAGATCTGAGTCGTCGTATATTTATCTTATGCTAACATTTTTTTATCTATATTTTATAGGCTGTGAGTCAACCAATGTATAGTATAGCCTATGCTAACATGTCTAGATATCTTATGCAGGTATGTGCATCAAAACAAACTTTCTCCTCTAATGACAGGCTTTGTAGATGGTTTGGACGACTAAGCTGCTGTGGGTGAATGTTTCGTTTCAAACAATGTATCTTTGTTATTTTATGTACTTTTTTTCAATAACATAGGGTAGGGTTGTCTGACTAAGGTTTTCTCCTGTTTTTTTGCCCCACCCCACCCCCCTAACCCACCCACGGTACACACAATCAATTTATTGAAATAGAATGGTGCCATATTGTGTTAGTCCCGAAATGATCGAGTATGTGTTGATTGATAATCAGGAGAGAATTAGTCTGTATTATAAATTTCAAGCAATACCGGTATTTCTACGTTTCATCCTCAATTCGTTATCAAATTTCTCCCCCCCCCCCAACACTTTTTATACGTCCACATTTTCATGTGGACGTATATTGTCCTCATCCCTGTTTGGACATCCGTCCACGATTGTTTGTGAACACTCTACAGGTCACAATTTTTAGCCAATTTCAATCAAACTCGAAATATAGGTTTAAGCACCGAAAATCTTGGTTCCTGTCGATATTTGCGTGTATCAGACTGTAACTTCATGGATTATGGCCCCTGATTGTACAAAAAATCACGTTTTTAGCTTGTGAACACTGTAGAGTTCACAATTTTGAACCGATTTTGATGAAACTTGAAATGCATGTTTATAACCCAAAGATCTTGGTTCCTTTTGATATTTGCGCATAACTTTCTGAATTACGGTCCCATGATTGTACGAAAAATCACCACAATTTCTTGTAAAGGCACTAGAGACTAAGGTTAATATCCAATTGACTTTAAATTTATACACAGTGTTTAAGGGCATGAGGCGAAGAAGCCTTTTGATTTTCAGCAATATCCGATAATTACTGCCAGAGTTATGACCCTTGATCACTTTGAAAAATCTTGTAAACGCTCCAGAGACTAAAGTTAATATCCAATTGACTTTAAATTTATACACAGTGTTTAAGGTCCTGAGACAATGAAGCCTAATGATTTTCAGTGATATTTGATAATTTCTGCCAGAATTATGGCCCTTGATCACTTTGAAATATTTTGTTGATGCTCTAGAGGCTAAAGTTTATTTCCGATTGCCTTTAAATTTATACAAAGTGTTTAAGGTCATAAGACGAAGGATCCTAGTCATTTTCAACGATTTTCAATTATTACTGTCAGAGTTATAGCCCTTGATCATTTTGAAATACCTTGTGGACGGAGGCTATGAGACAAACAATCGAAACAACTCTAACCGTTTCTGATAATTACTTAACTGTTATTGACTGCCCGGACGACTTAGCTGTTGCGGGCGTATGTTTCGTTGCCTGGCAACCTATCTTTTAGCTTGTGCTCCCTCTGGAAGTCACAATTATTATCCGATTTTAAAAAACATTTGATTACATCACCGTTACACCGCAATGAAGGTTGATTGTGAATTTTGTGAAAATCAGACCAAAACTGCCGGACAAAATGACCGCTGTTTGTGCGCAAATAGTGTAAAAGATATGGCATATCAAGGCTGTGGACCCTGTTTTAGTCCGATTTTGATGAAACTGGAAATACATGTTTATAACCGAAAGATCTTGGGTTTGTTTGATATTTGTGGTCCTTATGGAGGTCAGAATTATTATCCATTTTAAAAAAAACCATTTGATTATATCACCGTTCCACCGTAATGAAGGTGAAGTTCAAATTTCATGAAAATCGCACCAAAACTGCGAGACAAGATGACTGTCGTTTTTACGCGAATAGTGTAAGAATATGGTATATCAAGGTTGTGAACCCTGTAGAGGTAACAATTGTAATTCGATTTTTGTGAAACTTGAAATGTATGTTTATAACTTTAAGATCTTTGTCCCTGTAGATATTTGCGCATATCGGATCGTAACTTCCTGAATTATGGCCCCTGATTGTACGAAACATCACGTTTTAGCTTGTGGTCCCTCTAGAGGTCACAATTATTATCCGATTTAAAAAAAACGTTCAAATATATAACCGTCACACTGTAAGGTTGGTTGAGTTCAAATTTCGTGAAAATCAAACTAAAATGGCCGGATAAAATGGTCGTTCCTCGTACGCAAGTAGTGTAAACATTTGGTATATCAAGGTTGTTGACGCTCTAGAAGTTACAATTTTGATCCGATTTTAATGAAACTTGAAATATATCTTTATAACCCAAGGGTCTTGGTCATAGGCGTACGGGATCGACGACAGTTAGGGGGCAGAACCTGAATTGCCAGAAAAAAATTTGGGTTTACAGACCCCCCCCCCCCTTCAAGAAAATTTTAGAATATTTGACGACTGCAAACACGTTTTCCTGCTATTTCAGCCTGTGAACAAAGCAACTTCAAAGTGGACTAATATAGCTTAATTATATAGGTGGCTGACTCGAATTTCGATCAATCGTTTACAGTCCACGAAAACGGTTGTTGTTGTTGTTTATTAAAGATTTAACGTCCAATACATTATATATGATATTATGGACAGGTTGATTTGGAAGACGGGAAAATTTTGAAAATTTAACTGCCGCAAACGCGTTTTCCTGCTATTCCAGCCTGTGAATACAGCAACTTCAATATGGTCCAATATAGTCTACCTGGCTGACCCGTATCCCAAACAACCAATCAATCGTCGTGGTTAGGGGGCCTCACCCTCCCGGAGAGAATTTTGAAAATTTAACCAACGGAAATGCGTTTTCTGCAATTCTAGTCCGTGTAAGTAACTTCAAAAGTATCCAATGGTTTTGTAACCGAAAACCCACTCTGAATTCCAAGCATCCAATCAGACTGTTGCAGCTGCATTCACAAATAGTAATCGATGCCCGAAAAATGTCGTAAAAGAATAGAGTGACTCCAGACAAAATACAAATTCGTGGTATTCAATTTAAAGAAAAGTAAAATTAGTGTTTTATTAGGGCTCGATGACAGTTAGGGAAGCAAAACTAGAAATGCCCGAAAAAAATTCATGTTTACAGATAGCGGCGGCAGTTTTCTTCGAGAGACGAGGAAGCGGAGCTGACCTTGTATAGACCTCCCAAGAAAATTTTGGAATATTTGACGGCCGCAAACGCGTTTTACTGCTATTCCAGTGTTTTATTAGATTTTGGGCACTTTATTTTGCCAAGTAGATGAAACAATTTTTTTTTCTCACTTTACCCCTCTGCCCGAAAAGTCGGCTTCCCCGAAAGTAAGGGGGGGCAGCTGCCCCCCCGCCCCCTGGCTCGTACACCTATGGTCTTGGTCCTGTTGATATTTGCGCATATTAGATCGTAGCTTCCTGAATTATGGCCCTTGATTGCTCTAAATATCACTTTTTGTTTCGCTTGTTCTCTATTAATCTTCTGCAAAATATGGACGTATCCTGCCTGTTTTTTTTTATTTTGTCACAGAATTTCAGGGATTCTTGCACCCATAGTTATTTTTTTTTTTTGCGGTCTTGGACTGTTTTAGAAATGGTGACTAAACGAACAAAATGATTATAATATATTTACAGTTGAAAGTTCCGTCTGATAGCAAACCTGGTGAGAAAGTAAATTTCCGGGTTATTTTATTAACTAAATGTCAGAGAGAGTTTGAGAAACATGAAGATGTGGAAATAGATTTAGAAGCTCGACAGAAGAAAATCAATGAAGCTGACTCCGTGAGTACAATGTTGACTTTATTTTACGAGTCATCCCACTTGACAGGGGACCTGTTACCTGACCAGGTATTACACCACAATATTACCTAGAATGTATCAGAGAGAAAAGGGGGTTTAATATCCACTCACCATAATTTAGGGATTTTGAAACAGGTTGAAATACCAGTGTGGACCAAGTTGAACCTGTAGAAGTTTTCAATGGTGTCTGTTGAGAGGTTTGCCTATATTCATCTGACTACTTATTGGTAGAGGTGATTTACTTTTTTACTTTTAACATTTCTGAGATTTGATTTGAAAGTTAAGATATTTTTAACTTTTCTTGGTTATGATTTGTATAAGATATATCTATAACTTGTTATTTCCAGGAAGATGTGAAGAAACAATTACAAGAAGAAATGGAGGTTGCTGCAACAACAGCCAGGAGGAGATATATAGGAAATATCAGGTAAAAAGTTTAACTATTTCATTTGTTGTAAGGTCCAGAAATATATCATTATAAATAAAAAAGAAATGTAAAATTTATAATACAAAACATAACCAAAATTATCTTTGTTGGATGGAATTCGGGGAAAATGATGACAGTTGAATTCATCGTTACTGATATTACCAGATTGATTCCATCAGTCGGTTTATTGTCTTATTGTCTATTTACAGATTTATAGGAGAATTATTTAAATTAAAAATGTTAACAGAGAACCTTATGCGTGATTGTGTATTTAAATTATTGCGGTCGAGAGATGAGGTGAATTTAGAATGTTCATGTAGATTATTAACCACAATAGGAAAAGAATTGGATACAGAAAAGGCCAAGGTAAGACATAATACACTTGATGTTGTCGAGTAATAAAAGTTGAGGCAAAATTGGTCCTAACTATATGCAGGAAAGGGAGATTATTAATTTCGGCCATCATGCAGAAAGAAGGGTTAGCCCAGAAACAATGGGTTACTATTGTCGGACATCAAGAAGGCAACCCAGTAAATAGGAGGGGTTACTTTCCATTCAGATCTGGGGCTGGATAACCATTGCCTGATCGAGGATACACTCTCTAAGGTTTAACACTGTACATGGTGAAATAATTATATAAAATGCCCTTTATTTCTAGACAAGTCGGATATCGACTGTAGGCAACGGGTTTTGTCTTTACGATTTTTTAAGAAATTCTTTTATCTTTCAGCCTCGAGTAGATCAGTACTTTCGGAAAATGCAGAAAATCGTTGGAGAGAAGAAAACATCGTCAAGAGTACGATTTATCTTACAGGATGTTATAGATTTACGATTGGTGAGTTTTTTGTGATTTAACTATTTCTATAGTTA